ATAAAAATTATCCCAAAAAATTCTACTCCGTATTTTGGATTGGAAAAATCGCGGGAAACTTTTTTCCCCACACATAGACAAAATAAACGTTGTCTATGTAACGCATTCTTGGTGCTCTGCATCTCTCTCTCTTTCTCTCTCTCTCTCTCTAATCTGGTCCAGTTGCTAAAAGCGTCGCATTAACGCTCTTGTCCAACTCCTACGGTCCATAAAGCTTCCTTACGGTGCACAGAAATGTATTTATCTTCCCGCCGAGAATAGCCGCTTTGATCCGCCCAACCATCGTTCTCGTAAGCGATTGACACATTTTGAAATTTTTGTTTTTTTTCTAATCTCTCATTCAAAGTCGGCATGGACAAAAGAGGTAAATAACTTTGGTCGTAGACAAAAGACCCTTCCCGCCTCGTCAAAGAAAACGTGCGTTACACATATATACATTTGCGTAACGGAATTGGTCTACTGACTGATCGTAACGAAACGAAAGTCGAAAAAATATGCGTGTCGCACATTTCTTAGCGCGTGAAAAATCAGATTTTCCGGCCTTCGATGTGCGCTTTTTCTCGTTTTTCTTTTTCTATGCGATACGGTAGTTCTAAAAAAAACAGAGCCGTGCATGCAAGTAGCAGTTTTATGTTCACATCGCTTCGCGAGACACCTGACTATAACGTCGCTTACTTACGTCATCAACAACAACGAGACAAACGCCACATCTACGTGGTTCCTCATTACGATAATTCGAATAACAAAAAAGGAAGTCGACAATTACCGCCTAATATTATCCGCGTCGATTACATTGTAAAAAAGACACGTGTGAATTTGACACGTGCGATTACATTAGAAGAATAAAAATATCAATATTACACACCACAAATTACACGATAGATTTACTTTTTTTTTTTATTATACATACATTTTTTACGCGCGATCTCGACGACGGAGATGACTACGGGGGGGGAAGTCGGTGATTGCCGCTTTAGCAACATTTAACAATTTTCGATTGTTATCCATCGTGCGCGTAATTTCCGCAATTTAATCTATTAATCAATTAGCGTAGTTGCACAGTTCCGATTCTTGTGGTTTCATTGCTTAATAACGGTAAATACAATAGATAGATACACGAATATATCATATACGTAGTGGATAAATAACTCGCTGGCAAAACACATGTCCGCGACACGGATTTCAGAAAAAGGATTGCGTAAGAAACCTCGAGACGCTAATTAACGTGAATCAGAGAGACGCGGATTCGACGCTATTGTCATGCATTTTAATCGCAGCCGTATATCGAGGTTAATGAAATAATATCTTTAATATCTTTAATTAATAAACAACGATACGTTCGGAGCGATTTCTACTTACAACCGAGAAAAACGCGTCGTCTCACTATTGTCTCGCATTGTTTCGCTTGCTTTTGCGATTTCTTTATTTTTTTTCACGGTGCATATTTGTTTATCATTTTTTTTTTTATATTTGTGATGATATTTCGTATATTTTGTTTCATTGATAGAATTGTTCTTGTTATCTGAAGATGGCTGAAATAAAGTCGAGACACGTTTCAGGGTAAAAGTTCACTTTATTTGACACTTTGACCTGGCCCCCAGCGCTTCGCTCTTTTCTCATTTACATAATTTGCATAAACTTACACTTTGTTACGTATCGCGCGCTTATAGCGGCGTTTGGCCTCTCTTGCCTTGTATTATCGTTTCTTAGCTTTAATTAATTATTTCAAGCTTTAATTAGCCAAATTGTCGCGGATACGTATACATTTGTTCTCATTTTGTTCTTTTTAATCGCAGGACCCATTCCGGGATGCAAGACTTGCACCTCCGCCGAGATGACCTACTGCAAGGACGGTAGCGTCATCAACGATCACTGTTGCTGCGAAGGTAGCTCCAACGGTACGTACGTACACACGTTCTCGCCATGGATCTTTAGAAAATAACAATAGGATCACGAGCTCAAGAGCGAAGCTCGTAATCTGCATCACGAGAAACAATAATTCAAACGGGATACATACAGGCGGTTGTAACGAAGCCGATCGAAATCGGCTTAACCTTCCCGACGCGCGCGACGGGAAGTGTTTTCCGTCTCTCGTCCTTCGTTTGTTCACGCGCGAACGACAAATCTCTCGCGAGCACATACCTGCCTGCTTGTCTATCTGAAAAACCTCTCGGTTTCCACTCGGCGAATTTGTGCGTGAACGATTGACCGTGACGAGCCGAGCGATCGAGCGAGCAAGCGAGAGAGCGAGCGAGCGAGCGTAATGCTTATTGTGTAACGGCGACTTCACGGAAATTTAGAGCAACGGCAATGATAGCACGTCGCAATTTCGCGATTCGCACAATGGCGAATCGCGAATCGCCCGGCGCCGCACGTAACCGCAATTATTTTTAGTCGATACACACCGGTGCGCGATGACGTTGCGCCGCCGTGCGTGCGAATATTAGCTTATTAACCCTCGCGGAATCGATGAAACGCTTTTGTTCGTGTGACAAAAAAAAATATTACTTATTTTGAATATCGAATGCTGTTCGGTGGTCATTTGTGTGTTTTCGGTTTTTTAAAAATTTAGTTAAATAATAAAAATTTCTCTTTAAAAACGAAGAAGGAACGAACAATATTGAAATAAACAATATTTCGACGATCGGAACGTGAAGATTATTTGTCGAGATTTTTTTTTTTTTACAAAAACTGTTTGGTAACGTTTCCTTCAGCGAGACGGAAGGGCAGTCACCTGTTCAGGAAATCATTGCTCGTCGTAATGAGTTATCCTTGTCTTCCACGTGCGCGATGCGCGCGACCACGCAGCGTCTCTACCGGGTGATTCATTGTCGCGAGAAATTTTCTCAAAAGGGTCGCTCATTAGCATTCATTTCGCAGTTTCTCGTCGGTCGGGACTATCGTCCATCGACCTGAAGTCAAACTTTGCCTGAACTTTTAATTAGCTCGTCGCGCGTTCGATATCGTTGGTCGATACGCGTTCGGCGCGTTGAGAAATGTCTTCCGAACTCTTCGTTTTTGTTTTTTTTTTTTAACGTACGAAGAGGAACCAATTCGGACGTCACAAAAAACAAACACATAAATTTCTCTTCCCTTAAAAAAAAAAAAAAACGAACATCTAACGTCATTGTATCTCGAATGCGCGTGTAGATTCTTCACGACACGAAGCTGCATTGCTGCACGCAGCGACTACGCGCGTGGAATTCGTAAAATTTTGAATCGCTTTTCGATCGCTCGTTCGTGACTCGACGCTCGCTCGTTCGATTCTTCGTACGGTTTTCCAACTAATTCGCTTGCGCGTGATTTGGAAACCGGTTTTTTTTATTACCCGGATTTTTCACGGTCATTCCCCGAGTTTTCCCTGCTTCTGTTCCGTGAGACGTCGAAATTTTAAGAGAACGCTGGATCCGTTTCCAGCATCCTCTTAAAAAAAATGTTGCTCGTTTTTTTGTCAAAAATAAACACGTTGAAAATTCTCCGATCCTATTCGCTATGTAAATTAATCGTTGATTCGTGCGTAGAGGAAACCGGTTACTTATATCGGTACTCATACATTTTACATGTAAAGTATTTACATGGGAAATGTCCGATGACTTTTATGTTTTTGATAAAGTGTCTTCTTGATATATCGGTAATAGTTTTTTACCGCGAATACCCACACTACGGGTGTTATCAATCAATTATTCAAACTAACCGATTAGATTAGATGGGATCGAGAAAAAATGAGGACAAAATTTGCGTGTGTGTTAAAGTGAGCTTATTCTTTCTCGTTCAGACACATATTTGTTTGCCTGTTGTTTTCAGAGGTGTTTCCCTTCGTCGAGCACACGTGTCGCTTGGGACCAGAAGAATGCAGGGTGCAGGCTGAGGACTGCGCGGAATACACGAGACTGCGGGAATGTTGTTGCCATTCGTACTTGGCCTCTGTCTGTAAGTTTTTGAACGATTCTAGAATCAAGGATGGCCAAACCGCGCCGCACGCGCACGTCTATTCTCAAAGACACTGTAAGACGGTATTTTGTTTTTTATTTTTCTGTCGTTAGAAAGCGACGAAAAATATTTTCCGCAGCTGTAACACATTGTTGTTATATTAGTATTTTTATTAGTTTACATTCATTGTGTATACCTTAATTTAATTATTTATATTAATATTGTGTATTTTCTGTTACACAAATATTGGAAACATGTTCTGCATTTCGCTCATCACCTGTTGTGTTCGCAGTAACATGATCGTGTAAATTGTTAATTAATATTATTTTTAATTGAAACGTGTTTTTTCTTGCAGGGAAGTATGAAGCGACCGGCGGAGGTTCGCGCGTCAGCATGTATCACATAAAGTTCCTGACGATCTTGACGGTGCTCATGACGTTACATCAATTGTTGATCTAAAGACAACACCAATATATAAATATATATATATATATATTTTCTATATGTTAGTGATTGTTTTTACAAATTATTTTTGCATCGAGACGCGGAAGAGACTGGAAAAGTTTTGTAATTAAATACAAAAAGAACAGTTAATTAATGCAACTAAGAATTTTAATCTCCTTATTTTTTTAGTGTAAGATCGCGAAACATTGTGCACAAATAAACCGTTTTGTGTTAATAAATTATATGTATGTTTGTAAATGAAATCTATGTGTAATTTTTTGCACAGGAAATTTGTAGAGTCTGACTATGTGCAAATGAATCTTTATTTTTTCGTATTTTTTTGGAAAAATAAAAATACGAAAAAATAAAAACTAAAAAGAATAAAAGAATACTTCGTATTTACTTTGCATTTTTTTATTCTTTCACACATTTTACGAGCAAAATTTTTTTCAACTGACTGATTTAATTGTTATGTCGTCGTTTCTCAAGCTACGCGTCACCGAATTTTTCTCCCTTCTTCAACTTGCCATCACACACGAAGAGAAAGATGATCGTCGACCAGTTACAAGTAACGGGTACGTTGACCGCGTTCCACGAGGAAGACAAGACTGGCGGCTAACGAGTTGCGTAGATTTACGAAAGAAATCGAAGAAGTAGGTGCCGCAAACGCGATTCCGTTTCTCTGAAAAATTGTAACCTGGCAAGTGCAAAAGTGAGAGAAGCGCGAAAAAGTGACGATCCCGTTTTAGTTTTTCATTGAAAAATGTCTCTCGAAATGTATCTCCTCGTCATCGTCGTGTTGTTGCACTCTTGCGCGCTTAGCGTGTCTGGTGAGTCAATTTACTTGATAACTATATCACTGCGTGCCTAGGAAGTGAACAATTCTGGTTGTTATCGAAACAAATTTGTCACTTATATCAATAAAAATGTCTTACAAAAATGTTTTTTAATGCTTATTGTGTATGCTTTAGAATTTTTACGTTAATATCATAACTCTCGTAATATCATTTAAAGTTTATACATTATTTTCAGTAAAATGTAGGAAATCTTTTTATTTTTTTGATGTTTAATAAAAACATTATTCTTTGAATGTAGTATATTATGTTGCTCTTCAATAAAAAGCGCCTGACTTACTTCTTTCAGACAAGCAGGAAAGTGCGTATAATCATACGTCAGGAGCACTGAATTCGTCTCCAACACCTTTGCCGCAAATCAATATACGGCAGGCGATAAATTATCCCTATTATCCATTCAGACCACCGCAAAAGTAAGTTTTATTATTGTAACGTTTTTTATAATTTATTCTTATATGAATTTATAATATAATCGTTTTTGTGGTACGGTCAAATTCTACAGAAATTGAATAAAGGGATTACCATTACCGACACAAGTGACCATCTTTTGGTTCGATAAAATGTCGGTAGTATAGGCATTACATCTATTATTACGAAGTCACATTTGCATTAAAATAACAGACGTTTTTTTTTTTTTTTTTTTNTTTTGATCCTTGTTGTAATGATATGTAAATAAACGCGATCGGTCATACACCTAACACATCTGTCGACAATTAAAAATACAATGACGTCCGTCGTTATTTTAACACAAGTGTGACTCCCAGGTTTAATCGTAAAAATATTGTACAACGTACACGTAATCGACACTTTTTTTTTTTTTTATCTGACACTTCGCGATTACACACACAATTTAACGCACCTTTTGCAAAGAATTATATTTTCGTATATATATCTTTTTAGCAAATGTCCTTTGTGCGACAGTTCGGTTTACCCTTATTGCGGCGAGAAGTTGTTCCACGACGCTTGTTGCTGCACCGATTCCCATGATTTACCGTATCAATGCAAATTAGCGGACTGTCGATTTCTGCACGCCAACAGCTGTAAAGAGCATCGACTAATCGCCAACTGCTGCTGCAGCGACGATTATCGCACCGTCTTAAGAATTCTGGGCCCGGCATGAATATTAATTAATCATATCATACATCAAGTATAAATTTGTCGGCATGATCCGTTCAAAAAAAAAAAAAATATCACAGAATCAACTGCCATGAAAATAAAAAAAAAAAAGTTGTAATCCAACTCGCAAATAAATAAAACATAAAAATTGCAAATTTCAAATCAGCAAAATAGCTTTTTTTTTTTTTTTCACAGAAAGAAATCACAAGCGATCCTCAAACGCACCGTGTTCAGAGACAGATGGTGCGATCTTGATTCACGAAATTCACGATTGCGAAATGGCGTTTCTTCTATTTCGCAACATAAAAATTTCGCTGATGAAAGAGAAAAACCGCACGAACCTTGAGCGCGGACGCTCAACTGCGATCGAAATGCATCTCTTGTTCTGCAAAGCAACCGGTTGCTCCGTCGAGGTCACATCGAGGTTATACACGTGTCTGTAGCCCTTTGGATCCACGTGCACCCCCACCGCGCTTTCGCGCGCCGTCTGCAGTTAATTGACCCGCATTCTCGACGTTATAAACCTTGCCAAATGTCATGAACCAATGATCTCTTTAAGAAAATGTTAATTATTGCTAATCACACGTTTGAAATAAAAACAATCGAACTAAAAACATCCTCCGGTAATCTCAGATAGGACATTGTTGTCAAAATTTAAAATTAATACAAAGTAAAAACTTTGTAAATTTGTTTGTTTGTTTTTTTTTTTTTTTCACATACTAAATGTCAACCGCGCTTGTTCTTGTTAACTTTCTTTTGGAAATTTCGATTGGAAAAAAAGAAATTTTTTAATTACAGATTCTTATATTGATCTGTTTTTTTAACTTCAATTAAAAAAAAGTCCAAACTTCAAGAGTTCAAAGAACAATACTTTCATTAGACGTCCATTAGACGTCGCGACAGCTCTTGTGATATCTAATAAATATGTCTGATGGAATTTTTGTGTGGGAAAGAATTTCTTCTTATTAGAGTAAAAGAAAACTAAATGCGCTCAAATAATTCAACTTACATAACGCGACGTGACGTATTAAAGATAATAATTTTATTTAGAGAGCCTGTTACTACCAAATCACGTGACACATCTTATATCGTCAAATTGCAACTGAGTGACAACACTCTAACAATCACACCGGCGACTTTTTTTTTATGATGGATCGTTCGCACGTATTTCAGCGAACGATAAACGGATATGCGTATTTATGCCAATAAATAGTTATCGTATGATTACTAACGCGAAGACGAGACGAAATCAAGGTCGTACACGTGTCAGCGATCAAGAAATGGTCTCGTCTAAGTTTTACGTGTGCATCATCACATTACATTATTCTATGTAGACACTTCTCGAGAGAAAAATTACATAAAGAGAGGTATGTACGCGACAAGAAAATTTTATAATACTGGTTTATCGAAATTTACACATTTTTCTCGTCGCCTTATTGAGGAAAAGATTGATAATTTGCATAGATTTTTATGCGCATCAGGATGTTATAAGAATCGTCTTTCCTCATTGAAGTGACAAAAAGTTCTTGACTAAATGATAATTAAAAATCAAAAAAAGGTCATAGAGCATCACAAAGATAATGAATTTATCGCTTTCAACACAGTGTTATCGTTTACACATTCTCAAATTCCTAATTATTAGGTTAATTACGTAAATTAAGAAAATTAATCCGAAGAGACTGTAAGATAAATCAGAGAGGAGAGAGAGAGAGAGAGAGAGAGAAAGTTTGAGATAATTTCAAAACAACTGACTGGCAGTGAAAAAAATCTGCGTATCAGGCTCCGCAAAAAGTTACATCTTAGGAGTTAAAAGTCGCACAGGTAAACTTTTAAATGCTTATTTATTATCGAGAAAATATTTTTTTCTCAAATATGTTATCAATAACATCGCTCTTTTAAACAACTGTCTGTCATGTATCTGTTTGCAACGTTTATCGTGTTTACAACGGAAGAACCGAATTCAAATATAATCGTTAACAAGAGCGGTTTCTCTCGGAAAGACACATATCGTCGTTGCAACATTGTTACAAAAACTTTGCAGTTATTTTCAATCGATCAACAGATTCAACGTGAATGCAATACAAATTTCACGCGGTCCGTACACAATGCTGCATAAATATATTATAATATATTTTTTATACACAGAGTATATATTTATAATATATTTTATTTTTTATTAGATACTGACCGAGTGTAAAGTCGTTTACATACCCACGTGTACGAAGAACGAGAGGGAAAGCGCACCGACAAAAGTTGCAGAGAGTGAAATCAGAGCGTCGCAAACGAGTTAAGAACGTGTTGCTTAACGCGCGTATTGAAGTTTAAGAAAATTTGCGCTCTTTTGCAACTTTTAACTTACGACTCGATTCAACGTTTGACGGAATTGCTCTACAGTTTAAAAAAAAAAAAAAACTCGGTAAGAACAAAATTATAGATTCGATAAACAAATAAATGTTGCCTGTCACTCTGATAGGAAACATTTAAGAGATTCTGATATTTGATATTGTTAAGAATTTACCGCTTATCAAACATTCAGATCGATATTGTCGCCGCGCGTGTCGACGATACACGTGTCGAGAATAAATATTTTGCATGAATATATTGCGAGAGAGATTATTATTAGATACCAAGTGCGGCGAGAAGAAATTTAAATATGAGTACACAAATAATCGTCATACCACACACGTGCAAAATTATACGTAGCTTGCATAACTTTTTTTTCAAAATAGAATTTATTACGTCAAACGAAGTGGGATAATAATTAATTTGTCGATTAATGAAAATTGCTTGCACGTGTGTGCGTGTTGATAAACATCGCATTTGTTATTCTTTCAAAACATAAAAAAACACGTGACATAAAAACGTTTTTTCGTTCATAAATATTTAATTCGATAAACGATCAACAAAATGAAGAAGATCAGGATTCGGTTTCAAGATTTTTCTCTCAAATCCTTGAATGTCACACTCGAGTATTTCTTCAGAGAGAACTTTATGTGTCCACAAAATATATTCCGGAAACCGGCGTCACGTGAAGATGATTCAGGTCCTTGGCTGCACGTGACTGCAGATCGAAGGTAATAGTTAAAACTGATTTAAGTAAGAAATGAAATATATTTAACCCCGATGACGCGCATCGAAATAAAGAAAAATACACTGTGATATAATTTCAACGGATGCGTAATTTGTTATCGTTGTTATACTTGTGCAAACCGTCAGCGCGTCACGTCTATCACCAGATAATTGTAAATGACGGGAGAGACACGTGCGGCACGAAAACGCATGAGAATCAAACAAAGAGAGAGAGAGAGAGCAAGGAAATTGACCACAGGAAATTGAAATGTGTAGACAACTGGTCTAATCCGTCAAAAATCTGTAGAAGAAAAAGAATATCGCTATTGTGAGAAAGGTGTCCATAAGCCGAGAATGTTGCCACTTCGAAACGCAAATCGTAGCCAATCGGTATTCAAGATCAAAATCACGTCTTTTTTATTCTTTTCTCATGCAGAGAGTATTGAGTTTTAATTTTTATTGTAAACGGGGTTCCGAGTTCAAGTCACATTCTATACAAGAGACGAGCGGACAAAAAGAAGAGTCACGAAGAGAATAAGTTTATGCAAACAATTGATATATTCTTATTTCTTCTGCGTCCGATTTTTACGTATAAAAAAAAAAAAAAAAACAGAGATGAGATAATTTCAGAATTTAAAGCTTTAAAAAAGCAAATCAAGCTATAAATAATAAATAATTAAAAACAAATATACAAGACCGAAGTCTCAAGATTAAAAAACATAGTAACAATCAGGTCATATACAGGGCAGTAGGTCACGATAAAACACGGATGATAATAAAAACATTGGAAGATGATAAAATACTTATTAGCAATCATGTATTCTCGAGACGTTGCATTTCGCGGTTAGTTACTTATTTTTTATTATTATCAGTCCTTAACTTCTTTTTTAGATTATACGTGGAATTTGTTTATTCCGTGAAATATTTTTCCCAACAGCGCGAGATTCCGATCATCATCTTCGAATCACCTTACACCCGAGTAACGTATTTTTTTTCTCCTCTTCGATTATTCTTTGAAAAAAAAAAAATAAAAGAAATTTCAAATAGGATGATAACAATGTCGCGCGCGGTGTTGCGTGCAAAAAAAAAAAAAAAACGAGAAATCTGACTGATGATTTCAATAGCTAACGATCAGATGCGCGATACCCATTCACATGATAATAAGTAACTAGCCGGATAGTAGCGCGTGTAGCTTTATTGTCAATTGTGTCATAATCGTCTCGCATAACGAGAATCTTTCCTGTTACGTGTGATATTATCCATTTCGTTGTAAACAATTTTTTGAATTTCTGGAAACAAATTGTTTCGCGAAGTTCTTGACATATGTTTCGACGAAAAGTCGCACGAGATTCGAAAAGAATCGAAATTTGTTTGCGGAACGTATAAATGTAAGATTTTTTTTTTCGGACATATATAAATTTATATTACAATAATTTATGCAAACTCTTGCAAATTTATATCGCCGGCTTGATTAGTTTCCTTAAATACAAGCCGTTGTGACGTATAAAAAACAAAAAAGCTGTTCATTTGAATTTTACATAAGTGCGAAAGATCATAAGTTTATTTACGAGAAAATGAGTCATTAATGTTGACGTTTATGTAAGATATTCGCGATTCATAATGAATATTTATGCGTGGCAAATAAAAAAAAAAAAAAAACACAACAACAGATAAACGTCGATACAATGCGATTTAAAACGATCACTTCAATGTGTCACGAAACTTCAGCTCTTGTAACAAGTGTATTGTATTGAAATAACTCGCGATAACCTGATTTTTTTTTTGTAGATATCTCTTTTCGAATTACGAAATTGAACGCGCATACTTATAAAATACACACGCGTGATTGACGCAGTTCAATATCGGGGAGAAACCATATATTTTACATGTATCGCCGCTAAATATTTTTTCAAACAATTTATTGATGCACATAGGCTTAGATAAGGTAAAGATAAAAATTATAACATCTGTGTGCAATTTCGTAAGTAATACACACTCTCTCTCTCTCTCTCACTCTCGAAATTTTTTGAATTACATGATAAATTTTAATGTATCGATCACGACGGCGATCTCAGGTAAATTGATCTCTTATTTGCTGTCTGACGATTCCATAATAAATATATACAGGTTGCACCAATAGTGCTCGTCGACGTGATTTACGCGTCTTCTATATCGGAAATAAAAGAGAAACCACATTATCACGCGAATAAATCAGCGAAATGATCGTCACTCATAAACACACGTGCGAGCTCGCATTTCTTCGGAAGAGATGCGAGATAAAAAAAAAAAAGTCCTCTTATTCGAACTGAATTTTTTCTTAGTCTCCGATACTCGGTGATACGTGACGATACTCTCTCGCGTTTAATAATTTATCGCCTGTGACGGGGTATCTTACAGCCGGAGCGGAGAAGTGTAAATGGTCGCAATCGCGACTGTCACGAGAGAGAAGGAGTCGTTTCCCTTCCACGCGCGCGTTCTCGCTTTTAATCTCCGGCGATCAAAGCGAGGCGGCGCATGAAGGAACTCCGCCTTGTTCCTCGAGCGATGCGATTCGATTTTTCAGTATAACAGAAGAATTTCCTATTGTCTATTCTCGGCTTGTGTTTTTTTTCTTCTTCCAAATCAAGGAAATCTCGGAATGCGCCAACTGTTTCGAGACTCACTAGAGAGAGAGAGAGAGAGAGAGAGAGAGAGAGAGAGAGAGAGAGAGAGAAAGAGAGAGAGAGAGCGAGTTGTCGAAGATCTTCCGCGGAGGGGGCTTCCGCGCGCTCTCTCGCGCGTTCTTTCTCTGTATTCTTGTGAATTTGCTACGCGCACGCCGTGACGTGGGTGTGTGAGTGTACGACGACAGTGACAAGCAATGTATCGTGGTAAGGTCGAAGAGAGTGCCACGGAGAGATACAGGGATATGGTCTAGCGCACAGGATACCAGATGCTGTTCTCTCGTGGTTCACGAGCCACCCCGATCTTCTCGCGATTCATTGCTCGTCGCTGGGCCACGTGTTCACACAGATTTACACACGCGAGTGCGTTCTTCTTTCTATTGGCAGAGAAGTTAATATAAGAGCGATCTCCTTCGTCGCGATTACGCATTGTCGTTCGGGAGTAGACGCCGCGCGACGTCCGTCGCAACATTGTGCGTGTTTTTCGGGGTTGAAATCTGACAGAGATTTGCTAGCCGCGCGAAGACGAGAGACACACACTGCACCTTTTACTTCCGTGTCTCTGCGAGACACCTCGGGAGTTCTACGCTCGACGCGCTCGAGATCGCGACGTCCTTTGAGAATCGTTCCCAGAAAATCGACGCTAAAACAAACTTAGTAGTGTAAGATTATTATAGATATATTCTTGTCCGCGTGTCCGGCGAACCGAACGGTCGTAAATGAGTCGCTGTGTCGGAGTCAAAATTGTCGGAGCCGTGAGGACAGTTGCCTTTGGTTCGAATCGTGAAAAGAAAGATAACATTGAAACGTTTGTTGTGTGAAATTTGTCGGTCGTGTGTCGTGTTGATAAACGTGTCGGGAAGGGAACAAAAGACAAGGTGACTGTCTGCCGATCTTTATTTGTAGTTTCCCTTTCAAATTATTTAACTGTCGTATCGAACATTTTGAGAAGGTCGAGAAGAATATCTATAATAATCTTACAGTAGGGATCATTACGTACGATCGCAGCGTGAGACGCGCATCGCGTCTCCTTAACGAGATTTTCGAGTGGGATTGTTTAGAAGTCGATTTTGCGTATTCGAGTGCGCGATTTGCATGAATATTATTACACAAGATTTACGAATTGTCGCGACAGATATATAAAACAAAAAAAAACGTTGTCGTTGCAGATTCCATTGTTCCTTTCCTTGAGAAGAAGTTGAGATCCGTATCGTGGAAGAGCATCGAAAATTCCAAGACTTCAACATGCCTGACGCATTAGTCTCCCTGATGGACGGATCCTGGCCGACCGTCGTCCTTTCGGGCTTGTGTTTGGTCCTATTTCTACCTGTGGTGTTGGCGCGAATGAAGTTTCTGCGTCCCCTGAAAGATATACCCTATCCCACAGCGTTGCCCATCATCGGCAACGCCTATCAGCTCAACTGCACGCAAGAAGGTAAGTAGTAAGTTCGCTCGCAAGTTTTCACGCGTTCAAAAAAAAAAATAAATAAATAAAAAAAAAATAAATAAATAAAAAAAAAAAAAAAGTCTCGCAACAAGACACCGATCGGCGGTGACCCATATTTCGCAATGCGAAACACAACCAATACATAACTGTCACCACCAAAGATGGATTGTTATTAGCAATTGACGTCTCTCGCGATTTTAACAAAAATGTGTTCTTTGTTTTTTTTTTTTTTTTTTACACTGGCAAAATTAAATTTCCCGTCTTGATTTTCTTTTAATTTTGCGCCTTCGTTTTTTTTTCTGAATTTATTTTAACGTCTAAACATATATCGAGAAGGAGCAAGGACATGGTCGAGAGATGTAAATAAACGTTACTTATATTTTATGTATTATACATTTTAACACATTCGTTTCGCCGCATAACCTTTTGATCTCTCACTATCCGATTGAGATTTCGTTAAAAACTTTGCGAGCAAACGAATCACATTGAAATGCAACTTTATTTTTAGTTATTGTTTAGGCGCTTAGACTTAAATATATTAAGTCTAAGAGAAAATTTGCACACACATATAAAACGCGGATATAATGATGTAGATATACTGCTCGTTGTCATTTTATCGCGCAAACAACACAGATATACAGTAGTTTTCTATTAAAAAGTCCGTCTTCTCGTTGTGTCTGCACGAGTTTGGACGCGTGTGCTTATTTTTTCTTTATTTATATATATATTTTTTTTTTAATGCAAAGTTTTGACGTCACAGTTCATAGATCATCGTGATACCGTAGTGAAAAAACGACATGTAAATGTCAAGAGAAGAAAATGTCAAAACTCACCTCTTAACCTCGGCTTCTGTCGTCGAAGGAGATCGTGCTATTTACAAAGAGAAATAGTTATTATCGCATATTAAAGAACAAAAGAAAAAAAAATTCAAAAAGTTTTAAAAACCTCGTGAAAAGATTGATCAAAATAGAAAAGGGCGAATACGAGGCAAAACACAGGATGTTGGTGTGAATCAGCAAAATTTATTCAAATGCCAAACGTTTAAACTATTGTTCGTTACTCACGGTACAAAATGTGTCGATGTGCTGCCTAATTTTTAATTTTTAATTTTCATTTTGTTGCCACTGATGAAAATCAAAACTTGTGATCGAAACGTTTGGCATTTGAATAAATTTTGCTGATTCACACCAACATCCTGTGTTTTTGCCTCGTATTTGCCCTTTTTCGTATTTTGATCAAAAAAAGAAAAAACGAATTGTAAATATTCTTTCGCTCGCTTTAACGAGAACTTTGAAAATTTGGTTTTCGGCAAAGAAAATTGTCGAAAAATTAAATAAACATCTTTATCTCATAGATGCGAGTAAAAAGCGTGACATATAAACAAGCGCGATCGCTGTTAACACACGTTGTGAACACAACAATGTCGTTCGTGTTTGGGCGACGGTTTCACTCGTTTAAGCAAATCAAAATTTGCAAAGATATTTAACATATAACGCGAAAATAATAATTTGAACTCCGCAGAAAACATATCCGATTTGTACCGTTGAACGTTGAGCGTGTTAAAAGAACACAAATATCGAAGAAAGCGAACATTTAAAAATAGAACGCGACGAGTTGACGTAGATCACGTTTGGCAAATTTTACTCCGTGCGTAGAAGACATCTGTTCAAATATATAGGTCACCAATATAAGTCACTATGTTATCAGCAAGATCCGCGTTAAAAACTGACTTGTGCAATTTTTTTTTTTTTTTGTTTTTAAAATAACGCAATCGTGAATGATCGGTAATCAAATTGCGATCGCACATCGGATAATTAATCTGCTCAATCGTCGCATTATACGACGGTGACGTTGTATCGCTTCCGACTAATTGTTGCGCACACACTTCCAATTCGCGACTCATCATCGATAAACAAGTGAAAATATCTCATTTCGCCAATCATATTTCGCGCACGCACGTCACACATGCACGGTTATGCAACACGAGAGAAAATCGAAAAAAAAAAATCGTAAATTTTTCAGCGAACGTATTTCGTCAGATTCACAAAACCTATCCGATAACGTAACGACCTTGATGTTCCTCGAAAGTCGCGCGCACACGGATGATTGTGCAGCTCGGTGCAACGGTATTGGGGCCAGACACGTGCCACGCTCTTATATAGCTTTTGGCGCCACGCATCGGACTAACAAAGAAAACGTGTGCACTTTTTTTACCTGATCGAACGCGCCTCATGACTTTGGCTGCGTTTATTTGCCATCCAACGAAAATCTAGTTCACGTCACAGATGCGATTACAGATTTTTATCCGGTATATCGGAACGCAGTTTGTATTTCTTCGTAAAATGTGACGAAGAAAAAAAAATTAAATTTATTGACCGACATTGACTGACTTTATTTCGGCCAAAACGCTTCGGAGGAATTTTTACACGCGCACCGCGTTGCTTTTTTTGCAATCATTTATATAATATCAAAGCATAACTTTCTCGCGCGCTGAAAAAAATGAAAAAAAAAAAATTAAGAGAAAAAAAGAGAAGAATAATAATTCGCGCGATCGAGATGATAATCGTCGAGGCTGTGCGACGAAAACGGAGAAGAAGAAGAAGAAGAAGAAGAAGAAATTGAAGAAGAAAATGAAACGGGTCGAGGTCGTTCGGACAGTCTGAATTGACGTAATTGCACGTGGTGATTTCAGGCAGAGTTTTACAAGACGCATATTCTTTCCCTCTCTCAAATATGATAATATAAAAGAGAAAACATCGACGCGGAACATCTCCATAACAAGGCGAGAGATGTTTCTCGTGTGTCTGGCGACGAAGTTGTCGGGGACTTCATTGCGATCGAACTCTTTTGTCTGCTCGAAAAAAAAAAAGAACGAGACGCTAGAACAATCAGAGTTTTGGATGCGTGCCTAAGTCTTAGCACATCCGTCAGTTCGACCGGTATTATGAAAAAAAAACGTTTTTTATTTTTTATAATAAATTTTCAATTTTTTTAATATCTGAAAATAACTTTGTATTATTAAAAATATAATTAAAACAGTTTTCCGTCATTTTGTGACGATTGTCTGATTGTTCCGAGTGTTTAATGCTAAGCCGACACGCGTCTCTGTTACGTTAAATGCGGCAATGCTAATTGAGCGTTACAGTATCGATATAAAAAGCGACATACTGATTAACACGACGCGATGATGCCATCTGCGGAAGTTGCCGTTCGAAGACTTGGCGAAGAACTAGCGCGGCCGTTATCGTCTCGCAATGTTCGCTCGTGTTTGCTTTCAATTTTTTTCGTGGGTTTAAATTCATTTAAAGATAAGTTAATCATACGGTTAACAAAGTCCCGTTATTTAAACGGTTTTTTTTATTTATTAACGCGCTCGCTCGCTTATTTTTACTTAGTTTGTTTCTTTGGATTCAATTTTTGTTGTATTTTTTATTTTTTTTTAACTTGGTTCTCATCTTTGTTTTATTCGTTTGTTATATTTTTTATATACTTCTTAGATTTTTTTTTTATAAAAGAAAAAGGCTTTTCCGTTGACAGATAAATAAGTACGGGAGTAATATGGTGTATTTATTTATCGCGACTCGTTTAGACAATTAACCTTACCGCCACGTCGCCATCGGGTGAGAAGGCTAATGGTTTTCAAAGCGCGATATTATTTTCTAATACGCGCTGTCTATATTATCTATCTATTAAGTTAATAACAAACTGCTCTAAACCAGGACACGAGAGGATAATTTTTTTTTTTTTTTTTTTTTTTTATTCAACGCGCGTGTATGTTTTGATCAGCTCTCTTATTATTATCAATAATAAGAACGCAAATGAGATAAATGCGTTTGAACTGCGAAATCGGTAAAACCGAATTTACGTCAGAGAGTCACTTGTCAAGATAAAAAAAAAACTTGACGAGCCGTGAATAGTCAATATTTTCATATTTTCATTTTGTTGTCAATTTAGTGCAACAAACTCTGTGAGACTTTTTCTCGATCTCTCACGAGAATTCTTACAAATCGATTTAGCTCTTCGAAGTAATTTCACCGTCGAAAGGCCCGGCTATATTACGCGCGTTATGTCACATTGTTGATCCGTTGATAATAACATAAAAATGGGAGGAAGAGAGAGAGAGAGAGAGACGAAAGAATGTCCGGTGCGCAAGAATAGAAGAGCTCCATACAATCGAAGGACGTCTGCCGTCTCGTTAGCAGTTCGTCAAGGTCGTCTTCGGCGTCTACTACTACCTTTTTCAGAACAACGTTTGTTTTCCTCTTCGTCTCCGTCCTCGTGCACGCAGTCCCGCGGTTGTGCGAAGTCCACGTGCGGCATAAAACACAACATGCAAAACGCTGTCTATTTTCAACCGGTCAACGTCCGGTTAACTACGCGCCGGCCGCTACAATTCGCGCGGCACGTGCAGCGATTTCTCGCTCCTTCTTATGCGCGTCTCTCTCTCTCTCTTTCTCCCGCCGTTCTCTTGATTGATCTTTCTTGGCTCTCTCAATCCCTCCCTTCATCTCTTCTTTCTTTCACCCTCTGTTTTTGTACTTGTCTTTCTCTTTCTTCGTCCGCACGCATTAAGGTTACACGCTCCAGTTTTCACGACGGAATAACTTCTCCGTTGTCTTTTATTTGTTTTGTTTCATAATAATCTGATGATGACGCGGAACGAGCGAAAGAAGATAAATCGACATTATTTTTGAAGCAACATATGCTCGATAAAAAAAAAAAAAGTGACATAGAGAGCCGGAGCTCGACTCTCCGAGCGACTTCGAAGCGAAGAGCGTTAATCGGAGAGAGTTAATTATAAAGAGTCCTTTATATGTACACACGCGATGCCGCGAGTTTAAATCCGAGAAACACTCTGCGCAGTAGAGCACATCGAGGACGAGACGACAAATGGCAATCGCGACCGCTTCTTAAAAATCAGATCGCGCGAAAAACGCATATCACGCGCATAAAAAATCGTTAATCGTGTTAACGATGAAGTTTTTCTCATCGGAATTACAAATCGCGCGGAGAGACTGAGGCTACGAAGGCAAGGCCTTGATTTACAAAGAGAAGTTCTATTCGCGAATCTCGATCACGAGATGTCGATCTCTGGAAAACGTTCATTCATCGATAACCGACTCGTTAGAGATCGACAAAAGCAAAAACTATCGTATAAACATACGTACGCATGAAATATTGCGAAATCATCATTTATCGTGAGTTTGAAGCTCACGACGATAATACTTTTTTTTTACTGATAAAGTAATAACATATGATTCACTTCAAACGCGATGTGTGTTTCATGTGTTTCTTCGAATAATTTGTATTATTAAATCGTCGGGTCGTTTTTTTGTTTCAGAGTTTTTCAAAAAGCTGACCAAGTGGGCCGAGAAATTTGGCGACATTTTTCTCATCTGGGTCGGTCAACGACCCTTCATCTTTCTCTACAGGGTAGAGGCGGTGCAACCTCTGCTAAGTAATAGCAACTACATCGACAAAAGCCTCGAGTATCAATATCTGAAGCCCTGGCTGGGCACCGGCCTGGTAACCAGCAGTGGTAAGTGATTGAAAAAAAAAAAAAAAAGCACAAAACCACATTACTACGACTAATAAAGATCAATAACCGTGCGTAATAAAAGAGACATCATGCTCGAATTTAAATGCCTACTTGTGAACACGGGAATAAGTTTTTGTTCATAACTAGAAAGAGATAGAAAAGGCGACAACTCGACGACAAAACATTGTTTACACAAACAACTTATATAAATATAAAATAAAATGTGTATATAAATCGAGTTTTAATTCGTCGAAATAATTTGTATCTGATTGCGGCAAAATTTTTTTTCTCGCAACATTAATGATCATATATCCCGTTTTTTCAAACATTATACACTTGCTATCGATCAGACGCTCGGGACTCTCTCAGTTTCTCTTTCTCTTTTTTACCTTGAGAGTTTAAATGGAAATTTTTTTGTCGTGCGAAATAAGGTTCAAGAGCTGTGTGTCGAAACGAGTAAAGTTCAAGTGTGAATTGGAGCAAAACAAATGGGAACGGCACCCAGATGTGATCACACAGGTGTAGATCAAAATTCCTACTTATCTAGTTGCTACGCGTAGTTGCAATACGTAACAGGAGCCGGGTACACATGTACCCAGTGAAGTGTTAGCAACCTTCAAACTACAAGTGCTATGATGTCAGAACTGTTTTCTGAAAAAAAAAAAAAAAAGATAAGACGGGTACGCATAGACCGCAAATCAAAATCAATTGTTAAAAACCGTGTTGCATGATTTATCAATCGAAGATATTTATCGTCATTTTGTTTTCACAGTTTTTTTTCACGTGTGCTCTTTGTTAAAATTATGTAAATATTTACTTTGAAAGACCGGCGTGTGCGTGCGTGGAAATCTTCTCTGCCCATATCTATGGCAACATTGTATTTTTAGAAAAAAAAAAAAAAAAAAGAAACGAAGATAAATTCATTTGATTTAAATTTCAACAGGAGGAAGAGAAATGCGTTTTAATATATTCTTATCGAAGAACGTACGTACACAGTTCGACTGACAACAACAGAGTTGCAAAGAGACTTGAAAAAAAAAAAAAAAAAGAAGCACACACATTAAGCAGTTGAAGAGAAGCAACATTTCAGAAAATATTCACATTACGTGACTTTTATCGCGACCCACTTCGCCGCACAAATGACAAATTACGCTTATCGATAGATAAAGTACAATATATATGTTATGATAATTTAGAAATATTTAAATAATAAAGACAGTTTATCTCTTTGTGCGTGTCAATTTGCTGGTACAAGATCTTTAATTGATTATCTTACAGCTAGATCATTTTCTCACGTTTAGCCTCTCATCTAATTAGAGAGGTATGGATTATATCTCGATCTGTGACGCGTATCAAGACATTGAACGGATTATATATTGAGAAATCCACTTCAGACGACCAAACAAATAAAAATCAAATGTGTACATATGAAAATCCGAAATAGAATCTTATCATTTTGCTTCAAGTTTGTTTGTCAGATTGTTTTTAAGAATGATCGTTTCAACTACATTCAGATCGTGATATCACCACTTGGTAACAGTGTTTTTATGTTTTGTTTTTATGTCCCCAATACGGGAGATCGCAAGTATCCCTTTACTCTCTCTTTCTTTCTCTCTTACGACTTATTCAACTTTACTCCACATATTGTGAAGTTGATCGAAAAAAATAAAACTAAACAAATCGTTACCGTTATCATTCGTTAAATTTTTTCACAAATTTTCTCTTAAACAAGAAATGTCCTAGGATATCCGGCAAGCTACTCTCGTTGAGACGCGTATGTTTTCTTTTCAATAGGTGAAAAATGGTTTTTCCGAAGAAAACTGTTGACGCCGTCCTTCCACAGCACCCTTCTCGAAGGATATTTGAAAACCGTGAAGGAAGAAGTAAAAGTGCTCATCTCTTGTCTTGAGACAGAGATCGGCAACTGGTTCAATGTGGTTCCGTACACAAAACGCGCCACTCTTGACATCATATGCGGTGAGTTGATGATAATCACCGCCATTATCTTCTTATACGTTATTGTACGATTGCACCGTTGATATTTTTAATGCGAATATAGCTCACAAAGTGAATGCGTCTTTAATAAGCTTTTTTTTTTTTTTCGGTTATTTGCATATAAGTCGCGATCTGCGGAGCTAGTCGAAAGCACTTAACGAACATTTTTTCTTGCATTTTAGATCGATGACGACAAAACTCTCCTGTTCGAGTATGTTGCTAGGCCGATAAAGCGATGATTCACGTTTTCTTTTTTTTTTTTTCTTCAGCTTGATTTTACACTTGAAGTTTTTACGCTTGCGGATTTGGCCACCAGACAAGGTCAAAATGGGAAAAAATTTCATAATATAAAGTTCATTAATAAATCATTTTTTCTACTGTCTCGCGCGCGCTCACAGACACTTCGTGTAATGATAAAAAACTAAACATCAAATCATCTTTGATGTTTAATTACGTAAGGATTCTCGAAGCAACTTTGTTCCCGACAATTTGTCTTTTTCTGACAACTCGAATCTTGGCGCGAAGACGATATCCGCTTGTTCGGCTATCTCGAAACTCGCTTTCGGACACGCGAGCTCGAACACGCACGATTTTCGAGATTTGGCGTTTCGGAAACACGCTCGAGATGTTTCAATCTTTCCATGTGCGCGAGGTCGAGGTCGAGCCGGCTGATTCATTTGTTTCATTATTTTCACAAAGCAAAAAAATATGGATATGTTTACCCGAATAAATACAAATACATTACACATTATTTTCTGTTTTGCAAATAAATCGATATACTAACATATCGATATTGATAATAATGATTATATTATATCGAATCATTAAAATTTTTTTATCGAAACCTAGTACGTCGATGATCCAAATCAACAAAAAAGATATGACGCTCCGTGTATTTTGTTTTTTTATTAGCGTGAATTTCCATAAAAAAAGTTTTGTACATTTAAAGCTGGTCGATTACCGGATTCTTTTGGAAGATCGTAACTTTCTTTTCAAATCTTAGACAAGTTTTATCGCTTAGGCAGGCGCCTATTAAACGCGCAAACACGCGAAGTATGCAGACCGTTGCGATACTACAATCTTTTTTTTTTTTTTTTTTTTTTCCAGATAGACTTTGAATCCGGACGTTCAATGGCAACCACATAAATTGACACATTGTTGCCTAACCATTTATGTAATATTTCAGTTTTTACAGAAACTTCTCGAACACTTTTTATCTTTGTTTGTTTAATTTTTTTCTTGATTATTGAATTTATGTCGAATTGACTGGAGAGCTCGTAGAAATTTCGCAAGTTTATATATATTGATATCCCCACAAAATATTGTATAATTATATATTTTACCACTTCTTTTTACACTTGTGCTTCTTTGACCGCGCGATCACGAAAAAAACACTTTTCTGTATACTTTTACGATCAATCAAATTCGTTTCATACTTCTTTTTATATAACACGTCAAATTTTGAATATGTATTACGCACGTACGAAAATAAACAAACGATCGCGCGATTATCACTCTCTTCGAGATTGTTTTAAATCATTAACAATGTTATTCGATAATTACGTTTTGAATAAAACGATTTAATTAACGCTGATGGCGTGTGATATTTTTTTTAACTTCACACATTAAAACAAAAGTTTTTAATATTTTTAATTTCTTTGATCGAGTTATTATTATTATTTTAGTTTTTTTTTTTTTTTTGAATATTATTGAAGTTATTTTTTATAATTTTACATTGCAGATACCGCGATGGGCTACAAGCTTAACGCTCAAAGAAATTCCAAGGACGAATACGTCGAAGCAGTGGACAAGTAAGTAAAGTTGATCTTTTACATACGCGCTGTTATTATTTTTTTTTTTTTTTTTTCACACGCGCGCGATGCTCATACGCAATTCGTAACACTGTACTTTGCACGGAGCGATAAAAAAAAAACGTTCAAATTGTTTTTAGAATTGCGTCAATTGTGCAAATGCGCTTCACGAACGTATGGGTGTCGTCCGATTTAATCTTCAAACTGACCAAAGCGGGAAAGGAGCACGATCGCTCGCTCAGAATCATTCACGGTTTCGTTGACAAGGTACGACGCGATTTCGAAGCCAGATATATAATCCAATTTTTATTTGTCGATAACGACCTGGCGATAAAAATTCTGGAAATTTTCAGGTGCTTGCGGAGCGAAAGGCCGCTTGGAAGCTCAAGCATGATGATAACTTCAACAAGTCCTCAACGAAGAAGAAGCAGGCTCTGCTGGATTTGTTGTTGAACATATCGGAGGACGGCGCTGTTCTTTCGGACGAGGATATTCGCGAGGAAGTGAACACGTTCATGTACGCCGGACACGACACGGTGGCCACCAGCATAGCTTGGTCGCTTTACGCGTTGGGACGAAATCCGGAATACCAGGTACCAACTCTCGCTACGACTCGAACAAAAGGCTTTACGGCCCCGCGCGTTTTAAGCAATCGATTGCAATTTTTTTTTTTTTTTTTTTTTTTTTTTTATTCAAAGTTACGTTTTCTTGAAGTTCGATTGATTTAACATCAACGCGTAACTTGTTTTTTGTTTTTTTGTTTCAGGAAAAGATCTTGAACGAATACGATGAGTTGTTGGGCAATGAGGAGATCACGCTGGATAATTTACATAAATTAACTTGGTTAGACGCGAGCATCAAGGAACAATGGAGGATATATCCTGTGGCTCCGCTCATCGCTAGGCAGATTTACACGCCAATTAAATTAAGTGAGTCGCTGTTTCCGCCGTTTAAACTTTTTCTCCGTTTTTTTTTTCTTGGTTTCAGTTACAACTCCTGTTTTTCGTTTTTCTTTGTTCTTTTTTATGTTTATGTCTTAAACAGTTTTTTTGTTTGTTTGTTTTAAGTTTGTTTTGAGTTTGAATCAATCGATCTCTCTCTCTCTCTCTCTCTAAAGATTGATTTCATTTTCAGTGGGCAGACAAATTCCACCAGGTTCGACGGTGCTCATTAATTCGTATCTGCTGCATCGCGATCCGCGCTACTTTCCCGATCCGGACGTTTATCGTCCGGAACGATTCTTGCCGGACAGTCCCAAGCTGCCGCCTTACGTCTTCATCCCGTTCAGCGCCGGTTCGCGCAACTGCATCGGCTGGAAATTCGCCACGCTCATCATCAAATTTGCCGTTTTGTCAATACTGAAGAACTTCCACGTCGAGTCTCTTGACAAAGAGGACCAACTGCGTTTCATATCCGAGTTGGTATTGATCAACGCGAACGGAATCCGTTTAAAACTTACACCGCGCGAAAGATATCCCGCAAATTAAAGTCGAAATTAAAAAAAAAAAAAAAAGATTCGATCTCGCTATTGAAAGACTCGCGTATATGCGCACTAGTGGTACGAAACGTTTTTCAGTTTCAATTATTAGCCAATAAAATAAAGTAAATAACAGAAAAGAGGTTTTGCATGGTGTGAGACAAAAATTTAGGAGTAGAACGTGAAAAACATTCATTGTCATATACTCTTTATTCAATCGGTGGATTGAATAAAGTATTCATTGGCTGGCGAATTGTTTGTGGCAAATCGCTAATCAACAATTGCGACTTCCAATCCTAATTTTCTAGCGTATCACACAGAAAATTCATTTTTTTTTTCAACCGATGATCATTCCTCTTTATTAATTAGTAGCGCATGTACATATATAAGCGAAATATTGATAGTAATCATTAATACGTGTGTTTAATTCAATGAATTGATTTTACACATATATATATATATATACATATATATATATATATATGCTTGTTTTAAAAGATAAGACACGATATAATTTTGTACTGTTATCTTAAAAAAGAATATAATCGACTTATTACAAATAAATATCATCCAATTATATAATTCCACTAAATATCATCCAATTATATAATTCCACTAACACAGTTATTCTAATTCTTACAATACTCCACACGCACAGCGCGCGATTTCTCAAAATATCTTACCTGATTAGATTTTGTGCAATATCCACCAGAGATTATTCAGTTTTAGAATATTTCTTGAACATCTATGCTGGGATGCTTACAGAGACAATAAAATTCTGACAATTTTCCAACATCACATTGCCGTCTCTCTGCTTCAGGGGGGAGTTTTTAAATATCTCTCAAAGACACGAGTGTTCGATTTCCAAGCAAACAAGAGAGTCTCTGGCGTTCTATTGATTCGTAGAACGCGCAAACGCGTGCGCTGCAAAATATTTAAATACAGCGCCAACTTTTGTCAGCTTGTACAGACTGCGTTCGGGGAGCGCACTATCAGCGCTGTTCAGCATCATTCTGTCTTTATTGCTCATTAGATGTAAAAGAAAAATAGAATTACGCAATAGCGCTGATAGTGTGCTCCCCGAACGCAGCCACACACATTGCCGTGATTAGGATTCTGGGTTACTACGGTCACAACAAGACACAAGGTAAGGTCCTAATAACCACTAGACGACCGAAGGTAGTTTCGCTTTTTTTTTTTTTCTTACGGGTCTTTAACGTACCTTCAGCCACCTGCACGGTTTTTGTTGGCTATATGACAAACACATTATCTTCTCTAATATTCTCGTTGTATTCTATACTCTCCGTTTTTCTTTTTTCCTCTATGCTGAATGTGAGGAGAGAGGATATGATGTGCAGTGGGGAGACTACAACCACGTGATACACGGCCGTCTTTTCACAGTAGCGTGCCCCATCTGTTGTCAAGACTCGTGCTCAAGGTGTTATGACTAAGATCGCCTTGTGGGAGGGGAATTTTAATTCGGGAATACACCCGAATTAATTTATTTGGAGGTCCCGATTAAGTTCGCCGATCAATCAATAAACTTGGTTGAAAGGGACCGGCCCGGAAAAATCCTTAAGGTGGTGAGTGCGGATTCGAGAACTCGGGACCTCCACAAGGTTCGCAGCCCCCTGCACTCAGGCCGCGAGACCACTGGGCCGGTCTACGTAGTTTCTTATGCATATATGTATACAAACCGCGGATTGTAAAGCGTACATAACGCGTACACAACGCGTAAGTCGCTGATAATTTGGTCGTGTGCAGTGCGTTGACGGATTAACGTGCGAAGGTTCTAGGTTAAGTTATATTATACCGTATCTGTGTTTTGATCAATAAAGAAAACCAAAAAGAAATGTCTCTCTCAGGTGGCACAATGCGGGCAACTATCGCGATCTTTTGCGTTTTCCTCGGCTGCTGCACCAACGTCGTCTTCTTAGAACTGCTTGTCAAGTGAGTAAAAGCTTCTAAATGACGACCGATGACTCGGTCAATTCGCAGTTACGTAATAAATACAGCGCTTTACAAGTATCTTACAAGAAAATTGCTATTTTTCTTTTTTTGTTTTTGTTTTTTTTTTTTTACAAAAAATGTACATAAGATGATAGTTTTTAAGAACAAAAACAATTTGTTTGTCTGTTGTCCGTGTGTACGTAAATCTAGAATAAAGTCTGAATAAAATCTGAATTTTATAAAATTCAATTGTAGAGATGATCCTGGCAGCGGAAACCTCATCACATTCGCACAGTTCCTATTTATAGCTATCGAAGGATTTCTGTTTACACACAAGTGTGGGACCGTTAAGCCAAATATAGGAATAAAGGACTATTTTGTTTTAGTTACAATGTTCTTTGTCGCCAACGTGTGCAATAATTACGCGTTCGATTTTAACATTCCTATGCCGTTGCACATGATCTTTAGAGCTGTAAGTATACAAGTGAGATTTTAAACTTTTGAAAGAAACTATGTTAGAACATGCGTTGCATTTTTCCAGGGTTCTCTCATAGCTAACATGATTATGGGTATTATTATATTGAAGAAAATGTATGCATTTAGCAAGTACCTGTCAGTATTTATGATTACTTCGGGTATAGCGATTTGCACAATTGTCAGCGGAAAGGAGATAAAGTCGCTGCGGCAAAAGAATGCGGACCAGGTGCCCACAACGCCGTTGGAGGATCTCTTCTGGTGGAGTTTAGGCATATCTCTGCTAACAATTGCGTTATTTGTGTCCGCCAGAATGGGCATCTATCAGGAAACGCTGCACAAACGATACGGCAAAAATGCGCGAGAGGCATTATATTATACGGTATAAGCTTTTTACTGTTTCTTTGTCGTGTTAAACATATCAACAAAAAAATAGGACACGAAGAAAATTTTTGATACAATTATGTGAAAACGTCTTTTCAGCATTTGTTGCCTCTGCCATTCTTTTTAACATTAGCACCCAATATTTACGATCATTGGAAGTTCGCGCTCGCATCGGAATCGTTGAAATTGCCTCTGCTCGGCTTACACATGCCATCGTTGGTCGCGTATTTGATTGGGAATATTTTAACACAGTATCCTTTTGTTATTACATTTTAGTATACTACATTATATACACACAAAGTGATAAAATGTAATCAATTGCGGAATATTGTCCTTAATCGCGGTTTTTCAGATACATGTGCATCAGTTCTGTATTCGTGTTGACCACAGAATGCAGCTCCCTCACCGTCACGCTGGTAATAACGCTGCGGAAGTTTCTGTCGCTATTGTTCTCTATAGTCTATTTCAAGAATCCATTTACCATATATCACTGGATCGGCACACTGCTAGTCTTCGTGGGTACGATTATATTCACGGAAGTGGTGCCAAAGATCACGGAAAGCTTGCGATCTGTATCCAAGACGAAGAAAACGGAATAAAAATTTAATGTAAACATTGCGACATAAATAAAACGTTTACATATATCATCACGTTTGCATATATGTTAAACGTAAACAAAATGTTTACGTTTAACAAATCATATGATATTCGAGAAAATTTTCTCTTACGCGCTTTTGTTCGTCAAAAAACAAATTGTCTTGAATGCGTTTAAGACCGAAATAGAATAAATGGTGCCGTCCGCGTTATTTTGTACAAATTTATAAAGCTTTTTTTTTGTGATATATTAATTCTACCTCACAATGTTAGATTTACGTCAATTCAAACGTGAATTTCTGTTTGCTCGCATGTAAAATTGATTGAGAAATCATTAATAAATGTATAAAAAGAGTCAATTTTAACGATGCAAGTATATTTCTGTTTTCATAATATATACTTTTTACAATAAATATATTTTCTTTTTCTTCTCTACCTAACAACAATTTAAATACAGCATCAGGTTACACAATGTTCGAGTGATCAACATACGTCGCTTAATTAGGCTCGTTGTTCGAAAAAGTTTGTTTTTCTCTGCAAACAGAAAAAAAACATTTAGCTTTAAAATTAAGAGACACGTATCTCACCGCCGGATCATAGCTTGGCACGCATGTAGAGGTCGTACGAAAACGAAATTTTTCTTCGTTTTTATTATCTATAATTTGAACTAAATTCCTATCTACGATGTACGAAAAAAAACTATGCACATAGTTGTGTGTATGTGTGAGTGTATACATTTGTGTATAAGTTAAATTGTCCGCATACGAGCCAGCGCTGTTTGAATGCTCACTAAAAACAAATGTCGAAATTACACAATTTCATAATATAAATGTACAAAAAGAGAATAAGACTAAATCTCAGGAAAAAATACATATCGCTGTTGTCGAACACAGCCGAGATATTTGAAAAAGAAAACAATAGATTTCTTCTTCTAAGCCATACTTAACACTAAAGTATTGTGATACTCGACTTTTTAGCGCAGTTTCGTATTACAATATTATTATAGATGCGTGATTATGTTGAAAGAAGAAATTAATTATCTTTTATAACAGTTATTAGTAAATTGGTCAACATACGTGTACATATTAATTTTTTGACTCGCCCTTGCAGTCGAGGTCTTTGTAAAAAAATATATAAAATATATATAGACGCAACGCTTGCCTCTCATCATCAATCTAAAACTCTAATTGCAAAAATTATTTATCCTCGAAATTAAACTTTGTCTAAAGCGTAATTCGAGTGATCCAAATTTTATTGGAACTGATATCCGTGTCAGCTCTTCCCCTCTATCTAACAAGAGAGACCAAGAATTGCAAGGGTAGGTCGCGTGAATACAATTGTAATTCGTTTATAAACCGAATGCCATTGCCGTCGTGTATATATAATAATATAAGCGCCGTGACGCGCTCGATTCCGATCGACAATCAATTTATTAAAATGGAAGTGACTCAGGTTTCTCTACGACCTTGAAGATATTGGACAGTTCGTCGACCAGAGTCTCGTATCGATAGGCCACCCGTATATCCGGCACGTTGGTTCGCGTGATATCGTTACCGGCAACTCCCTCCTTCGTGTAGTTCGGTCCCAGCCAGTACTGCTTGCTCTGTAACACAGGGGAACGGTTGCACGGAGAATGTTACGGGCGGTAAATCGCGTTGATGCGCGTTGAACAAATTTACGGAACAGAAGCTCGAGACACAAGAGATATTACAACGCATAAATCAGGAGTCATGAGGAAACGGCAAGTAAATTCCTTAATTGCACTTTATATGCGCAACACGCATATAGTAGCTGAATTACTTACCTTGTGCGGAAAACCGCTCATGAGAACGGAGTTACGTGCCAACTCACACATGTCGCACGAACTGAGCTTCCACACTTGGGCGGCAATACTGTATTCTTCCATCAATGGTTCCTATATATCATAACGTAACAGAAATATAACAATCATATATAATAACTATTACTTATGTTACGCAGTAATAAATTTTTTATTCGTTTTACCTTGGTAAAATGGAATTGAAGAGGGTCATCGGTAGACAAGCTTATACACAGTCCTCTGGCGAGATACTCCGGAAGCGGATTGCGATGATAGTTCAAGAAAAGCGAATTGTTACTGAGCGGCGACATCGCGATGCCGATCTGCGCCAAGTAGTACAGATACTGAAGTACGGGGACCTTCCTGAGCAGCAAACCGTGCGAAATATTCTCCGCCATCATGTATCCGCACACGAGATGTTGAACCGGTCCGGCTTCGCCGCAGTGAGGTCTCAGAACGAACGTGTTCAAGCCTTGCTCTCTGTAAAAAAAAGTTTATTTACACGTCAAAAATGTGTCATGCGCGATAATTTATCAAAATTTCAAACAAAAACTTCTGAAGGACAACGTACGCTCTAAAGTGATTGAGAACCGTCATGTTTGCGTAAGTGTAGTACTGGTAATATCCGTACGGTGGATTTTCCACGTCGTCCCATTCCGCGGGTGGAGAAACGTCCTTGTCAAAGAGAGGATTTTCCGGTTTGCTTTCGTCGTCTACGGAATCAAAACCTATCACCTGTAAAGTTGCACAACAAAATTGTAAGAACATCATATGAAAAGATATTAAAGATTTTTATATAAATCAACGATAAAGTAAACGTACATATTGAAGAAATTTATGCAGCTCTGGATGAGAATTCGCATCGTTGGTCACCTCAAAAAGCGGCAGAAAAATATTATTGATGATCTCTTGAAAGTTCGTCATGAGTTTGTTGAGCTTGAAAATATCGCTGCAAGATGTAAACACGTATGTTATAAAATCATTGGCTAAGCCAAGGTCTTATATATATATATATATATATGCCGCACACGAGTTGCACTTACTATAATCTAGGAATCTGTATGAGCCAGCGTACGTTGTCCGAATAGACATCGCCATGAATCGCCCATTTGGCCAACTTGTCCCACTCTTCCGGACTCTTACCGTATATAGAAAGACGCAACTCGGCGTTCTGATATTTCGACTCTTCAAGATCGCTTGCTACTTCCTTGATTATCCTAGCAAAATATTTGCCGTTCAAATAGTTGTCGGTCTTCAGGAAGACCTCGCGCAACCGACTTTCACCGATCGGATTGTACTTTGCGTTGAACTTGTCAAATCTGTGAAACGTGTTTCTGTCCTGCGAGAAGAAAATAAACTTGCCATTTTTTTTATATTAAAATTGTTTAATGTTACATATTTATTTAAAAAAAAATAGTTTTCGAATTATATATATATATATGTAAGAATAAGTTCTCCACTCTTGCACTTACTGCGTGTACGTCCAACATGTCAACGCTCAAATCGTAGGTTGTCAGATTCATAGACTGAAAAACTTCTCGTAATGTCATGGTCTCCCCGCTTTTCGAGCAAGTCACCACTTCGTCCGCGTGGTTCTTCAATGTTTTCTTAATGAACCTGAGCAGATGCTTCTGATTCATACACGAAGCCGCATGAATGTGAGTATCGACCTGTGGGAATTATTTATCACTCAACTCATTTAAATTTGAAACAAAGTTATCTTGATTTCTTCGGGAGTTTTAAGAAATATTGTTTTTCACAGTATGTGGTCGCAGACCTTTCTAATATTGTAGAAGTCTCTATGAGGAACGGCCTTCTGGCTCGCGAGTTCTCTGAGCTCGTTCAGCAGCACGTGCAACTGATACTTGGACGAGAGGTAGCTCAGTCTCCGATAGCAGAAGGACTTGAGAGGTCCATCGGCTATCATCGCGCACAACAGGTTCATGTCCTGAACAAAAGTCGCCAGATCCGGATACGAGTACGGAATCGGTTTGCCGGCGGCCAGGTCGTCGTCGTTTGCAAACACGTTGAACACGCCGTTGATCGGCGCGATCCTGTAATTTTTCGTCGCCGGAAATTCGCACTCCCACGGATCGCCCCGGGACGCGGGCGCGTGTACCGGATGATCTAATAGCAATCGAAGATAAAACGCATTAACGCGAGACGTCGTTCGGCCGTGTCGTTAACATCGGTTGCCGCAACGCTGTTTACTTCGTATCTCTTTGACACGAAATTATATATCTCTCCCGATATGTACATGTACATATAGACTTTATATACTTAGTAGCCAGCTATAATATACGCGATTCGAAACAGCGTGCAACAGGAAAATCAAAGGTGTACAAAGGATAGTAATTATGTAGGTACTAAGGAGGACCTGTCCGTGAGACGTCTTTGATCAGCGCGTCGATGTCCGCGTCGGATCGAGCTTCCCTGATTTCGTTCGCAATATCCAGCGGCTCTTTCCCTTAGGAAATATGCAATAAAAAGCTGACTTTGTATAACATCGTCATTATAAACTTAAAATACGTGGTGCTTGAAATAAACGCTACGAAACGTGTACAAAAAGCGGTGCCTTACAAAACTCCAGCGGCTGGGAGCAGCTGCGTACACAGTCAAGAGAATACACGCACTGCGCGTATATCTCGTTTTGTTTTCTTTCGTTCGACAATAACAGAAGAGAAAAAAATTACAATTAACAAAACACGGAACGACAGCTCGATTTGCGTTATCGGCTTTGAAGCGCCTAAATATTAGTGTTAATCACGTTGGGAATATGTCTCTCGTAAAGACGACACTCACGTGGTAGCTTTCAGGATAGAGAACAAGGAGACGATTATTACATCAACGAAAGTGCGGAGGACATTGAGGATTCACAGCTTTCTTTGTGACACGACGATTTTCGTCTCGACATGTATATTATATAAAAAGCGACATGTGTATATTATATGAAAAAATACCTTCGATAGCTTTACGATCGTCGTGATGAACTTCATCGTCCGTGGTGAACGGTCTCTTATCGATGCTACGTAAAAATCGCGACGTGATGGAAGGGAAGCTCTGCTTGGAGTTGCTCATGTATTTGTCGCGTATCGCCAACGCTTGCACCAACATTTTCGAGGCTCTTTGAAGGTCTTCCAGAGGTACCTGCGCACATACACACACGTACTCTCACGTCATTTATGGAAAAAAAAAAAAAAAAAAAACAAACAAACCAAAATATTTGAGAATGCTCCACTCACGAGCGATAAGATAATTTGTTGAAGTTTAGAGTAACTTAATATTTTTGGATTTTGTTTTATTAATTTTCTACAGGTAAAAATGTGCAATAACATTATTTACATATATTTGAAAAGAAAAAAGCAAACAAGAGGCAAACGAAAAAAAGGTTGCGTTAAAAAATAATTGTTTTAATCGACCAATTATTGTATATATGCGCGTTTTGACCCAGATTCATATCTTCGTTAATGTCCGAAAAAAATCCGAATCAGAGATCGCAAAATGACGACGATACAATAAAAATGAAAAACCCGACAATAACGCAGAAATTGATCAGTGATTTAATATAAATAACGCTGATAATTTAATTATTTTCGTACTGAACATTTATTCAAGCACCGTGATTTTATTTTGTTGGCAATGAGAGAGGAGGAAATCTGAATGTGAATCGAAACACGTGTATACATATATGCGTATACATTTTGTATAATTGACGTAATAAAACGATACTTTAACGCAAAATTGTTTCGGCTCTTTTTTCTTCTGTTTATATTGAACGATGTCAGAATTATTTTCGCACATCTGCCTCAAATAAAAAATGTGCATGATGTAGAAAAAGAGAGAATAATTTCGATATATATATATATATATATTTGACATCGAAGGTAGAAAATAAATAAAGACATTCGATTTCTTTAGAATATTTTCTTTGGAATATATTTCTCTTTTTTTTAGATCAATGCACGTGCAAGGTAAAAAAAAGGCAATCGAGAATTGACGACCAAAGGTTTCTCTCTCGTGTAAGTCCCTGCAGTCCCAGGGTTTCCATTTCGCGCGAAATCTTCAGAGACACTCTCGTGTGCAAATTAACATCCGTAAAACTATATAAAGCGGAAATTGCGATGTGTCACGTCGATATTTTAATGAATATTTTCTCTTGAAACTTTTGGCAATTAAATTGAAAAAGAAATATTTATTAAATGTATTAAATTACTATTATTTTTACTAGTTATTAATTATTAGCGTTTTTATCAGCGTTTATTACCGGAGATCTATCGGAAAACTGCGCACTTGGCAATATTCTCTGAAATACTCACTCCGGAAGTATCCTCTCCGGAAATGGAGACTCGTTGGAAGTGGGGTACGAAGTCATTTTCTTCGATTTTGAAGCTGTGATCGGTGTCATCGGGTACTCCCGGATGAAGCGACGGCTCGTAATGACTGCGACGTTCCTCAAGGTCCTTCGCAGCTCTGTCCAACAAAAACAAACCTCCCGTTAACTCCCGTCGAAGAGTCAATTCTGCTTCGCAATAACAAGCTTATTGTGTAACAAATACAAACTGTATATGTATGTAAAACTCAATTTGCGCGCACAACAAAAACTGGTCCCACGATAACAAATCAATGCGCGTTAATAATAAAAACGATGTGTTTTCACACGAGAGCGTAATCAGAGAGAAAGAGTATATATTGCATTAAATGCAACGTGCGGAATAATATTCAATATTCACGCTCGCGAGTTTGTCGATTCCACTGTAAAATCTATTTCGAAATTAAATACAAAACAATATTTAATTAAATTTTTTTAATTATAATAATATTTTACACACGCTATTATCAAGTGTTTGTGTGTGTGTGAGGTTTTTTATGTTTTTGTTCAAGTTCTCTGTGTGAAACGCGAGATTTTTCTCTCGCATTGTATTGTACGCGCGTGTATACGTACATATGTCGCGCGATGCAACGGTATTTGTGCATGCGTGCGAGTATCTGAAATTGTTCCGTACGCTCTTTCGCAGATGCCGACGCGCGGAGGAGGGAACAATTTATAGCGGAATTAATTCACCACTGCACAACGTGAAGGCGAATGAAGTGTGTAGTTTTGCGATCGAGAGTGGTGTGTACATAATTGCATAAGAGAAAAAGGACGATTTAAATTTTAACGAGTCGTGATGTAGGTGCGGTGTTTTTTTTTGTTTCGACTTTTGACTCTCGAGAAAAAAGAGAATTTCAAGCGGAAAATTTATATCGCGTCTCGCGATACGCAAATCTTCTTCTGTCTCTCAAAAGCAAAGGCAAATTAAAAAAACTCTGACTCGATGATGTTGAAACGCTTACAAGATCAATATCATCCTAAAAATCGATTTTATTGGGATCTGAAATTTGGGTCTGACGCATTTTATTTTAAATTAAATTAGTAGAGAAATTAGAAAAATTCTGGCATTTTCTTTCTAGTGTCTATTAACATGTCTATTAACATGTCCTACGGTTTATTTAGCAAGAAAACAGTTTTACATAAATTTTTATTTTTACTGATTTTTAAAGAGAGTGTTAGAGAGAACAAAGATAAAATCCCCATTCAGACTTACAGTTAAATATTTGAGAACCAAAAATTACAGTTAAATATTTGAACTTTTTTCTTTCTCTCTTTTTAATCGGGATAATAATGTAAAGTAGAAACTTCCTAACAATTGAGAGACAAAAAAAACACACATCACACCAGACCGTTTTAAATAATAAAAACTCGACGCGAGTCGCCAAAAAAAAGAGATCAAAGAAAATTTTTATCCGGCGTCATTTCACCGGACGCAACGACCTTTCGCAACTTTTGCCGACGCGCAAATCAATATAATACTGTTTAATTGACGCACGTTGTGTTGACATAAAAAAATTCGCTAAAGGGTCACTAGAAAAGATCATACAAAAGGTCATGGCGCGTCTGGCGACATAACGACGGTTGACAATTTAGACACGATCTTCTTTGGGCGACCCACGCGAATGTTTGCTCACTTGTTTGCTCACTACACGCCTATTTGTAACTTTTATTAATAATGCATTACATCGCAACATGGCGTCGCGTTACGCGCTTAAAAAATTTAAAAAAAAAAAAAAAAACATTGTAACACTTTCTGGTCGCAAGCACGTCATTACATAAAACTGACAAAAAAAAAAAAAAAAAACCCGGTGCAGCGAAACCTCGCTTCTTTCTTCATCTATGTCTTCTGAAAACAATGGTATATAACCTGTCGTTTCTTATCGGAAAATTCCGAAGTATGAATGAATTACCTCAGGAGAATCCTATTATCCCTCGTCCATCGTTTTGACTCGTTCGCGCCGGCGAACATGTTACGTGATCGATGCCACGTGCTGCCGATCGATCGTGTGCTTTCTTAAGCGCGGAACAAATCGCCGTGCGAAAGTGACGCGTCTCGTTCCGTTTTCATTTTTTTTTTTTTTTTTTTTTTTTTTCACTCTTTTTCTCGATATATACGGAAGATCCTCGTGCGAAAAATCGTCCTCGGTCACCAAACGTGTTCTCGCGTTTCTCGATCGCGTCGTCTTTCCGATTAATTACGACATCTTCGTCACAATTAGCCGAAAGTGTTTTTTTTTTCTCGCGCGGAAACTAAATTACAGCGTGGCCCACGCGGGGATTTTTTCTCCGGCTTTTTTTACCGTCTCAGGCGTGGGTTTTCCGAGTTGCTACATTTTCCCCTTCGAGTATCAGCTGAACGTAATCGTCATCACCGACTCGTGTTCCTTGCAGTCTCTCCTTATTAATTCTCTACGTAAATATTTGAATTAACGTGACTGAGAAAAGCTACGAGCACATTTTAATTACGTTGTTAAAATAATTACAGGGAGAAGAAAAACAGATCAAATTAATTCACGCACAGAGAAGCGTGCAAATTAAAAGGACCGCGCTTAGGTATTTCAAATGTAATTTCCATTAATTCATGCGTATCGTTTACATAATTGCCAAATCGACGCTACATTACGTTTTCCGTTTGTATCTCGACATTTCGTCGTTTTGCATCTGGCGTGACGACCTGGTTGACAAACATCGTTACAAAATGTGGCGAAAGAGCGACAAAATTCTACGTTGCGTGTATATGTGTGTGTTTGTGGCATAGCGTCTCTCTATGCGGCGTTGCGGCATATAACGCGAGCGCTTATCACGTCGCTTCGTGTAGCCGCGTATCTGTGTGTACGATATGTAATTTACATCTCATTTAAATTCACGAAAGCGCCGTTCTCGAAATATAAATAACGAAGTCCCGACGATTGATTCCCGACGCGAATTGTCTCGTCAAATATTCGTCCCGATTAATTGGTGGAACAATTAATTACATAGTTTTGTCTGTTTTTTTCCTTCTAATAAATTGCATTCGATACAAACGTCGAATTTCAGAGATTCCAGAATTTATACAAGCAATGGCGAAGCAAACTGTGTCGAGTTCGTGACTCTCTCTCGGTTACCGGGTCATTTTCGATATAATGTGAACACCGACACCGAGTCTCTCCTCTGTGTGTTGAGAAATGATGATACCTAACGTCCTACACCGCGCGTGCAACACTGTGACGTGCCGGAAATTGCGCGCGCCATCGAGAATAACACATCCAACATCAACGACGGTCGCATCAGCACTGAAGCAACGGATGGCCGAGGAGGGTGAAGCAACCCCCCGGTCTCGCTCGGCGTGTCTCCACCTCCTCTCCACCTGGTCGTTTTGCGCGACCAGCACTCCGCGATTGCATGTAAAGACGGCCGCCGATACATGGTTTCCGCTTACGTGACACGGCTTTCTTACGCTCCATTTCAATCGTTTTATACATACAGAGTACTTATTAAAATGTGTGTGATTGCGATGCAAAAGAAAAAAAAAATCATGTATACGGCGCACGAAACGAATACAAAATGCGTGGAAAGTGTGCGTCGAGAGATTCTCTTCGAATCATCTTTTCGAACGATCTTTCCGTGAAAATGTAAATTCAATGCGTTGTCTCGAGATTTGAATTAAAAAATTTTGTGACAACCTAACTGTGTTACTTATGTGACGTTAATTCGTTGTTAGAATTTTTTTTAACTTATTGTCGCTATAATACGTTTCTCAGAACATTGCCAGAGCGATACGTCGGACAAAATATTTATTTCCGTGCTTTTACGAAAGATACCAAGTGACGTACGTATGTACTGTGATATCTCTGTGATACATATTTTGCAACAACGTCGAAGCACCGAGAGAGAGGTCACGAACAAACATGAACTTCTTCGAATAAGCATATTTGTATATTGTGTTTCACTAGCGTAGACCAGGTACACGATCGATTTTTGAGGTGGAGGTCACTACACAGGGTGTTCCACACGATCTCGCGTTTGAATTCGCCGACCTTAAAAACTCGCGTTTTCCGTTGAAATTTTCTGGTTGAAAATATTCGACGGGGCATGTTACGCTCGGAAGAGATTGCAAATTCGTTTCTCTTTTTTCGATTCTAGCTTTTACACACGAAAGGATTTGAAAATAATTGGTGACGATTATGACACTTATGTATATTTCGATTTAAATTATCGCCGTTATGTATCAAACATCTCGCGAGGCCAGACAAGCACACGATCCGCGTTGAATTATTGATCGCAGCTTTATTGGCTGTAGCAACGAGAGAGAATTCCGTTCACGAAGACGACGACAACGACAACGACGACTTTTATATTGGCGATCAACGGCCATCCCAAGGTGATCCGCGTCTTCTCTTAAGGATTTTCATGTTACACTGAAGATAAGCGAAGATTGTGTTACCCGGTGACGCGCGAACGACCGCCTTTGCATATTTTTCTCGCGTTCAGTACGCGCTTTGTGTATAAAAAAAATATATATAAAAAATGGATTTAATTGCGATGCGCAAAACGCGTGTTTTATAAATAAACTCGTCTCATCGATCAATATGCCGAGATGAGTTTTATTTTCGGTTTAGAATTATCGGTAGATAGAATCTCAGTTTTGCAAGAAATTAAATAAATAAAGTGACAGAGATAAAATTATACACATATATTATATATATATATATATGTTTATAATTTGCACAAATAAAGAAAACCATTTTCTTTATTTATACAAATTTGAGAGCCATCGTAACTCTCTTGTAATTTTTTAATTAGAATTTTTATTTTTTTATTTATGTGACAAAAAAAATATTTACATTGTATTAGGCATTTAATTTTTATTTTTCGAGCTGGCAATCTAATCGCGCGCACAAACTTACTTGACGGTCAGTTGTCGTTGGATCAAAAGTTTCTTCTCGATCTGCTCGATCGGGAATTGCGGTACTTCATAGGGTGCGGAAATCTCGTTCGGCAGCTCGGACGCGAGCCTCAGGGTGGCACCACTTCCCGTGCCAGGTCCGCCACTTTCCGCAATTCCGAAAATCGGGCTTTCGCTACCTGTGTTTTGAAAGACAAAATCATAAATTTATTACTTTATTTCGATATGTTAACATCTTATATTATTGTCTTTTTTTTTCTAATAACAATAATTTATTGCATTAATTTTTTCACACTTCGTCACGCACACAAATACATATATGAATGACTCGTAGCAAAGAAATTGTAAAAATTTAAGTGTGATGACACACGCGGATAAAAATTGTTAGACTCCGAAATATCGTTTCTTATCATAGCGTGGAATTTTACACAAGCATGTCGAAAGTATTTGTCACGTCACACGAGATTTGTGAGTTTTTTTCCACAAAAGCAACAGACGAAATTGAACTCTGGAAACAAATTGCGAGAGAGAGATAGATAGAACGCAAATTCGTCGAAATAATCGGAGAATTTACCATTGTCCGCAGAGGAATCTGCGACTTGTCCGGTTTTCTGCAACCACTCGGTGACGGAATTGCGCTTGTACACCTCGAGAGTTTCGTTCTCATTTCCCATTTCTCGGGAATTGCGTGCGTTATTCGTTCAACACGAATCGCTTATACGCAAATAATAAAATTACACGCGTCCTTGCAAGTCAGTTTTTATATAACTTTCGATTCTCACACTTGTGTTTGCACGACGTCGCTGTTCGAAAGAAACACTTGAAACAATCGATCGTCGAAGATACACAAGATAAAAACGACAACCCACATACACACACTTAAGATAATTGACTCGGTAATAAAAATTCTCTATTTTTCACTCCCGAGTTTGCGTATTCGAAACGAAAATACATAAAAACAAACGACTGACAATGATGACCGTTCGACGACTAATTATAAATGAATAGCAAATTAATAGCGTTTTTTTTTTTTTTTTTAAATTAATTGTTACTCGCGGCTAATGCTTCTCGCGATTAGTTACTTGTTCCTTCACCGAATGTTATTTCGATCGTTCTGCTTCCGAACGGTCTCTGAACTGAGTCTCAAAACGCGCTCGATCCCGTCGATGCGTCGGTTCTCTCACGATGTGATCAATGAACCAACGAGAGGAGAGAGAGAGCTCGTCGTAACCCTCGACACTTGTCTATTGTACAAAAAGCCCGCAATGACGAGATATTAATAGAATGCAACGTGGCGCTCGACGACCGCCTGTTTTCGTCCGCGAACGAAGCGGCAAATTTTTTCGACACGTCGTATATATATTTGCGTCGTGTTGGCAAAGAGTTCGCGATCAGGGCTGATTATTCGATCCCGATCTTTGTGCGTCACGGATAATATTCAGAGAATATCAACCTTTATATTTCCGACTCCAACCAATCGTAATATTCCGACTGTTAAAAAAATGACGAAAAAAACACGAAACTTCGCGGACCAAGAAAAATCTCGCGAAAAAAAACGCGCGGATAGGTGAAAAGTTGTATTTCCGAGGAAGCAAATTGGAACTGCGTCATGGGTGATCAGTTTTTCACGCAGTGTACAACGCAGTTAGCTCGACGCGTGTGTAATTTGCATGAGATTGACACGGATTCGTTGAAACGTAAACATTGCGAACAAGACAAACAAGTTGATTATTATTCCTTCGTCGCGAAGCGTGTGTGTGCATGCGTGTGCGCAACAAAACAATAATACGAAATAAACAAAACCCGATCTTGGAAACACACAAGTGTGTGTAATCCCTGAGAGAGAAAAACTCCGTCCTCGATTTTAATCCAATTAATTTTTTTTGTTTGTTTGTTTTGTTTTTAATCTGCGGAATGTGAGAAACACGACGGGAATGGAACCGATGTCTATTTTTTCGTTTGCTTTTTGAACTGAGACTCGCGAATTATCGTATAAGAGTTAACTTGGAGTTTCTTTGCGATAGAGTGGCACGGTATATTTTCCGCGTATCCCGGAAAAAAAAAAAAATAAAAGAACACAAAAGAAGAATCTCACGAAAAAATAAAAAACCCTCGTTGGCAGAAATTCGTATTGTCAACAGAGACGTTTCCGCCTCGTTTCTTTCGGCCGCGAGCAACTCGGGTGAACTCTCTCGGGCGGACGAGCGCAAGGCTCCATTTATAAATAGATGACCCGAGGAAGCGTCGTCGTGTTCCCAGATCGCTCCGCCGCGCATTTCCCGCAAGGTCGATACGCAGAAAGCGCCGGAAAAGAACGGCGCTTTTCAATGCCGGCGCGAGCGATTCGCGCGTCGAGTCATTGTTCCTTCCGAGCCGATTTCGCGCGAAGACGGGACATTTTCTCGCGATACGGAATTTTTTAATAATATCCGCGAGATAAAATTCACGAAACTGTTCGCGCGAGAAGGATATGTATTTGAAACATCCAGTGAGAATCCTCGTATCTTTCCTCTCGTGCTGGGATCAGCGCCGCGTTATCGAAGTCAATTCTCGGTAGGAAGACGAGAAGAGAGAAAAAGAGATAGATTTACATCGAAGAAAAAAAAGAGGTCAACTTGAGTCTCGCAATGTTGCAAGAGTATTTATCTTGAGGCGCGTGTTGTTACGAGCCGCTCAGCACATATAGATTCATATAATACACGCGTTATTCACGTTGTCGATAAAGCGCCGTTCTCACACGACGAACCAGTGATTGCAGCGTAACTTTTATGGAAAAAAAAAAAATTAAAAAAACAAATACGAATTGCGCGTATTTGTTATCGCGAAGCGTCGAATTATAATGTTTCTTCCTCGACGGCGCTAACAACGTAGTTTACTTTATCGCAAAGTTACTCACAAAGCAAAAAGCCTCAAGTAGCCCCTGAAATCGATTGTAACAAACTCGCGGAAGTAACTCGTTTAATTGAGCTTAAAATCTATCAGACAAATCGAAAACGATCGATGCGACTCGGATTGTTTTTTTTAATTAAATAATACACGAACTCTTGTGCGCTAGACCAGGTGTTTCCTCGAATCGTTTTGTTCTTATCGGCGTTCTTATCGGCGAGAAAATTCGAACACTGCTCCGCGTGAGAGATATTGTGTGATACGAAGTTCAGGCTCTCTCTCTCTCTCTCTCTCTCTCTCGGGGAGAGAAACGTATGTAAGTACCGCGTGTGGTCTAGTCGACAGCGCGTCTCGGAGGGCACTGACCAATATCACCGACTGGTCGTGAGAGAGAACTGTTGAATGCACACTGACTAACTTGCAAGACGCAATGGAAAGGACACGAGGGGTAATGCAGAATGCGTTGGCATGGTCGCACGTCACGGATTCCGCGTGCACACGTGACAGAGTTTACGCGCGCGGAAAAAATCCGCGCGCGCGTATGAGAAAACTTCTGGCACGTTAAAAACCATCTCGAAGTGGAGAGAATCTTTCGGAAGCCAAAATAATGATCGAATGACTAGCGCGCTCCGTTCCTGAAACGGAAACATTTGACATATTTTATTGCGTATAATACACACACGCGCACACGAAGATAATCTATAATTATTCCAAGTGGATTTGTTGAGCCTCGGAAACACGAAAATTAATACCGAAAATCACGCCGCGATAAAAGAGAACGTTTTAATTATCAGTTAATTTCACTTAAGTCTTAATGCGGAGCTTTTTATTATCGCGCGAGATTTAATATCCCGGCGTGTGTACGTAACGTATCGAAGAGATAAAAAATGTTCAAAGATCTCTGATTGCGTCACAGCGTGGGAAGATATCAACGAGATTTTTGGACTCGTCACGTTTTTCGCAAAATCATCAGCGCGTTTTATTCATAACTCGCGTGCGACAAACTTGGCACAAACAACGAGACGCGTGTGTGCGTTTCGAGAAAACATTCGCGACGTACGTGTACGTGTCGCCGAGAGAGAGAGAGAGAGAGAGATTAATAATAATAGAATGCGTCCGCGTTCTACGCGTGAATGTACCATTCTCGCGCGCACGCATTGTTAATTCGGTCCACTTCGGCTTTTTGAATCGCACAAACATTCATTTTCTGCCAATAAAAACGTGAAACACAAAACCGACGCCTCTTAAATATCATAACAGAGAAATTTTTAATTATTTACACCGCATAGAGAAATACGTCGGACATTGTTATTGCATTCGATTGCGTATCTATTCTTGGGTGACCCACATACCGACGTAGTGCGACACATAAGCTGCCACTTGCGTACGCAGCTGCGTAGGTGTCAGCGGCAGATTTGAGCGAGCGAGCGAAACGAACGACGCGAAAAATATATATGCGTTTAGTTTTAAAAAGAGATATAATATATATGAGCACACAGTGCGTCAGTCTCCGAATGAGATATATAAAAGCCATGTGTTGCCGCCGGTTAAAAAAAACTAAAACAGAGAGAAATATACGGAAAATTGAAAAAGTTCAGGGAGTAATTCAAGAAAATTGCGATAAAACGTCCAGTCGCGCGATTATTTGCCGCAACAAGTAGAAAAGACAAAGATTGACGGTCGTGCTGATAACACAAATAAAAGAGAAGAGACTAATATCGATATTGCAATATACTACAATCTTACTAGTGAGTCACGTGTTGTTTTATGAACGCGATACGCTCGTAAAAGATAATAAATTCTCATTTCACATTCGAATAGACACGCCGCTTCGCAAAAAAACACAAGTCGCAATATGTGTGCGTTAAAAAAAAAAAAAAAAAAAAAAAAACAAATTGTAAACACGAACGTAATTTTCTCGGTGAAACGTCAATATTTTCCGCGCGAATGATATGACTTGAAACCTGTGAACGAGCATTTTGTTTTTCTTTTTCTCTTCCGTCGGCAGACGAATTTGCAAACTCTGATTTAGCAACTACGGTGATTTAATTGCAAAGTCGGATTTTCGTTCGCTCACGCCGCGAGCGATTTCGCGCGTGTGCGCCAATCGCGCGCTAATTGATGTTCGTGCTTACGAACACGAACTGCGCGAAGAATTTTCTTCAATCCAATGTGTCATCCGGCGTCATGCGAGCTGCAGTTGCGAATTGCAAAATTAATACATTTCTCGAAACGCGCGCTTTTTGATTCGCGGTTAGTTTCCAAAAAAAAATGAAGAAAAAGAACGTTAATTGGAGGAAAAGAGACGCGGATCTCTCTTTCCATGCTCTTAAATTTCCAATTTAAATAATGCTTTATGCAAATTCAAACAAAAGCTATCTGAAACCACTCTCTCATAGAAGAATATTACGGAGACCTTCGGATGAGAGAAAGTCTGTTAGAAAAGAAAAATGCGATGCGGAGTACACGCTTGTGTGCTAGCAGAATTCTCGATACAATCTCTTCTCCATCGCATATATTTCAAATAAAAATACCTCCATTTTTATATAGCTAAACGAGAGATTATAAAATATATATTTATCTTTTAAAAATAGACGTTGAAACTCTTGTTACTCCGACAGACCTTCGCTTTTGTAAGCAGCGCGATAATGGCGATAATCGCGGTTCATTTTATCAAGAAAAACGCGACGACTTATATACGCTTCCTTAACTTCGAAACAAGTGTTTACTCCGCACACTAATTACAGAGTCAGACATTAAACGATTCATTGAAACTCATTGTGAACCGTATCCCGCGACGTCAAGGCTAAATGCAACGAAGCGATGAAAAGTTTGACGCGCATCCGCAGTGACGCGTCGAAAACTTCGCGCGAACACGTTAGCATTAAATAAACAATACTTTTATACAGAGCTTTTGATTTCGATTTATTTATTATTAAAATATATCTTATATTGAATATTATTGCGAAATAGTTTAGAATAGATTTTGACGCAAAATCAACAACGCGACGCGAGTGTGTTTTTCAATGAAACAAAATAAACAACGAGAACGCCGAGTCTAACAGTCGATAAATAGTCACCGGTGTTTTACATCGACGATGAGTCTAGACGACACTTGCTACACATGGCGCAAGCGGCGAACGCGAGTAAGTATAAGCAGCGGAAATTTCCTCGAGGGACGTTCGAGAAAGAAAACGAGCGCGCGATCGAATCCTATATGGGTTTATATATCTATTTACAGCACGAATCGCGTGAATTTGCGTGATTCAATTTCTGGCTGCCGGCTCCGACAGCCAGCAGAAGTAGTTTTGCGCGCGCCAAGAAAATCAGCGCACGACAATTGCGGGGAGAGACGGTAGACTCGCGAAGAAAGGATCAATATCGGCCCTCTTATTAGCGCGCGGAATTATCTTTGAATATATCTGACGAAGAGTCCCCGTCAAGAAACCGTGTCCGCTAACCTTCTTCTCACCTGACGCGCGTCTTGTAGGGTTTATTTTTAGTTTATAAATACCGCGCGTCGCGGAACAAAAATAAACTGGCGTCTTGTATTTTTGATGTACTCACGTTGGCACCGATGTTTGAAAAGCTTTAGGAGAATCGTGGCTTGCCAGGGTTCACCGTAATGCGGATGCCATCGCTTGGAATTAAAAGACTCAATGCGAGAGAGAAATTTAAATACATAGAAATCTTATAATAATTAAAGTATAATATAAATAATAAAATAAAATTAACACGCGCCAGTTATTTAAATCTTATCTCTTTTTATCAGAAATTTGGAAACCGACGAAATTCGAAATAATCGATTTGTGATTATTTTGCACACACCTAACCGTAGAAACAAAAACTGTTGCAAGTGTGCAACACGAGATAAGTGAAACGATGTCGAGACCTCAACCTTGACTGTGAAAGACATACATGTGAAAATTATTCACACATTGTTCGCAAACATTAGCGCTTCTCGTTTTATCAAATTAAACGTACTTCGACGTGATAATCTCCGTAAAACTTTCTATAAACTACGTGTCTATTTATAGTTTTTACGTTCACGTGAAAGCAATTTATAACATGATTTAGATAAGTGCGATGTGACTCACGTTGGAATATTCCAGAAAGAGGCAAGTTTACGTTTATAAGAGTAAATGCACATCGCGTGGAATCATAGCGATTTTTGATAAAAAAAAAAACGCAATTACAAGAAATGCAGCGAGTGTTAGCTGTGTTATTGACAGAAGACAATCACGTGAAAATTAATTTCACCGTTGTTATTTACATGTACAATTATTTTCGCCATTGTTATTTACACCGAGAGATTCATTGAAGTTATTTCTCCGACGGGACTTTATTTGTTTACTGACTCATAGGTTTCACTTTTTGCAAAATTTGAAAACAAATTAAAAAGCTAATTAAAACGCAAAAACTAATTAAAAAGCAAGTCCACGATTGATAGTGACGACCTCAAGTCCGGTCGGAGAATTGTTTGCACAGTTTTGTAAAAATACTTCTCGAACAACGCAAAAAAAATGTTGCTATCTTGGACAGTTTCGCGGTTACGTGACGGCGTGAATGCGTTTTCGCCAATTAGACGATACGATCGATTTCAAACGGGAGGGGGGTTAAATACATCAGACGATATAATATCGCAAGCTCGCTTTCTCGTTTGAACTCGCTTCATTACCTTTGTACACAAACTCATCCGGATCGATCAGAGAATTCGGCAACCGCAAGGAATTGAAGTACGCCCCGCTCTCGCGTCTCGACGTTGTCACGCCTCTGATCGACATTATTTAGGTTGTGACAGAAAGTTTAATCGCCAAACGAACTCTCTCGTGTCGTCTCCTTCTGATATAATAAAAGTTTTTTTTTTTCAAAAAGTTCTCTCAGTTTTACGTCAGAAATAAACGAAAATTTGCAAGAGTTTTTGCATTCGTTTAACGTTTGCAAATTTATTTCTTTCGTTATTTGTACTTTTTTGCGATTCGGAGAAACTCTTCGACTTTCGTAAAATTTCGTTACGATAATGAACGCTCGATGATTCGATCCACCCAGGGCGACTTTTAAATAGCACATGACGCACTTTTAGCTCCACGTCACGCACGCGTCGCACTAAATACTAGCGCTAATCAAATCCTGTTAAACTTGATGCCAACATTACGAAGGCCGCGAAGACGAGACTCTCGGAACGCGACGAGAAAAACACTGGACAAAATTCAGAAACGCAAAATCGTTTGATTGTAAATTGAATTATTTTCTGGATTAATTAACGTGTTCACGGACGCACGCAAACAAGTTTGTCAAATTCCGTTTGCGAGAAACGTATAAATAAATATTTACTTGATAAATCGGATTTGTCTAAAATTTGTTTTTTTTTCGTGAGAGACGGAAGTTGAATAAATTTAATTTTCTATTCGGAGTGTTGCGAAACAAAAGTACTTGTTGTTCTGTCATCAGAAAAGTTATTGCGACTCACCCCCGGGTTTGTGATCAATCAGATCGACTTACAACTGCGTACGGGAACTTCGTGAAACAAAAAAAAAACAGCAGTCAGAATCGCCGATCCAATCGATTGCGCACGTAAAAAAACTGTGTGTTTTTACACGAATTTTTCGCTTATCAAATCCCGGTTGTATCACGAAGAAAGAAATTTCTTTCTCACACCTCTGTCGTCAATCTCGTCTAATTCGCGATCGATGCGAGGAACGAATCGCGAAAACAAAACCGTGATGATGACAGTTCGCGCGCGAACCGCAGTTTTACCGCCGCGAAACTAAAATGTCACGCATTGTCTTCGCTTATATTCACATGCCGAAAGTCTCGCGTCGCACTGACGAGACGAAACGAGCAAGTTTCGACGGCACCATTGTGACGGCAGCCAAAATGCTAGGTCGTCTGCTAGAAGACGAGACTATCAGGCCGCGTGCCAATTTTCGAAATTTCCTCACCTTCGTTCGGCGTCGGCTGACAAAAAAAAAAGTGCTAATTGTTGAAACTGTATAATCAAATACTCGAAATAGATTCGGATTGCGACATCGAAAGTAAAAATACAACACGAGGTTTCGACACGTGAACAGTTGGACAATCCGTGTTTTTTAAAATATATGTTTCAAACATTTATCTACTCACATTTATTTACTCACATAAATTTATTATTTTATATACACGTTGCAAAGATCAACAAAGAAAATCTAAAATCTAAAACGTGAGAGAGAAATTCGAGAACGCATATATAATTTTCTTCAAGCCCCGCTCCGTGTAATTCGTATCGATCCTTCTCCTCTCGCGAACTTTAATTAACTTCGCCTTCCGTGCGGTCAGATAAAACGTTGCAACTACTAAGCGCGAATCGTGACTGCTACAACAACATCGTCCGTATGAACGTTTCGCACTTTTGTTTCGCGAGTGCAATTATGACAAAGCGAGGGTAATTAAAAGTCACGTTACGTTCGAAACAAAATTACAATTAGAAAAAAAAAACACGTTGCTCAATTCTTTGAAAAAAAAAAACGACTCGCGCGTCGATTTTCTGAGTTTTTTAAAAATGTCGAACGAATAACACGACGAAAATAAACATTGTTTGAAGATCAATTTTTTAATCTCGGTACTCGGAGAAATTGAAGAGAATGAACTTTTTCTCTCTTGGCTTTCTTATTTCCGAGAAACGTCCGTCAAGGAAGACATTTTCTGATAGCTTTGCGATATTAAAATACAAACGTTGTTATATCATGTGTCCGCGTGGTTGTGACAGCGAAATTGCAGCGACTCGCTGTGTTACTGCACCGCCGCAGCTGATTGATTAGAATGCCGCAGAGAACCAGCGCGCGCTCTAGTTACCGTGAAGTACTCCACAACGAGCAATCAATAGCGAAATACTCACGATCACGATGGTGATCCACGTTGTGACTCGGAGTGGTCGAGCTGTCGGCATCGCCCTCACCGTCCAGCTCGTAGTAGATTCTGTCCGCGCCGCCGTTCACCTCCTTCACCCCGTTGATGGGAACCACATCCTCCATAATTCTGCAAGTTTGCGTATGCAGTCAGTCTTGGAGCGTGCGACGTGTTTATTTACAAACTGCGACGACCGGTTGTGTCAACCGTCTTATCAGTCGCCGATGTTGCGATAAGGATCCAACAATTTCACGCGTTTCTAAATTTTAAGTAAAAGAGTCAATAAGAAAAAATCAGAATTAACATTTAATTAATTACAAATAAATTAATAAACTTCAAAGATTGTATAATTTTGAAATTCATTATTTGTCGAGATTGCATACTTGAAATATTTGTGGAATAATTGTTGAGTTAAATTTATTTGATATACAATATATATATTGTATATCAAAAATATATACATATATGTATATATATAAAATATTCCGAAATTTAAATACCACTCCGAAAAGTAACTTAAATCCTAAATGACAAAAATATGCGCGCGTCTTCCCCGTTCTCTCTCCCGAGAACTTTCACGATCGCGTGTAATACGTCATCAATTTGTGCGAAAGAATAACCGAGATTAAAAAAAAAAAAACACGTGGTTCGCGCTAGCCGATGAGTCGACGCTAATGATTCACCGCATTGTTCGAGCTGTGTGTGTGTGTGTGTACGTACACACATACATAGACGGGTATAATTCGATCTCATTTTTAAGACAGTCTCAAAAGTTCATCTCAAGATGGGCCTTTTTATAATGGCTACGGAGTATCATCTCTCAAAATGAACTTACGACGATATCTCTCAAATACAAGATTCGAACATATGACTACGTACCTGAAGATGTCAATGCTCTCTTTCGTTATTCGCCTTGTCAATTTGCGAACACACACCGCGCGTGGTCGTGGTAACTTTAACAATCGCGGGGTCACACGCCGGGGCTGGACTTTCGTCTCTCGCCCGTTTCTCTGCGCGAAGGAAGATCCAGAGAGAGAGAGGACAATCGCGCGCAACCGGCTCTCTTTACCTGTATATCGCGCACCGCCGCCGAGGTGAACGACTACAATGGACGGGACTACGAGAGACGACGGGCGAATCGCGTATCGGCGCGGCGCGCGAGTCCGACCAATCGCGACGCGGCAGCATGGACGTTGGTTACGTTCAACGCGTTGCTTTCCGTCGTCGAGAATTCGCCGCGACCACACCGAACCTTCGACAGCAGAATGTCATTCGACTGATTACGGAGAGAACGATCGCGCACCAAGAAAATACGGCACTCTCGACGAGTACACCCTCGTGTGCGCGCACACATACGCGGATTCTACAACGCGGATTCTTTGGCGATGCGATCGCAAACTAGATATTGTGTTATCTCGATTTAATCGAGAGACAATCCGGAGTTGAGATCCGTTGCGCGATCGTCACTAATCGTCGAGAGCACACAGTTCTCCAGTTCGCGCACGTAAACACATGCACACTCGCACGCGTGCGTTGTAAACGATGAGTGACGTGTGTATTATGGTCGCCCCGCGCGTAAGTCACGGTGCTCGATATATATAACGAAAACTTTGATGTACGACGTACGTACTCCGTGACTTACTTCATTTGCTTCAGATAATCGCGACATTATCTCTTCCGATTGTAATCTCCTGATTAGAATCTCTCGCGATAATAAAATATTGTTCTCTCGTTTGTCTCTGTGTGAAATTTGTAATTACGAGAACGTATGTGTGCGTGTGTGCGTGTGTATGTACTCGTTCAATATTGACCTTTAATTAACGCGTCAGTTAATTACTCTACTACGGAGAAAACAATTCCAGCTTGCAGCGAACACCCGGTGCGAAGTTCCGATTGCTATGTTTTACGATCAATTTTGCTCAAATTAATTGTAGCGCTAAAAAATTGAGTAAATCGAATCGCGACGATTAGTTCCACACCGCGTTTTATAACTCTCCGACGAAGAGAAAAAAAGAGAGAGAGAGAGAGACAGAAAGAAAGAGAGAGATATATGCGATCTTCTCTGTAAAAAAATCATCTTACCTTGTCGTGAAATCCGCGACGGAGCAGTGTCGAAGAAGAATCTCTCGGGGACGACTTTTCTCCGTGCCGGAGAACGTTGTTCCTACGGCACTGCGGCACCAAGCGGCGATTGGCCGGCGAGGCGCGATGCCGCGACGCCCGGTTGGCGCGCAGACTCTCCTTCTCCTCGTCGTCGACGCCGGTGAAAATCCATATCGTCGCGCGCGGACCGACTGCCGCCCTTGTGCCACACGCTAATTATGCGAGAACGCGAGAGATCTCTCGTCGCGCCGGGACGAAAGAGAGAAAGAGCTTGCGTCTCGGCACGTGTGTGTGTGTGTGTATACATATACGTATATATATATACGTCAAGTATATATACGTCAAGTACGTTATATAAAAGCGAAAGGACACGTGGCGGGCTAATTGGCTGTTGGAGGGTTCAACAGTTCACGTCGCACACGGCTGTGAACTTGGCCTTAGACTGAAACTCTCAAACGAGATCATGGATGAGCAAATTATGTAATTCGATACATATGTTTCGCATACACTCGAGAGAGAGAAAAAAGAGAGAAACTATGTATTGGTTTTTTACACTACTCTATTGTGTGTTATTATATTTTCATGATTTCGATCGTTCGTCTCTGCGCTTGACTTAAGAGCAAAACCTCGCAATTGAAACTAATAATAAATTTCTCTCGCTTCGAGGACTTTGATTAAAATTCTAATTGAGATTAAGTTTAATATCCGGAGAATGCGCTTCCCTTGAACAAATCGAACGTAAAGCTCTCACTAATGTGTACATATGTATAATCGGAGATTCGCGCGCGCGCGCGTCTTTCTTCGAATCGCGCAATACACTTGTGTCCTTATCAACAGGAGTTTATCTACAGCTATAGCGTTTCGGTTTAATTGAAATCGAAGTCGCTCTCCGTGTTCGAGGCGTTTCTCTCGATCGTCGTCGTGTCCGTGTCGGAGTCCAGCAAAGACTTTATCACGTCCTTCTTCTTCCTCGACTGATTCGTTGTATCAACGTCTTCTTCTCGCGGTTTATCCTCGTCTGATTTACGTTCCGCCGGATTTGTCTCGCTCCGCGAGGTTTCTTTCGTTGCCGGTTTTTCTTCCTCGTGAACAACGTCAACGACGCCCTCATCGGCGATGCGTTGCTCCTCCTTGTATTGATCGTACGTCGTGTTGTCGTACATTTGATTGGAATCGTAAGGCGTCTGCTCGGTGTAATCGTACGCCTGATTGTTAGGATCGGCGCCGTATCCTTGATTAGGATCGTACTGCTGATCGGCCGCGTATTCCTGGTTCGGATCGTAATTGTAATCGTACGCCTGGTTCGGATCCTGCTCGTACTGCGCGTTGGGATCCTGCTGGTACTGCTGATCATTGGGATCCTGTTGGTATTGCTGATTATTGGGATCCTGCTGGTACTGCTGATTATTGGGATCCTGCTGGTATTGCTGATTATTAGGATCCTGCTGGTACTGCTGATTATTGGGATCCTGGGCGTATTGTTCGTACTGGCCGTCTACGTACTCGACGTATTCCTGACCTTCCTGAGCGTATCCCTGATCGGTATACCTGTTGTACTCCTCGTTGCCGTTTCCTTCGTACGGTACGTTCTGCTCGTACTGATACTGCTCGTTCGGATCCTGTTGTTCGTACTGTTGCTGCTGATTCGGATCCTCGACGTATCCTTGCTCATATTCGTAAGTTTTTTCAGATTGATCGACGATCTCCGTCGGCTTCGTCGTTTCCTCGTTATTTTGCGTTCTGTTGTCAATGTCATTTGATTCGCCAGTTGGTTCTTTAATTATCTGCAATGCGGAATTGTCGGTCTTAGGCTCTTGATGTTGATTCTCGTTCGAAGTTTCGGAGGAAGAAACTTGAGAAGAGATTGCGTCTTTATTATTGTCCTCGTTTCTCCCGTTGGACTCGCTTCCCTCGCTTGTGTCTGACTTTTTCGTTTCTATTTCCGGCTGAGGAAGCGCGTCCTGCGGCGTTCTTTCCGTTTCGCCGTTTCGTTTCACGTCGCTTTGCTCGACTAACTGCGGCAAACTGCGCGATTCATCCGCCATTACGTTGATCGCATCCGTCGTCTCTTCGACTTCTTTTCCCGTTTTCTCTCGATCCGAATTGTTCAAGCGTAATTCTCGGACTTGTTTCTCCACGCTCTCTATGTTCCACGGTTCCAGTTTCTCGGCGACGTCGAATATTCCCTCGATATCCGATTCCTCGCCGGTGACAAGATCGAGTAGATCCATCTTTTCTTGTACATTTTTCCGTTGATCAATTTCCGGTCTGTTATTCGCGGACTTTTTCGTGTCGACTTGTTCTGCACCAGACGCTTCTTGATTGCGCGCCTGCACTTTAGTCGAATCGTCCGCGAAATTGTTTCTGCTCTCTTTCGCGATCTCCACGTCATCGCGCGGCTGCTCTAATTTCGTCGAATGTTCCGCAACGTCTTCTCTGATTTCGGTCTTTACCAAAGTCTTGCGTCCTTCGCGAGTTTCCTCAAACTTCGACGCATTGTGGTGTCTAATTTTATCTACCGCGGATGCTTTATCGCGGTCGGTTTGCTCGTCCTTATCTTCTCGCGCGATCTCTGCCGTTTTGGTCACGAGATCGTCGGCCAATGCCAGAACCTTGCCCATCTCCTCGGGCACTCGTTCCTTCCTCGCGCGTTCTTCCGCCGAAAGCTCCAGGGCGTCCTCTGACAGCGTGACGTTCAGAAGATCGCCGCTGGTGTTCTGCTCGTGGTCCAACTCGTCCAAGCTCGGCACGCCGTGCTCCCGGTGCAGCTTCCGAATGTTGCTGATGTATCGATCAAGCTCGTTCTCCAACACAGCTGTCGTTTTGCCATTCTCGTCTAGATTCGCTTTATTCATCTCGGGGACGGGAGATGAACGACGTGGAGTCGTCCTGGTGACGTCCACGTTTGTCCACATCATGTGCTCGTTTTGCTTTATCAGGTCGTCCACGTCGTCGCTGGTGAGAGAACGAACGGATCCCTCCTCGGACTGTCGCGGACTCGTCAGAGTGTAATCCATGTATCCCGGCAGCGGATCGACGTCGCCGATTCGATACATGCTCGACTTCGCGGTGATCGAAGTGGGCTCGACGGCTTCAGTGCCGGTCATATCGTACCTTCTCATCTGCGATCGCGGACTTGACGGCATCGCGTTGGCATCGCGATACGGAAACGAAGCTGGAGAAAGAAACTGTCGCGAAGTGGGCGATGTTTCTTCATATCTCGTCATCTTTTCGGCAGGAAATTGCGAGAGACCGGAAGCGGCCTGCACCGCCTCCACGTGCTCCTTGAAGAATCGATTAACGGAAACGTCGTCGGGCCGAATCTGCTGCTCTGACAAGACCGGAACGGTTTCATACGGAACGCGAACGTTGATGTTCGGAATATCTTGAAGACCGCGGGACGCGATCCCATCGAAACCGGATATTGTTTGTGAGTACGGACGAGCGGTCGACACGGTGATCGTCTGAGGGTGAACCTGACGAATCGGCCGATCGCTCGATGACTGACCGATCGGCGAGACGTAGTCTTGGGTTGCTTGCGGAACATACGAGCCTTGACGATAATCGAGGGACGCACCTGTTGGCGTGGATACGAAGATCGGAGAGTTATTTAACAAAGCGCCGTTTACAACGGACTGATCGTGGAATTTGGACGCGTGGATAGACCTTGACTGGTCCGGGTGAAAAACGGACGCTCCCGGATGTACCCGCGGCGATGAGACGTTCTTTGTTTCCGCGAAATTTGGCTGCGCCGCCGCGATTTTCTTCGTGTACTTGTCCTCGTTTTGGCTCGCAATGCCGCTGTCCCCGGTAACGCTACCGGGCGCAGGGCGATTGGCGTAAACGCGAAGCAGATGAGTCTCGTATTGTTTCTGAAAAGCGGCCAAGATTTTTTCGTTCGTTATATAGAAAACCTGCCGGCTATTTTCCTCGCTTAACGGCGAACACTCACCCTCAGAATGTTGAGCCTGTCTTTCTTCGCGCTGATAAGCGCGAGCTTGTTCATGACCTTGTCCAGCGCCGCGAGCAACTTGTGATTCCTCTCGTCTCTCGTACGTTGTTCCTCCATATATTGTATGTATCTCATGCGCAAACGATTCATACAGGTCTCGTGTCTGCGATAAAAAAAAACAAAAAACCAGTTTTGTTCTTTGTAATTCCTCCGCATTCGGCCTTTTGTAATTTAAATTCCGTCGGATTCTCGGACACAACTTTTGTGACGAGAAACATAATTTATAACAAATACTTAAATTCTCATATCGCAAATAATTTAATATAAATATAATAATAATATACTGCAATATTTAACAATATAAATAATTTACAATACTATTTTGTACGTGTTAGAAACTAAACAAAAATACAAATGGTTTACATTGTTTCGAAAATTAGCGGATAATCGGATGAGTTGAAGCCATTAATTCGCGAAAAACGCGACGAACCGCGGCGAAAGGTCGCGCGCGTCTTCGCGAAAGTATAAAAAGCTAATGCACACACAACCGTGGTGGTGTCTCTTAAAGCGGAGCTGCGCATGAAACGCTGTATTTCGTGTCTCATTGTAAATCAATGAGGTGCTCGGATATGTCTCGACCAGACACGAATCCGGGACATGTAAACAACGCGAGGGAGAGAGCGGAATTCCCGTACCTCCAACCTGAGCGGAGATACGTCGGCGACCACGAAAGAAAGGAATTATCCCTCGCGTGGTGTTTATATTGATCGTGACATTCCGTAGAACCGGGACTTGCCACTGAATCGATATCGAGTATTTTAGACAGAAATATCATCGTCGTCGCGGCAACGTGCGCGAATTTGCAAAGCAATTTGCTCTAACTTTCGTAATCTTAAAATATCCAAGAGCTCTGCAACGAAGTACGTGATAAAAATGTTCAAAACTGACATTCAAAAAATCACTTCAGTGCGTATAATACAATTTTTACGATTATTATTATTATTTACAAAATAATTATTATTTAAAAAATAAGAGATTGTTCAACGGTCAAGAAAGAAATTTGATTAAAGACTCTCACCTGTTACGAGAATCCCGCACGAGCACGTTGAATCGTTCCTCCAAACGTATTCTCTCCTCCTCGCTGCAACATTCATTCGTACAACATTCAATCGATATCGATTTTCCGCGTTTAAAACGTGAAACGCATTATATACTCGCCTCTTTCGCAGCTTCTCCTGGAGCTCGAACATCTTCCTGTAGTAGTCATGACCGCCATAAAGCGACGCCATGCTGCGCGCCGAGTCAGAGGATCGAGAAAACAATCGAGCTCATTCGAGAGGCGGTCGATACGCGCGATCGATTTAAACGATGATATTGCGCGCGACGCGGTACCGTTTAAAGTTGCGCGCTCGTGACGCAATTTTCACGGCCGAACACTCCGACGCTTCGAGCACCTGTCGAACATCTGTTCGAACCAAATTCGAATAAATTCCGCAACTGGAGGTTAGAGAATCGTAAAACAATTTTAAATATATTTTAAAAAAATCTAACTAGGTCCTGTAACTAGGAGAAAGGCGCGGTAAAGAAAACCTCCGGTAAACAGATAGTCGAGCGGATCAGTTTCTGATATCTTGCAGCCCCTCTCGCACGAGGGAACGATCCTTCGTCGTGCCAACGCAGCGGGCAACTGTCGCGGTCGGCTCCGCCACGGGCAGGTCGAGGCTGCTGCTGCTTCAGCGGGTAAACACGCAGGTGTTACATTTCCCTACCCCGTTTGCGGGCTGAGGAAATTCGTGCGACTAAGCTACGAGCGACCGTTATTATAATTCGAATCTCGCAATATTACGAAACGCGTGCGAATTCACGTCGTTTGCCCCGCGATTGACGCGGAAACTCTCAAATCCGCGTAGAAGAAAAAAATTAATCTCAAGGGGAATCTTTTTTTTTTTTTTCAAATTATATTTTTATAATAAAGTTAAATATAAAATTAAGTTTTTGTGGAGCGATATATAATTTACCATAGTACAGATTCTGCGCCACACGTTTCTCGATACGGAAACTCCGTAGCAAAATTTCTATTTCGAGTTTTCATTTCACTCGAATTTCATTTCGCGCTAATCTGACGGGTCACGCGATCGCAACGGCAAGAAGAAGAGTCGAGTCGCACTTTTGGTTTTCCATGGATGTGACACCGGCAATGCGGAGTGCATTACAAAATCGATAAGTCATATTACACACAGCGGGGGTTTTTTGTTACAAAATACATATACAACTAAATCCCGCATCGATCGAGCGAATAAGGAATGCGCTTAAGAATACTGCGTTTTCAGCGCAGTTCTCGGTCACGTCGCGTGCCAGTCGCGAATTTCCTCCCATGAATAATTGTGTGCCGACCTCCGACCTTCCATTTAGTTGATTTACTTGGGCAGAGCAAAACGAGAGAAGGTCTATGACTACGTTAGAAATCGCCGATTACGCTAATCGCAGTTAAAAATGCACCTCCCGCGCAATAAGTAGGTTCGCATCTGGGGAAGAAATGGTTGGATTTTTTTTTCTGAAAACTTTTTATTTGTGTTCTATTTCACAATAATAATTAAGCCGAGACAAGATAATTACCACGAAAAACATCAGCCGAATTTTAATCCACTTCGATATTTTTTTTTTTTCTGTGTCCCTTTCGCGAATATTTACTCTCACATCTTTCTGTATTTCGCGCGCAAATGTTCCGTCAAAACCGGTGTCTTCTCCGTCGCCATGTAGAAGATCAGTTCCAGATTATTGCCGTCGAAGTTATAGACTCGACGTGTCTGTGTTGAAAACAATTAAATTTTAAATTGGAAAAGATCTTGAAAACTAATATCTACATAGTTGTGAACTCGTTCTTTGAGCGAGAGAAATGTGAACCCGTACCTCTTTTACCGATGAAAAAGACGGTATTTTCATCATGCCAATATTCGACACTATTTTGGTGCTCTTCAAGTCAATGGTCATGTTATTGTTCGTAAGCTCGCCTTGTTCAACCGTAACCATATCTAGGGGGTTTATCAGATAGAAGGCGACCTTGTTGTCCGACGTGATCTGAACGAAACCGGTCTCGCGATGCATCGGATCCCCAGTTTCCGCGTGCCAACTCTGAGCGACATAATTCAGCCACGGCTGGCCCAACGACGTAATGTTTATCTGATCGTAATAGTTCATAGACTGTTTCATGGTCGGAAATTGAACGATCGCGGGCTCGTCCGTTATCCATATGCCCTCCAACCAAGCCAGCACGTGCAGCATCTCGTTCAACGGTAAGTTTTTCATCTGCATCTTCGCGCGAAGCTGTCAAGCTACCTGACAATTAACTCAATAGATTCAGCGGTATAAGATTATCGCAGCGTTGATGTCACAATCGCGCGCGTGTTCACGATGAAACACAACCAGTGGTACAGATATACTGAAATTGCTGCGCAAGCAAGTCCATGTATTTATACTTTTCCACGCGAGATTATGCAAAATAATACATTATCACGTAATGATTCGCAATATTACTCGTACGGAAGTTGTGATTCTTGGTCGAAAAAAACACGTCACGTGTGTGTTATTAAACTGTTATATAATAAAAGCGCGTGCAAGCATTGTCAGTGACGATACTCGAAATGGACGGTATTTGAATTTGCAAATAATGCTCGTCACCGATGATGCTGTCATTGTTGACGCGAAGATTAATAGATAACAAATAATTGATTTAGCGTGTGCATCTCTTCCGTTTCTTTAGAATTTATTCCCATATATGCGATACCGACAAAGTTTATACAGTTTGTATAATAGAAAACAAATATAATAATATACATCGCAAAACTTGACCACTTCTCCGCATCTTTTATGTTTCCTCACTCACTTTTACATACTTTGCCAGCAAGTGTTTATGTAGAGTTGGAGTATTTGTCGTAGCCATGTGAATCACCTGTTCCAAATGATTATCGTCCAGCAATCTGTACTCTCTGGTTATCTAGAAAACGTAATGTTTGGAATACATAATTAGAGTGCGATATTACAATGTTATGTAAATCTAAAAATTACAGAATTGATCAAACTTACTTCTGTCACGTGAGGTGATTTTGATCTTTCACTTTTCAATATACCATTAGTCTTTAAGTAAATTGACTTCTCGCTTATGTAACCTTGTTCAATAGTAGATAGTCCAAAATTATGTGCCAAGATAAATTCTACTTTCGTGGAATCTTCATTGTTAATCTTTTCATACACCTTCAAAAAACCTGTTTCTAGATGCATAGGCCTTTTTGTTTCCGGATGCCAACTTCGTGAAGTGTAATTAAACATAGGTTGTCCTATTGATACAAAGCTTATCTCCTCGCAATAGTTGAAATCTTTAATAGTTGGATATGAACCACTAGCAGGATCTTCCGTTCTCCATGTTCCTTGCAACCAAGCTAGTGGTTCTAGTAATTTGTGCACTACTGAAGGCATTCTCTTCTCAGACAGCTTTACATATAATTCAAATAATGATTTATATACATAAAATAAGCTAACTGCAATTCGATGAAGATATTTTTATTTTTGAGTTTACATTCAAATGAATTAAAAATGATTAAAAAATAGATAGAAGTTTACAAACCTTCCTTAACATGAAGAAAGGTTAAATCCACTGGAAATCACCAACAGCGATTATGTATATACAATATACTGTAATTATGAATTACGTAAATCTTCCTGTTATCTCTCGTCCTCTTTGAAAAAACGCCAACCGACATTTCCCCTCTCTCTTACGTTCCGACGAAGTACTACGCGTTACTTTGATAACACACACCACATCACACGTCATGTGAGCACACGAGACGCGGTACATGTCCGAACATGTCACCGCATATCGCTAACCTCCTCTGTCGTTTTTCCTTACATGTATAAATGCATATTTATATTTTTGAGTGTTTTATATTTATGACAAAAAATAAACGGAGAATGTATTAATTAATTGTATATAAATTTTAAATCGAATATACGGCCCTTGATCCGACTTCCTTGGTTTTGTTTGGGTTATTTAAATACCATGATTGACGTGAGCGTAAGTCAGCTGGTGAATGAAGTGGACAAGAGCGAGTTTACATTGTACGCGGAATGGGAGAACACGCACTTCAGAATAATATTATTGAGATCGTGCACAATGCCACTGAGTGGCGAGGTATGTACACATTTGTATGTGTGATAATTAACGATAATTTGTTATGTACAATTCATTTTTTTATAGATGCACATAGAGAACGCCAATTACTTTCTACACAATTTAGAAGAGACTTTTGAGACATACTTGGAGAAGACCAGAGATGCTTTTTCTGGCAAGGATACAGATGTGCAATTCTTTCTTCAGGACGATGAGTTCAAGTGGATTCAGGAGACTATTCAGATTCGAGGACGGATACGGGTAGGTCCTCTTTCAAATGTATTGACAGTGTCTGACACTTTGAAGCAATTGGCAGAGCTTTACCAAAGATGTCAGGAAGGAAGAGTAAAATTGGAAGAGGAGAACGAAGTCCTGATTAATCGCAACGCAAAACTAATAACAGAATTGGATGAGATAATAAATAAAAAGAAAACTATGGAGAAGGATCTTTACGCGAAATTTATTCTACTTCTGAATGCAAAAAAGAGAAAAATTAGAGAGCTCCAGGAAGCTCTTGATAATAACAAACCAAAAATAAAATCGGTATATGACGAAAGCACTGATGAAGAAAGTGGGAAATCTGATATGGTGGATGAAACAAGACCTAACAGTAATGCTAAATCATCCGCTAGAAGAAAACGCGTTGCCAATTATAAGAGTCAGTCTAAAACTATACCAAATAGCAACATGGAGAACTTTAAGGGATATACAAATTCCTTTTTCAGTAAAAATGCAAGCCCTGAGCCTTCAACTAGTAAAGTAACATTGCAAGATGTAGACATGTGTCAAGAAATAGAATCTACAACAATCTCTAATATTAAAGAAGAAAACTCTGATGATGATATGTTTCTTAACGATGATAAGTGAACCCAACATAAATCCATTCTCATCTTTATATCTAAAAGATGATTTCATGCAATAATGAATATTTGTTCGGATATTTCTTTTTTGTGTGACTTTTACATGTTTATATTTACAAAAGAATATATTTAAAAAATGTACATTTGAATAATGTACATTATGTGAAAGATATCAATTATATATTTACATAAAATCCAAATTTAAATAAGCGATCTAGTCCAAAAAATTTAGTGTATTATACAATATTTACACTTCAGTAATATATTATACAAAATTGATTTTGTGAGTTTTAGCATTTTGTCTTTACTTATGATGACAATTACCAAATATGCACATATATATATTTTATATATAACTATAGATATCTATAAATATCTATAGATATATATAAATATTCTATGGTTTGTTAACAATATGGAATTATATTAGTCAAAACGTATAATTAGTGATTTGTATTGTAAAACCGAGATTTGATCGAATAAAGAATTTATATAAATCTTTTAATAAAAGAATATTTTAATGGTAAAGATGGTAGTTTTATTTATAAATGTTTCAAGTTTTTAACAAAAATCCGATTTCAGGAATTAGGATCGAGATCGGGAAGTTTGAAAAAAATACAATAAAAATGATTTCACAGAAGTGTTAAAAAAAAAAAAAAACAACCATTCGATCGTCAAAGATTGCCTATGTATTAATGTTGCATTTTTTTATCCACAATATTTTACATAAAATATATTACAATATATTATTAATAAATAACGAAATTAGATATTGATAATATTATTCACTTTTATCGTTTTTGCTCACTAATGATCAAATATGCAAATACCAAGATTTATATATATATATATATATATATATATGTATATATATATATATATTTATAATTAAGTACAACAGGCTCCGTAGTAGAAATTCAAAACGTGCAATAAAAGCATCAAGCGAATTTGATATTACTTGATATATCACTCGACGGTTTCATTACAGATATCAATTCTATCGTCAATCTACGATAATTGACTTACGATTAGGTGGATAGTTTTATTTTTTTTTTGTATCTTGAACAATTAAGTGTGTGTGTGTTTTTTTTTTCTATGTGTGATTAGGAATATTTTGCTTGAATCTGCAGCAGATGAAAGTCGTACGGAGATAATCACACGTAACATTCCGAATGTTCCGGAACGTCGGTGCAGATGAAATTTCGAATATACAATACGAATGGATATATATATATATATAATACTTTGGAGCTGATTGCCAGCAATTATCGCCGAAAATGTACACCGAACGGATGTAACGTATACACATATATAATACATACACAACTTACCGTTTTAAAAACTGTAGAGACTAGAACATAGCCGAATGTGAATGCTTAGGGTTTTAAGAATGCAAAAATTACTCTAACAAAACCCACGCGGTCGTCGAACAGAACAAACCTGCGCGCTATAAGTTTCTAAAAACGATCGAACGTAACAGTAAATTAGAATTGCACAACGGAGAGTAAGAACATCTCTTAAAAAAAAAAGAAGAAAATTAACAACATTAGTGGTGCGATCACAAAAACGACGATGGTTCGGAATGTTTCAAAGTGCTCGGTGCCACAAGCGAAATGTATTAGTAAAGTTGGTTTCACGTACACAGTGTGTCTCGTGTAATTCTTTTTTTCCGACGTGGAAGAGCCAATAGGATTGGGCCAGAGGTTGGTCTGAACACAGGTTTGAAAGGTAGCAGAAGTATGTTTTTTTTTTCTTTTTTTTGATTGCACGGGTCATTTTAGGAAACGTCCGACTTGCAACAAGTTTTTCGAGAGAGAAGAGATTACTTTCTCCCTCACTCCTGTATATGCCCTTTCAAACTCGCATTCAGACCGATGTTACTCAGCCGGGCATCTTCCGATTTATCAAAGCACCCAGATCCGGCACGATCTGCCGCTGCTCGCGATTGAACAACAGAGTTCTCGCGCTCAGGAACGAGAGGTCTGGCAATTGATTCAGAACCTTCATGGTTTCTGTCTGCACGGTCATAGCTCGCCCGTATCGATCCATCACCACGTTCTCCGCACTCTGCGCGTTCTCTCGCCTACTTACTGACGTCTTTCTGTGATACTCGTACGTCTTAGTAACGTTATTGCTCGCGGGTAATGACTTATTGTTGAGCGGCGGAACACTTTTCAACGACTTATTATACGACAAATTGTTTTTTTGCTTAACATCAAAGTCCTGTTCGATCTTTTTCTTCCACTCCGATATGCAGGGTCCCGGCAACGGTTCTATTATTTTGGACGCTGGGGGTTGTTTTTGCTGCTTCGCCGAATTGTCGGACAAGTCGGCCAGACATTGCGATTTTACATGTTGATAATTTGGTTCTTGTGCAACTGCCTCCGGATCTGTACAAGTGACAAGAATTGGTTGCTGATAAAATTGCAGTAGCAACAATTTCGCAAATACTACAAGTACCTAAAGCCAAGCCGTAGATATAAGTTTACTAAATATCTAAGATAATAATATAAGAATGATAAATATATACGTGTGCAAGGACAGAGAAGAAGCATTTTACAATTTGAGCACTTACAGTAATAAACAGAGTTCGTTGAGCAAGCTGACTGATGATAAGATTCGGAATGTGTAGAGCAGTGAGGTGTTAATAGAGGATCAAATGGACATAACAAGTCCAAAGGTAGAAGAGCAGATAACCCACCACCACCTGCATTGTTATTTATCGCAACATTTAGAAACGAAGTTTGACGCGCGTTCTGACTGTATACATAACAGCACATTAATCGCTCTTACTTACAAAATACTTGTCTCTTTTATCGCATGTGCGATAAAAGATAATTTTTTTTTGTATGAAATACAAGAAAGAGAGACAGAGAGATGTCACAAAATAAATTATCTTTCAGTGCAAAGTTCCAACCACACACACACACACAGTTACATGTACAATTACAATGAGTACTTACTACCATCTAGAGGATTAACAAGGCCAGAACTATTCCAATCAAATTGGGCGGCAGGTACTTCCTAATTTGATACATTACAATTATTAATTAGCGCGTGAATTTTACTCACATAAATATTCTCTTAAAACTTCAACTTACATCTGAACACGCTGCGCCTTGCGCCTTATTAGCGCTCGATGATGCAGAGGATTGCGAGGGTTCGGTGGCTTTAATCGGCTCTAACGGGGTGAAACCGAGATTCGCGGCAAATCTCGGTATATTCGGATTCCACCTCGGCCCGAACAGCTTCGATTTCCCAACAAATATTATTACCGTCAGTCTTCTGATACGTGAAAAATATGACGAATTGTGTACTCACAATGTTTCTGGAATCGATGCCGAGAGCGTTCAGCAGAACGTTGTTACTACTACTGTTCGCCCATTGATAGGTGAGAGCGTTGGTTTCTTCCACGCTCTTCACACTCTGCCAAACGCCGTCCGATTTGTCTATTAAAGATTTTAACTCGACTTCGCGAATTTCAGGAACATCGGGAAACATACTTGTTATTATATCCTCTATCTTATTCGCGGCCTGAAATTTGTTTCAATTGTATAAATTAATTAAATATCAATAACAAAATATTTAAAACATGCTACAATATAGTAAATATAAAACAGATTAAAATTCTAAATCTAAAAAAAAAGCAAAGCAATTTTCTAATCACAAACTAGTTCTATAATATATTATTATCTTGTATTGCACATTCCTAAACTCACGTTCTTGTTTTCTATCCGACATATAGACTCTCGCAAACTAAACTGCTGTGCCTCTACTACACTCGCGGATGTCTCGAAATTGCTAAAGTCTCCAAAATCGTCGTTGTCGTCAGGCACTTCCGATTCCTCGCCAACGTCGGGCTTCCATTCCGTTGTCGCGCTCGAGAAATTGGCGAAATCGCCAAACTCATCGTCGTCGAGCCCCGTGTTTTCAAAACCGGCGCAACTCTCCTGCACATTGGAGATCGCTGCCGAATCGCTCTTATTCAAATGAAAATCACAAAACTCGTCATCGTCGAAATACACTACGGAACCATCGCTCTTGTACGCGGCACGTTCTTCGCTCGCATCACTCGTAAGATTAATCTTGTCCCTTACGCAATCAAGGGTGGTAGTAATGGGTGGCAGTGAGGCACCTTCGTTCAGTGAAAATTCGTGCGCCGTTTCGGTTAAAGATGCGTGTGAATTGTGAATTTGTACTGTTTCGCAGTCACCGGACGCGGGATCGAAGCTAATCGTCAATCCTGACACGTGGTCGAAATTTCTGTGTTCCATGAACTCTGTGAAATCGGAATTATCGAAATCGTGCATATCGAGACCGTTTTCGACGATACGCAGTTCACGCTCTTTCTCAATCACTTTGTCGCTGTGTACAGGAACTTCTTCGTTCGCTCTATCTACATTCGCGTTTTGAACAATTTGATTCTCCGTTTCTGCATATTCGCTCACTTTTGATTGTACGGCATTGTTTGCATCGGCACAAAAGCTAACGGGAAATGTGCTTTCGTCGCTTTTCACATTAGAGTTCTTTATATCCTCGCTAGGCGTGTGTACAGACGCGCAATTCAGATTTGACTTCTCCTTGACGGACGTGTCGTCGAAGGTGAAATCAAAGCCGAACGAATCGCGCAGGGTGTTCGACTTCTTGGCGCTCGTCTCGCTATCGGATATCACGTCGTACATTTCTATGTACTTCGGTGCAATACTGTATTCGCAATCGGACTGATTGTAGACATCCGTGCCGCTCAGATTGAATTCTTGCGAGGTGACGAAACTAGAAATCGTCTCTTCGTCGCGGATGAAGGCGGACTCGTCGTTGATGTCGTCTTTGTCTCTATACGACATCACGTTATATTCCGCGTCCACGGAATTAGGCTTGTTATCGTTCAAGTAATCCGTCATAATTATATCCGCCTTTTTATCACAAGTGCCATCATTGTTCCACTCGGTGGTATCTTTGAACTGTTCGTAATTGTAAAAATCGTCGTCCAGCTGCTGCAGAATGTCCGGCGTGCTCGCGGGATCCTCCAGATCTAGACTCGCGGGTTCCGCCTCATCGTTCGCCTCCAGACCGTTCGACGATATCTCTTGCTCGCTGACCGTCTTTACGCTATCGGCTAAACTACTGTTGTTACTACTAATTACATCTGTATCAACAAAATTTTCCTTAGCTAAAACATTCTGAGTACAAACGTGATCAACGCTATTGCCAATGTTAAACGATTCGCAGCAATTCCTAGATAAATCTAACGCATTGTGGTCTGTTACGCTAGCTTCGTCGAAATTGTTCTCCAATATGCTACTATCGTCCTTCAGTTTTATGTGGCTTACACTGTCCGTCGTCTTCTCGACGATCAATAGCTCGTCGATCACGCCGCATTTTAAGGCTTCGCTTATCTTAGGGCAACTGTCCAATACTGATGACTTATTAATACCGTTTATTCTAGGAGATACATTCTGCGACGCTATTGGTGTTTGTATCGGAGTAATAACTTTCTGCGGAGACTCGGATGAAATTGATAAACCTGAAACATGATATAAGAATTCTACAACTTACAGGAATGCAAGAGAGAGACAAGAAATATTGATTTGTGTGTTGTATATATAGACACGCTAAATCTAATTTGTGCACAAGTACCATCTATTCCACCAGCTGTAAAGTCTCCAAATTCATCTTCATCAGACTCCCCAAAGTTATCCAACGGTGGTGGGGTAGAACTGACTAAGGGTGGAAAAGCCATGATTCTCCTCTAAAACATCAATAAGATACACAAATTAAAATTACATAATCTATTATAAAAGTTATATAGAAAATATAGCAGCTGCTACATTGCGACTATTTTATTTTGACTTTAAGCAAATACAACTTTTCAGTACAAATTGAGCAATCTGTAGGAAACAATTTTATTTTTACTGACAAGAAACCAAAATATTCACACTGTCGCGTCTCAATAAGTCACAAATTCTTTCAAACAACAATGTTTGGACTTTCATTGTTTTGCTATTTGTTTAAAGAAACAAAAGTTATATCTGTGTTCAAAACTTATAACAAAAAAAATAAGCAAAACTATAAAAATACACACAAAGTGCTGTATTTCATTGCACAAAGTTTATTGTATATAATTAAAACTCGTACAATTAATCATCAACCTTGTTACTTTCAATCGCGCCCAACAAACTTTGTTTACAATTATGCCCTTTTTTCTGCGTACGTGCGCCAGTTACATATGTCAAACGCAATTGAGGTTAAGTATGGTTCCCGAGATAGACATTTGCGGGGATTTTCCGCGACGGAAAAATCAACGAAGAGTCACGCGCGAGAACGTCACGTCGCGCTTGCAATTCGCCGCGATTGTCGAAAGTGACGAACGAGCGACGAGGTACCACTACCTGTCGCTTTTGAAAATCCACCACCGACCATTACCTGTGCCTCCTGTGTTCTCGGGAGCGCCCGACTTCCGCACGATTTTATCTCGAGTCCGTCATCGCGGAAGTCATTACGGCGTGTTTGCAGTGTTCGCGATCGCACGGACGCGACGAAGGCTCAGCAATTATCACAGTCGAATGTCGCGTTGTCTAAGCAGATCGTGCGCGGCGATCCGATACGCACGATGACGATGATCGTGAGACATCACCACAGGTACGTAACATCACCTGTTCTGGTCGGCGCTTAGAGCGCGTGCGCGACACAAACCGAATGGCGCGCGCAACGAACTGGTCTAATGTCGGCTACGTTCGTTGAAATGAAATTTATTACCGATATATACAATTTTGGCCATATCAGTAATAAACTTTTGTACAGGATTTTTAGCAAAAAAAAAAAAACATTAAACAAGGATAATCCGTACTTTTATAAAAATTGTTAAAACATTGTAGGAATATTGTATAATATAGACATATAAACATTCTGCTTTATTATTATATACACGTAAATATGTTTGTGTATATTTTATTATTACATGAATTTTTCTCTATACATATATATATAAAATATATATATATATATATTTTATCTCGATAATAAATATTATATATATAAGTCATTTGGAAAAATAAATGACATTTCATTCTTATTAAGTATGGAGAACAATATTTTCAATTTTTTAAATACATATAATACTTTTTTTTGGGAAGAAAACGTTTTTCCTAAGTACGTTTTATTTAAATTAATTTGGTAGGAAAACGTCGCGCTGCCTTTGTATCTGATTCGCAAAGCAGATGCGATAGTTTTTTTTTTCAGTATGTGATAATAGCGTCTATCAAAAAACCGATCATAGAAAAATAGAGAAACATTTTTATCTCGTTTCTGTTTCGAATCTTTTACAATAAAATTTTAAGTGTGAAAACATTCCCGGCGATATTTCACGAGATTAATATAAAACTTTCGGCACGTCTCACGTTTGTGTTTCAAAGGGAAAATCCGCAACCAGAAAAAAAAGCACCTTCCTCTAGATTACCGAGTCTTAGGAAGCCTTAAAAAATAGTAACTCTATCAGCAAGATTTTCGAGCAGCCGTTTGAGAAGATTTGCTTTACAAAAAGAAAAAAAAATCTCTTCACTTCCTATCAATTAAGTACACCACGATAAATAAATCTAAATCTACAGAGATCAGCGTTACGTTATGAGATTCGTTTCTTCTGACGGTGTTTCGTTGTTGCCGGTGACGATAAGAGCTTTTCCTTCTAGTCTATTGTCTAACGAGCTGTCTTTGCTGCTCTCGCTGCCAATTCTGTTCGAAATTATCTCGAACTCGTTCGAATTGACCTCCGCGTCAAGAAACGAGAAGTCATCCGCGTTCTTCAGCTGATCGGTTCTATCGTCGGAATAACGCGTCTCGTTCGCGTCGTTGTTGTTACCGACCCGTTCGATGTGCACCAATCTCTCCTTGACATTATCTTCGTCGTGACTCGTCGCTCCTGTCGTCTCTTTGTGTCCGCCAGATCGCGTGTTTATTACGTTCATTTCTACATCCGTTTGAGCCGTTTTCCCAGAAGAGCGCTTCGTGGAATTATTCGGTGATGTTTTGCCTGCATTTGTTAGAACGTTCGTTCCTGCGTCGCTGACGGTCTGGCGTTCGTTGCCGTTTGTGGTTTTCGATACGTCTGATCGAAGATCGGCCGGTTCTTGTACGCATTCGTTAGCTTCGTCAACCTGCTGCTGCTGCTGCTGCTCTTTTTCCTTTTTAGCGGCGGCGAGCTGCTCCGCGTCTTTCATAGACGCGCGGATAACTGGCTCGGCCCACAATCCCGGGTTGAAGGCCGGCCCCGTTCCACCGAGTTCCGCCGGCAGAATATCCGTCGGCAGATGCTCGTGAAGCGTGCTGAGATTGTTGCCGTGCAGGTAAATCTGGAAAAAAAAACGAACGTTCTTTTTGCGACTGACGATTATATTTGTGCAAATGCCGAGAAAAACAAAAAAAAAACGTATTTTATCATATACATCAATTTGCAGACTCGTTTTCCACAGATATTATGTGCATGTAATTTTATAATAATAAGAATCAATTATGTATTTGTGCAAAACCTTGTTACGAGTTTTCTCATCTAGAAACGGTTTCACCAGTGCCAGAGTTGCCTGAACATAGAGGGGCGCCGAGAGGAAGTGTATCGCTTTGAATCGAGCAGGAAATCGCCCACGTAGAGCAGCTATTAGGTTTCGCAGAGCTGCTGCGCCCAACGCGCTACCCTGTCGTAACGAGAATCCGCTCCAGTCCACCACGGCGACGAAACCGGCTTGCTGAAAAAAAAGAAGCATAGGTTGTTAAACGTCTAGGCGGCGTATAATAATTCCAGTTTCAGAAACAGACGTCGATCCGGACTCTGGTAGGTAGAAATAAAATAACGTCAACTATCCTTCGCGATTCAGGTTGCTAATAATATATATTTTTTATTCTTAAAAAAGAAAAATACCTGCGTTTTATGTAACAAGTATCTTCGTAACACATAACAAATTGAATAATATAAGTTTAAAATAAAAAAATTAAAGAACCGAATAACATTGACATTGTGAAATAACGACAACCAGTCGACTATTAAATAATAATTGTCGCGCACCTGATTACGAGGATCTTGAATAAGTATTTCCAGAACTAGGAAAATGGCTCGTTGAACGGATAATGCGGGCACGGCTGTAGGGTCCCACTGCGACGCTAAAATAACCAGCACGCATCTGCCTTTCCTGTATTGAGTCACGGTACAAAGAATAAATGTACATGTAAAAAATTATATGTGTATGTATCCACGCATAAAATATATTAATATTAAATATGAAGAATATTAAAACTAAATGTTTATTCTCAGTAAAATAATAATTTGAAACCATTAAAGTTTTTTCGTTTAACACCTACAGTTTTCAAATATTAATCTCACGATACTTATCATCTCAAATATGAAGATAATGTATTGCGCGTACTCTTTGAAACATTTGAACGAACTATAAAATTTTATATCGCGCATATTCCGACGTACGTGTACAAACTGTTAAAAATAATTTATAATGTTAGCAGTGTCTTTGTCGAAAACAGCACCACGTATATTTTCAAAACTTCTGAGACGTGTTAAGAGGACGCAGTGCGAATGGCACGTTCCAAGCGTTTCTACACTTGCGAATAATAAATTTGTATGCGTTTTTTTATCTGTAGGAAATCGTACCTGTCGCGCGCGGGCAAAACACCCGGTATACCCGCGCGAAGTGCGCGCTGCAACGCGGGATCTCGGGCCGTGAGGTTGCCAAAGATATCCTGTCGATGCAACACTTGCGCCTGATAAGCGACTATCAGAGCCGCCGCCTGTTCGGTGCGATACTTCCTGGCCAGCAGGAAGCGCGTGATGTACTCGTCCGTGCAATTCTCCAGGTCTACGAATACATAAGCAGATTGGACCGGTCGTCATTGTAAATACCATGGAGAATCACACACGACCGGAAGTAATTCGAATGAGGGAATCGACTCCGGGGAGGACAAGGTAATGTGTCAGACATAATCTAATATCCTTCGACTAATAGTTCTTTTTTGTTTTTTGCATAAATAAAATAAAAATTAAATGTATGAATAGATAAAGAAACAAAATAAAAACTCTATAGGCTATGCACTTCTTATTAATTTTGTTACTTTTTAATTGAATTTACAGAATTAATAAAAACACTCATTTTTTTTAGATATATCTTCAAATAATTCAAAGAAAGATGGTCAGATAAAAGATATATCTTGATAAGTGAATATATATGTATCTCCGTCTCACCTACATCCGGCCTGTGTCGAAGTATAGCTCGTACAATGTTAATGGCCAGTTGTTTGTCACGCTTATCGAGCTTACCACGTTCCTCGTAGATGCTACGCGCCAAGGCGGCGTTATTGTGACCTCTTGCGGAATCGAACCACATATATTCGCAGTATTCGGCCATTTTGTGTCTTTCGTTTTTATTTGTTTTTTTTTGTTTTTACGCGTCAACAATCTCTGAAACATCGAAAAGCAAGATTTAAATTAATTTTTTATTGCGTACGAATATTTTTGAAATTTTTTTCAAATTTAATTTTTATATTTATATAATTTTTTTAACGTCTTTTTGACATGACACATTAAGTTCGCGATACAAAAATAGAAACGTAAATTCCTCTGCGAGTGCGCGGCTCAATGCTCCAAGAATGATTCATAGCGTATTATCCTTGTGTATGTCACGGCGAGGCGTGTCGGTTCTTTTGACCGGTTTGTGGTAATTAACTTCGCGAAAGTTTCTCATGACCTTGCGAAAGACAGAGATCGATTTGCGATCCCTTCGTGTTAATAATTTACCCGACTAGAATTGATCAGTCATTTCGAAACACCAATCGATAGCAGAGCGCAAATTGAAATGAAGTGCAAAATTGTGCGGTTATAGCATTTCGTTAAATAATAATTCATTCATTCATTCAGACAAAAGCTTGGGGTTCAAAGTTTTCTTTTAGTACAAAAAATCGAAATGAAAGATATTCGCTTTGTCATACAGGAACGCAAGGAAACACAGGTATACCATGTTACTTACGATGCACGCGAGTGTCCTTTGGAATCCTAAAGGGAGATTCTCGCGTTTGATCCCTCTTGTGACCGCGACGCAAAAGAGGATGAAATCAACGAATGCACCTGCGCGAGTCCACGCCAGGCGAACTGCGTGCAACGATGAAGAGTTACTTGACGCACCGTGTCCGATTCGTTCGAAAGTCTTGTGGAGTGTTGAGAAACACACAGAGAGAGAGAGAACGGCGAGCGGGGGGCAACCACCCGGTTTGCACGGAGGGATTACTGCGCCAGAGAAAAAGAAACAGGACGGAAAGAGGCCCCGCGAGAATCGAACGAGAGAGAGAGAGAGAAAGAGAGAAAAGAGAGAGACGCAGCATAAGAGAGAGGAGAACGAAGCCTGTGTAACCGACCTGACGCTGACTCACCACTGAGCGGTTTTTGTAAGCCGCGCTATTGTCATCCGAAAAATTGTATTGCGGTCCAGCAGTGAGATATCGTTTCACGAGCGCGGCCAATGCGCCGCGACACCGAGACGCTATCGAGAGGTAAGCAGGTCGTATAACTACAATCAAAGAAACATATATTTGGTATTAGTAACTTCATTAATTATACATAATTAAAGTAATTAATGATCGAATAAAAATAAGCGAAAAATGATTCATTCAACTTTGCACGAGATTGTGAGCGGATCACTCAATTTTTAATATTTTAATGTGTACCGACGATGACTCAGACCAAAAGTTGATTTAAGGAAACATCATTAAATAAATATTATTTTTGCATTAATAACTGCGATGAATTCTTAACATTAGAACAACCAGAAGTGAATGTATAGGCTACTAATTTTATTATATCAGTTTGATGAATATTTAATTATTCTAGTATTAATTGTGTTTTAATAAATAATTGCTTTGTTTGGAAAGTGGAAAGTTTTCAGACTCTCGACTTCGGGCTGTGGCAACATTTTTTTCGCAACAATTTCTTAAAAATTTATATCCGTAAGAGTGTCTAAATTTTGTTGTGTTATTTGAAATTTCAAAATATACAGATCGCAATTTTCTCTTTAAATTCCTTCAGTTATATATTGTTCACATGTTGCATTGTCATGTAACAATACACGTTACCGACACAACTTATGGTCACAATTTGCAAGTGCGCAGAAAATTGCCAGACGCGCATCATCCGGTTCTTTATCTCGTAAAACAATAGCGGCGCGAAAAAACACACAGAGAGCACCGTCGTTCGGAAAGCGATTTTTCGCGAGTATATACTATATGTATTGCGCATTCCTCCGCATATGTCGTCATAACGAGAACGAGTCAATACAAATGAGAAACAAATCTTGCAAAATCGATGATGTTTAATTTCGGACACGCGATCTATTTCATAAAAAATTTTTTTTTTGTAAAACAGATTCCGAAAAAGATCGTTTAGAAATTTGTTTCGTTTATTTTATAAAATAATATACGGAAGTCCGGCTCGCGCGGTTGAAACACATATTTCTTTGTGCGGTGCGCGATTTCTGACGGTGTATTAAGCACACATAACGCGTCCGCGGAAGAAGAAGTTGCGTAATGTAACGGTAGAAACGCGATATGGCGCGGCAATAAGGAATTGTGTTTCCACCACTTGTACAAAGAGAGTTCATCGTAACATTCGTCCATAAAATAAACTCCATCGACCGGCACATGAAAAACTATAAAATAAAATATCCTACAATCTCTGTAATCCATCGTACATTTTCAACGTATAATACAAAAAACGTAAAAAAACTATCAACTATTTTACATTATTTGATGATGGGTTTTGGCATATTAAAATATAAATAAATAAATATCGTCGTAATCTTTCATTAACATTTGAATTTGAAAGTTTAAACCAAATCTCTTTTTTTATTTATCACATGTGTGAAATTTTAACACACTTTGAGATGTTAATATGCCGCCGCGCCTTCGTTTGCAAACCAAGTTTTATCGTTCTAAAAGAACTGTAAATAATTCGCGGCTGAACCGGCGTTGATAAAAAGCCGGCGATATTACTCCTATAGGCCAACGATAGCGACCGACTGATTAGAATTTTTACATCGCATCTACGTCATTTGTGTCCCATCCGTGTGTGTAGTTTTTTTAGAATATAATTCTTGAAATAAATTTTTACATCGGTCCTTCCAACATTGACGCGTCAAAGTGTTGTTTTGTTCAAATAACAAACCCTGTAAAATGAATATTAAATAGTAAATAAATATTTCAACAACAGAAGAACTGCTCTAATTTGAGTGTAAAAACATACAATTTAATGGTCAAGATAACAAACGTATCATTAGTTTTCAACTAAACATAAAAAAATAGTGTTTGTGCAATACAAATCACAACAATACAACAAAATCTGTTTCTTCAATTGTACACGCGCGTGTACGTGAGAAAATTGACTCCGCTATAAGATTTTCGCGGAAGGACTTTGTATCGTTGCTTTTTCTTACCTCGCAGTCCAAGCCGCGCGATCGCGAGCCGCTTCAACTCGGAAATTGAGCACAGAGCTGAATTCAAATTGCACAACGCGATGATACAAAACGCAACGCGCAATCAATGATCCGGGAATGATCCGATTAATTTGATGGTGGCAGAACGCGTGGGTCGCGAGTGAAGTTGCGCGCGAGTCGATTTATATCGGACCGTCGGGGAAGAAGTGCGCGGCAACGTCACACGAAACGTCCGGCGCGAAACTGGCGATTCGAAATATGGCGAGCGGCATCGTCGCGATGAAAACGTGACACTGTGCTGGTCGTCGTTGGCTGCTCGCGGCCGTGAGCGAAGAGACGGCCGTTCGATGAACACGAATGACGATGACCATCGTCAGGGCCGTGACTAGAAGATCGAACGACGGATGCGAAACTATACTATATAGCTACATAGCGAACTGATCGAACGCCGAAGAGCGACCGTCTCTTATCCCTATCGCGTAACACAGTAACGAAATCGATAAAAAGACGTTCGAACTTTGTTGATTTTCCACGTCACTTTTTGTATAGCGCGCATTACGTAAGATTACGCAAATCGATGTGCAAGCTAGCGATTGTAATAATCATTAACAATTATACATGCAAAAACTACATTTTTTACATGTAATCTTCTTGTCCCACGTTCGCCACGTTTCAAAAGGATAAGAGTATCCGAAAGCGCTTTTTTAATAATGTCTCAATTACGCAGTGTTTCTTTGTTCAAAATTGTAACGATAATTTGCAACTTCTTTTTAGAACGATAATTAGCGTGAGAATCAATAAAGTTTTGAAGTTGATTTTTTTTATTTATATCGATTCGCTTTGTCGATAATGTCAAATTCTGCGTTAATTGACGATGGTAATTAGAGAACGTTGACATTACCGACCTCGGTATACTTGATAAATGCGCAAATGTACACGGCAACCAATGTTTCAACCGATCACTGTTCAATTTTGCCTCGGAACATTTGCGCAGGTTACACATTTCTTTTCATTTTTTATTGTGCTCTCTTCGACAAAACTTATGCCATTTCTCTTTTCTTTTTTTTTAGGTGCTTTTACTCTCATAATTTTTTATAAGAAACTTGAGACACATTTGGTCTATTGTCAAAAGACACTCACGTCAACACAATCAAAGGTTATACGCAATTTTAAGTGAATGTTTCTTCAATTACTGCTATTGGAAATGTGAAAAAAGAAATATAGTAAGTACTTCCAAGAGTTTTCTGAAAAAAATTATTTTGTTGATTCTGAATTTTTTTTTTTTTTCCACATTTCTACGTTTTATGCGCGATAATAAGTGCGAATTCTGTTTTTTGTTTGCCCCAAAAAGTCACAAGTCATTTAGATAATTATATTTTACACTTTGAATTGGCAGAGTGCGTGTTGTGACGAGAAAATTATCTTTATATCCGGGAGTAGATTATAATTCACCTAATTTGCAGTGACCCATCTCTCTCATATCGCACACATGTACAAAAAATGTAGAAATGTTTAGCAGTGCAAAACTCTTCATGTGTAATTAGAAACTAATAATTAATACTTACAAACTATAATATAATTGTGTGCAACATCTACGTGATGACGCAATAGATAAATTTTAATACTGTTGTCACAATGCGTGCGTGTTTTTTCGATTAAAAAAAAAGTATTTATTATACGAAACACCACGCATAAAAATTTGCCATTAATGAGGTTTTAATTTTGAAGGTAAATGTTTTAGAGAAGGCAGCGCCCACATTTCGTTTCTCCGCTTCAAGGTTGTATTTGAAAAAATGCATTCCATTACCGAGTGTTCCAGCTACCTGACATCAAAGTGTATAATCTGCGATCGTGTTTCACTCGCGTATTGTCGACCACGGCAGATACATCGTCGTTGCCGCCGCCGCCGCCGCCGCCGCCGCCGCCGCTACCGACGCTCTGATACAATCAGACGAAGGAGTGTATCGCGGTCGAGGAACAGTCGGGTCTTGGCCTCGGCAAAAAGTTTTATTAATCACGTCTTGTAATGCAACGTCACTGCCGCTGATAATCATATCGATGACAGCAGCTCACAAATGCTCAATAGTGCATTCCGACTCGAGAACGCGAGCAGAATCGGCGTGTCGGGAACAACGCGGATCTATAAGACACAAGACATTCACGGCGTAACAAGGTAACATAAATTAAACCGAGTTTGTTCAATTAAGACTCGTTGTTTCTATTCTTTTTGTACATACGCACAGACTGTTTTCTTCTATGTGAGAAAATTCAACTTTCCATTTGAGATGTGCAAACCAAGAATCCGAAATAGATTTTTACGTTAAAAATTGATCATTAGTTTACACTCTCTAAAAAATATTTTGCACGTACATCTCCAACACATGACACTTACAAATCTTATTGTTTCTTTTTTAATTTGATTTCATGTCTTTATATTTGATATAAAGATTCATTAAGTTCATTTAATGTCATTCAAATGCCAGCTATATGTATGCGTAGTAAGATAATAAAGTATCATTAATCAGTGAATTAACTTTTTTTCTCCTTTGCAATTATTCTGTTGCTAATTATCAATTATTACCATGCATTATTATGTAAATGTCATCTTCTGAAGTCAATGTTCAAATGTCTCGCGACGATCAAATAAACAATTCCATCTGTAGCGTAAAGCATAATTAGAAGTAAATAAGCGCTGTTCTTAAATACATCAAGGTCTTTGTGATTTATGTAACAAATCGTCTAGTGGTAGAATCGCTAGATAATTAAAAGTTTATGTATCTTTACGCGGTTTTAGAACACAATCATCCAAGAAAACATCTTTGTTGCTTCAAATAAGCGTAAAATATCAAAATTTTCTAGTTTCCAGTTCAAGTTAATAATCTCCTTAAGATTATAAATCTCGAGTGTAAACCTCGGATCTTTTTTGGTACGCATATTTTTACAATAAATTAAATTCTACCTTTAAATACATCATCATTAATAAATTAACTCCTCTCCTCTTGTCACTGACAAGAAGAGAGAATAAGATACGATATTTAGTGTAAAACCACTTATTTACGCAGTAGTTTATAACTCATCGATTAGCACAAATATTATGAAACTTTACAATTACAAAATGTATAAGTATTTATTTAAAAGATTAATATATATAAAAATGAATATATAAACATAAGATCTCTAACAGCAAAATTATCTGTCGTTAAAAGGACAGCAATTCAATGACAAAATATTGGCGATTTCTGTGGATGTGTTTTTTCACTTTGCTTACTGGGCAAATAATGCGATACTGCGATTGAGTCATAAAAGTTGTCATAAAAGTATGTGAATCACAGCGATTGTGTGATTGATGCAAAACCTAAAATGTCTTTTGTACATGTCTTTTGTAAGCTGAAAAATGTCACTATATAACATTAAAAATTAATTAAAATATAATTATTTATATAATTCGGAAAAAAATATTACAGACGCGCACATATGTTAAAAATGTTGTTGAGTCTCATAAATTAGAAAAAAAATAATGCTAATGCTGTGTCACTGAAGTTAGAAAAACAAGTAAATCAAGATTTTTTTTTCAAAGCACACAGCGGTCAAAGTTTATCGACTACACGTAATATTCTAATACATTATATAACAGAAACATTTATATTGTGTTCTTTTCCATTTCTTATATAAACTTTCATTTAAAAAAACCGAAAACTCAAGTAACAGCGACTTAAAAATACTCGGAAAAAAGTTCTTTATGCATGGCGTGACAAATATGATATTTTTGATTATATTTTTTATATTCTCTATTTAATTATTATTTTATTATATATATATTACACACACACACATATATATATGTGTATATATATATATGTATATATACAATATATATAATCATGCATGAAAGATTGAGACGTTTTCTATATTATATATTTATTTATATATGTATATACTTATAGATATCGAGTTTGTTCATATATCGAAGGACTTTTGTTCTCAGACAGTTTGTTTGATATCATAATATGTCTCTTCTACCGTATTATTAAAAAGTAATTATACTTGAAGAAAAAGAAGTATCGCAGACGAAAATATTTATTGTCAAGTCAAGATTCTTTTATTTTTCGATCTTATCGGAATAGTGTCAGTATTTATATTATCATATTATCACTTCGTTATCGTTGCTGCAAAAATGCAAATATATTATGCATGTAATAATGAATGCGATATTTAATGTATTCTCACTGAACTTGACAGAATTCCATCAAGATGTTACACATGGTAAATCTTTTGTCCCATGTGGCCGGTTTTGGGATGTACGCCTTTACCTTGTACTACTCCTTGTATTTGCTGCACATTCCTTTCATGGTGGAAAAATTCAGCCAGTTTGATCCTGGTCAGATGAAGTTTTTAACAATATGGGACGTGGTGAGTACAAACCAATCATATTATAAAATAAACCAATATTTCTTTTTTGTTGTTTTGTAAAAATAAAAAAACGATGCATATAAAATGTAATAACGAGATATCATTCTCCGCTTAAAATCGGCCGATATTTGAAATGGAAGTTGAGATATTGAGTTTTGAAATGGAAATCAACTTCAATACCGATATATATATGTATATGTATCAAAATCTCTCGGTATATATATATATGCACATATCAAGTCTATATTAATTCCCTCGAAACTCGATGTACAGTCAATTCATTCGAATTGATCGTGTCTCAATCGCTTGGGAGACATACGATACGTATATCTGCGTAACCCTGACTTGTGCAATTAGCTTACGCAAGTGATACAAGTTTACATTGCACAATCTTTATTCCGTACACACAATAAAATGTGGAACAGACAAAAGTTGATTGATTTCGAAAGAAAATAAAACATTGACTTCCAATTTAAACCCTGTAATCTGGGACTTTATTTTATATGGGATAAAGTAGAGGGAGATACAACAGTTGAGGATTTTATTGAAATTTTTTGTTCTAAAACACAAGTGAAAAGAGATACAATTGTGTAACTTCACCGCCATGCTATTTAAACCTTTGTTTATATTCATATAAAAAAAGTAATAATAATAAAAAGTTTACAACACATATAAATAGTGAAATTATTGAAAATATAGTATACTATGCAAATATAGGGTAAACTATGGGCCGTTAGCATAAAGCCATGAAGTGTCACCATGATAAAAGATGTTGCCATTTTACCTTGACTTTTTAAAAAACACTATTTATTACTGCTCATATATTACAAAATAACTGCGCAACAATATCGCAAACAACCTTGCCGTCGGTGATTACGGCGATCGCTTTTGTATTCGGAAAAGACACTCGTCGAAGAGAGGGCAAGATGCCAAGAGAACACCAAATCGCTTTCAAATACTTGACGAACACGAATATAAATTCAACTCTTCGATCTCGGGCTATCGATAAATGCGTGCTTCGACGACGAGGTAAAGGGCGACCGAAGAGACTAAATCCATCACTGATACATCTCTCCCCTTCCATTCTCTTTTCTCGTGTATACGTCGACCGCATGAACCAGTGCCAAACGCACACACGCTCTGCGGTCTTTTCGCCTTTTCCTCCCGCCGTTTTACTCTATCCACTATCTCGTCAGTAAGTCGCGGGTCGCCGACACGAGTGGTTGCGGGGTTGTTTTCGTTTACCGATCGCACGTGACAGTAAGTCTCTCGGCGCTCCGATAAAAAAAAAAGCAGGAGACAGGTGTGCCACGTACCACACGTGTTTGTACGTACGAGAGCCGTTTTAAGAGCCGAAGCGTGCGTTTTCTGCACCAAGTAAGGGTAGATCGATCAGCATGTTCCCTCCCGCCAGAGAGGCCGCGGAGAGACGGGCCGATTAAAAATAGGTTTCTTCGTTTTCTCTCTCTCTCTCTCTCTCTCTCTCTTTCTCTCTCTTTCTTTCCCTTGGCCGCAAAGTCACGTCGATGAACAATATATAAAAGTAAAATTTTTCTATGTACAGTACACAGGCAAAGCGGAATTTTGTTGAAGCGCGAAAAAACGCGCGCGTTTCTCCGGCGACGCAAACAGAATGCGGTTCTTTTGCGTTCGGGGGTGTTCGCGAGATGGAATTTCACACAACTCCGAAGATACTTCCGGTCGACGCACAGCGTCGCGACGACGTTTATGAGGGAGAGGAGGTTAGGGTATATTTTGCAGAGAACGTGTGTCGTGTTGCACAGTAACGTCTCGTCAAAAATCACATCGATGAATTTTTCTTATCGAACGGAAAAGCACATTGGTGTCTCTTATGGACCCAGCCAGCTAGAACGCGCTATGACACGATGTGTATAAATGCGACACGTGGTGCAACAGTGACACGAGATGTATTCACATTCAACCCCTTTCGTTTACGAGAGAAGGGTGATACGACGAAAGAAAGTTTTACTTTACGAGTCTGTGTGAACTGTGTTAATTTATTTCAATGGACATCGATACAAAGTTCAAACACAAGTTACTATAATACATATTTAATGGGAGACAGAAGCAAAAGATCTTTTATATATATAAAATTTTGTTTGGTGCAGCATTGCGTCAAATTGTGTTACGCGTCTCAAATCTTGCAAAAAACTTAAACAACTGACTTTTTTTTATTTCACTTGGGATAATTTGCAAAAAAAATGTATGCTTTTGAAACATTTCTTCAAACAATTCTTTAGAATCAAAAATTAATGAGAAAATCGATGAGTCGGAAAAACTTAATGAGATTTGAAACTCGTACTATGTTTAGCATAACTTGTTTTTTTTCTGTGTTCGCAAAATTATATTTTTTATCTTCAATTTTCTTAGTTTATTTTTTATTTAAAAAAAATCGCTAGTCTCTTTTTTGAGATACGAGGAATTTTTTTTATATTAAATTAAGGTTAATACTGGTCTTTCATAATGCACTTTGCGCTTGCTTAAAGTGTTCTTACATTGCATAATGTGATTAGTATTACTTAAGAGAAAGATAAAATATAAATGTTTCTTGGAGTTCTCGTTTTTTTTTTGTTTAAATTCTCCGTGAATGAATATTTCGCTTCCGCTTGTCTTGTGAGACATAAAAATCAGACGTAGAAATCCAGATATAGAATAGCACGAATAAATGAGATATATATTTTAAACTCTTGATTTAATAAGAAAAAACTTTTTTTTAACACAATACATTTTATGTCATATAAATTGTGTTAAATCTAGGCCGGTAAAAAGAAACTGCTTGAAAATAATATTTGCAAATTATTCAAACTGAGCGCGCAAGCGAAAGTGCGTCATATATCACTATCTTTTATGTAAACTTAAATCTTGTCTTCTTTGAAGCTGTTTCTCGAACTGTAGGAGCGATATTTTTTACAATTAAGTGTTGATGAATAAATAAATATTTAGACACAAACTTTTCCTTCATATTATAATTTTATCTTACGGCAACATTTTAAAAAGTGCTAAAAAAATTCAGATCTAGTTTTTATAATTAATTATCATATAAAATATCGCAATGAAATCAAGACTCCTCTTCCTCGTGTTGGGAATACTTTGTCTTTTTAAATCAAGTACTTTTTTATGCGTTACGTATATACAATTACATAACTCTACTTCGTAGGTACACACGTGGTTGCGTAATGTGTGTGTGTATCTATGTTGAGAAATAATAAACTGAAACTTTCCATCTCCGTCGGTTTCCTTTCGTATAGTCATTTCGTCGTACCACGATAAGCATCTTTGCGTGATAACATTGTCTATCGATGTGTACGATAATGGAGAATAACCTTGCGTATTTTTTTTTTTTTTTTTTTGAGTATATATGTACGCGTTTAAAAAAGAACTAAACAACGTAGACTGTGACCTAAAAACACGTTCTAACTCATTCATGAAATTTGTGTGATCTTAAGAGGAGCGTAACGCGACGACAATTATGTTTCTTTGTGAATGAACGTGTAAAGAGGATTTAAAGATCATCTTGGTTTTTTTTTAAAAAAAAAAAAAGAAAGATTTTTATTTTTTATGACATTATCTGATAATAAACTTTTCCGTTTATTTATAGAAAAAGAGAGAGAGAGAGATAATAATAGAGTAAAACACCCAATGATTAGCACTTTAAAGACTTGTCAATTTTTTTTAAAGAGTGTCAACTACTCTCTAAAATTCTAAAATATCTGGTGACACAAAAGATACAAAAGTAACCCGTTATAACGTTAAATAAAAAATAATCATAGAAAAAAAATGTTAACAACCAAAGAAAACTAATAAGTGCTAATTGTTAGAAGAGATACTATAGGCTCGTGTATCTCACACGACATTCGCGTGGATATGATTTTTGTAAATATTGGTTTCTCACGATCTTGTTAGTACATTTTTTTGTACGAACAAGAAATAATGCCATTAGTATTCAGAATAATTTACCAATGAAATCTATGTTTCTCACGAAAGATATTTTGGCCGAATGATGACGCACGCGTGTATGTGTGTGTGTGTGCGTGCCTAAACGTCTGGGAGAAGAATATGCACAAAAGAGATAATTACACGTTTCAGAATTGCTCGCGAACGGCTGTGAAATGCGACAAGGCCTAGTGATTGGATTCCATGCGATTTTTTTCCTACACTACGCATTCGGGGTTTATTACGATTACACGTACACGATCGTGCCGGCCAATGTCGGGAGGGTGCACGGCGCCTACGGTGGGAAGTTCAAGTTCCTTACGTTCTGGGATGCGGTTAGTATATATATCGAGCGAGAGTGTGCGAAGTTTATTGCGCGAAATTTTTACTGACGAAGTTATACCGCGCCGACTTTTTTTGTGGGTGTATCGCATGTTTTATGTACACACACATGTGTACACGCTATTACACAAGATATACGCGCGTCCGCTACTTGTTTCCTCTGTGTGCAAATAATCTTGCCGCTACAGACACTTTCGTTGTGATGTGTCGAATAAAAATATCATATAAAATAAAAAAATAAAAATATTATATTTGTATACACATTTTACAATAAAAAATATTTATGCATGCGCATTTCGCGTGCAAATTTACACAATACGTTCGAAAAGTTACAAATCATTTTGTTGTCGCTCCCAATATTACTCACTTTTCTAATTTCAATTTTTTACATTAAAATATTCTACAATGTAATAATGCGAGAATTACCTTCGTTCTGCTTCACAAAACCCGATTCTCCCGTGATCGTGTGTACTTATATATCCATTGGACGATAATATCCTTATTGCCGCGTTATGTAATAGTGAAAACTGAGACACCGCGTCCACCTGGGATACAGCCGACGATCACAAATCGCGGTGATATAATAATTCCATCGACAATAGGAAATGAGGCAGAAAATAGGGACGCGCTCATCAGCAACGATTATCGGTGAAATCAGCAGTCACATCGCGGAGTTCTTCCTCTCTTGAACGCGCGCTCCTGTTAGAATATAATTTTCACGCGCAAATAAATAAAAAAAAAAAATTAAAAAAAGAACATTTGCTCGTTTATTTTTAATTTGCGGAACAGAATACGCAACTCTCTCGCATCTCCGTGGAGGAGAAAGTCTCCAATGGAATTATTATTGATGAAAGAAATCTAAGGAAATCTGAAGGAAAAGTGTTGTAATGTGACTTTGTTTTCTTCTGTGTTGTAACTTTCGAGGGTGATGAAGTAATGACTTGTTAAAAAAGAGCAGCTCCGCTATATTTATTCATCGTCCGAGCCAAAAGCGTTTGACATTAAAGTATAACGAGTGCTACTTTCGAGCATTTTGTCACTTATCGCCGAGCGATAGCACCCTTGGCCATTTCACGCTTAAATTGCCGCTTCATCAAACGGCTCTCGGCATAAAGAGCAAAATTCAATTATTTGAGCATTACTTCGTGTGTGCACGTTGACGGTCTTCTGTGACACGCAACGGCCACTCCGTAAAATGACTATTAAGAGGATGCTGAACCGTCCTGAACCGTTTTATCCATATTTCGTAATTCCAATTTTTTGTAAAAACTATTAAAGTAACAAAAAATTTATTTTTCGTGTATGCCATCATCTTAAAATTCTTAATATAGCATAACATAGCATTGTTTATTGTCATAATAACTACTACTATTGATACTATTGATACTATTGATACTATTGATTGAACAAACTAATTTTTGAATAAATTATTAGTTACTTACTGAATTAATTATTAAATAAAAAATATTATATTATGTGTTTAATTTGCGTAAATTATTATTCGTACTTAAGTTGTTACTAATCACGAAGTCTTGTTTAAAACAAAGTTTTCGCTCAATAACTTCGAATGCTAATTGGTGCAACCTTAATTAGTATCGAGAGCAGTGCGGATAATTAGGCCACTTCCGCTTGTTCCGTCAACAAGTCTCAGTGTCACTTGACACACGACTGCACACGAAGCAGTACACGTTCTCGACTAACACGTCATAAGTCTTCTTGGGCTTCTGATTACTCGTGTTGCGCACAGTCATGTTGGATCGGAGAAGTGAGACATTAAATGAATTTTTATCAAACAATTAAGTCAAGATAAATTAAGTCCGTTAAATGCTATGTAACCGGCTCGAACGAATATCAATCAGAAAAATGTCGACGAGAAGCAAGTTCACAGACGAAGCAATATTTGACTCGAAACACGTCAATATTGAACACGTAAAAGAATATGCACCATATATACATATATATATATATTTAATATAAATATACATTGACATTTAATATAAATATATTGACATTTCATGTCTTTGTTTTACAAGATATTTATATTTAGATACCAAGGTTTTATTGCTTGTTTTTTTTTTCTTTATCGCCACTATTTATTTAGCGATGCTTTTGTCTAATCAGTTCATAAATTAGTGAGTGCGACCTAGTAATAATTTACTTAATGCCTCGGGAACGCGCAAAATTCTGTTTTTAGATTTTGCAAGCGGTGTTCTTCCTGATATGTCTGTTGAACGACGCTTTCGGCACAAATGCCGTAAATCCCAAGAAAACGCCCTTCATACGAAAAGTGAAGGATTGCTTCCACGCGAGTCTCGGATTTCCCGTTGCCATGGTGAGTTAAATTTCACATAAATTTTTTTTATATTGCGTTCATACATTTGCGTTCAATTCGAGAATGTTGCAACAAAATTAATTATTAAATTATTATTATTATTGTTATTTATTAATAGCTTTTTCCGATAAGAAAAAGATGAGAAGAAAAAGTAACTAACGTTGGCCGCTTCAGCAATTGTTTAATTGTGCAACGGTTTGTGATGCTCTCTTCAACCGTGGGAAGTTTCTGTTGCTAAAGTGCGTTTCGCAGAAAATTATGAAAATCATACGGGTTGCACAACGGTTGCGTTTCGCGCGGCGGGTTTGAAAACCTAAGTGGAAATTTTTAAATTAACTTTTTGCGGTTGGATATATATACCTTTTAGTTGCCAAACTATATTTTCTAAAGCAAATCCAACCGCAACGAGTTAATATCTTTTTCTTTTGTACGCGCGGACGTAAATTTATCTTCTAACGAAACGTCAAAAGATTTGCGGGAAACGAAGCCAACCCTATATTTCCATCTTTTTTTCTTATTTATATTATTAACAGTCTCTGGAACAATGTGATGTGAATCTGATGTCAATTTCAGTTTGTCGGCGTGACTTTCTGGGCGTTAATGTTCGTGGACCGTGAACTGGTATTGCCGAAAGCATTGGACCCGTACTTCCCATGGTGGTTGAACCATTTGATGCACACGATGATTATGGTGACAACCATATTCGAGATGATCGTTGCGTCGCGACAATATCCTAAACGGTCCCGCGGCCTCGGAATACTCGTGACCTTCATGCTCACATATTTAATCTGGTGAGTGAAACAAATCCCGAAAGTAATTTTTATATTGCGATCACGCGAACAAGTGGAATAAAACGTTTCTCTTACAGGATACACGTAGTCTACTATAAAAGCGGCGTCTGGGTGTATCCCGTGATGGACGTGCTATCGCAGCCGATGCGAATAATGTTCTTTGCTGTGCTGCTCACATTCTGCATGGTACTCTACTTTGTCGGAGAAGCGCTGAACAACTTCATCTGGGGTAACGAACACACTAAGCATAAAAAATCACACGCCAAATCCAAGTAGCTTCGTCCAAAGAGCCTCTAACGGGTAAAGCAACAAGCTACCAAGTACCCGAGGTTTGCCTGCTGCGTGCGGTGGTGATGGAAGTAAAAACCAAACAAAATTATGAATAAACGGAATCTTTTCTATACTCCTGTTTGCAGTATATGCACGTTACGTTAATTTATTATAGTCGAAATGCAAAGCAATCACATTAATTAGGATGTTTATAGCATACTAGTGCGTGTGCATGTTTATAGGTATTTATATTATTTAAAAAAAAAAGGTGTAACGGTGAAAAAAAATTGTTAACCCGGCAAATTATTGGAGGTAACACTGACAATGTGAATGTAAGGAGCATGCAGGAGCATACAATGCATTTTTGTTAACTCAATCATACATCACACAGGAGACTAATTAATCATAATTAATGTATAGTGTTCTTTGCGCGTCGATCGAACGAAAACAAAATGAGACACATACACACACTCATCTCACTCGCCTGTCCAAGATAATATTTATTTTTCTACTTTCGTAGTGAACGATCTATTATTGTTTTTATCAATAAATACACGAAAGAGAGACGCGCGAGTTGTAATGATATACATAACTGTATAGATAATGATATACACAGTTATATAATTAGATAATGTGAAATAGCGATAATACACACGTTACGACACTTGCCCGAAGACTAAAGTCCGAATATATTTGTGATCGAGTGTAGGAAAAATGTACGTAGCGAGAACGGAGAACACGGAACCGACGTTGAAAACGTAGTAACACACACAGAGAGAGAGAGCCACAGTGGGGAAGAAGCAAGAGGAATTTTGTGAAATAATAAGATCGAGCAAGCTAACGTCGCCGAAGATTATTTTCTTGCCGCGAATGAGAGAACTGACTTTGGCATTTACGAAACGAGAATTGACTCTTCGTATTGACACATAGTGTATTCTACGTTAGAATTTGTTGTTTGCAACTTCATTCAGCGAAATGTATTCAATGATACACTTATTATTATACTTACGGCCTAAAAATATTGATATTTTCCTAAGATAAGTTGTTATGTGAATTACTTCTTTACGAAGAAGTAGAAAGCTAAACATTTTCTTTTTGTGCCAAAAATGCATCTGGTAAATAAAACAATTGGAAAAGAAATTTACAGAGAATGAGTAACGATTGTGTAAAAAATGGAAGATTCTAAGATTTTATAACTATCGTTTTTTGTGCTTAACTTTTTCTCGAAAACAAAAAAATGAAAGATACGTTCAATCGAAACGTAGAGAAAGAAAGAGGACAAAGAGAAAATTGCGTTCCGTGCGATATTACATTACGTAATAATGTTAGAGCGGTTAGACACAAAAATTCAAGAGAAATTGCGGTTAATATACGATAGAATATTCCACATGTTCACAACTATAAAAATATTAAAAAAAAAAAAAAAATTACGAAGCATCTGTAAGATGCAATAAAGATCGTAATTTATGATTAGGATATTTCCAATAAACATTTGTAGAATTTTTGATTAAAAATTCTACTACCCTCAGGATTACAATTTTTTTTTTTTACATTCCTCTTCCACATCTTTCATAACCAATTCAACAAGCTGATTGAAGGCTCGAGTCAGTTCGATGTTTTCAATCGATAAAAACTCGACTTGAAAGAGACCGGCCCGGAAAAATCCAAAGATGTGGATTCGAACTCGAGACCTCCCTATTAACAGACCCGACATTCAGGCCGCGAGATTACCGGGCCGGTTGATAAACATTTGTATTAGATACAAATATAAAAAAAAAAAAGATTTCTGTGAATTTTTTTTGTATATTAATAATAATCAGCTACACACTTTACCATACATTGTAGAACAAATACAGTTGACATATAAAAAGTAAAGGACAAAAATAAATACTTATTTGTTACTAAAATAGAAAAATGTTCTATTGTCTTACATTCTACACACAAACGTGTGTGTAGAATGACACATGATGATATTCACATTCCTTCACGCATTTCCCTACCAACACTGTTATAAAAAATATGTATTCTATATATGTAAAAAAAGAAACAGTCAACAGATTTTTGTTAAAAAATTTTCTTACTTTTTCTTCAATTGCGGCGATATTTGAGTCCCTTTGGAGCTGCAATTTCTGCTGTTGATTATCTCGTCGATACTTTGTTTCAATTCCTCCATCTCTAGTATATCAAGAGGCAGCGAAGTCTGCGTAGCTATCTCCCTAGCGTTCGTCTGCCCCTCGTTTTGCAACAATCGCGTTAATTCCGGATAACGCGAAGTGAGATTAGAATCCAAGTCATTTATCACAGTCATTCTATGTATCTCCTTCTCGTTCTCATTCTTCGCTTTAATATCACTGGTCTCCTGAAGCAGATGCTTCAGAATAGCCTCGTCAACGTACTTGCCTCTGTGACTTCTTCTGTCGTCTTCGTGATTATAAGCCTTGCAAGTTTTGTTGCTGTTTTTATTCTTGTTATCGCGCGTTTCCTCGGAGTCCAACATCTTCGTTTCTTCATCCGGTTGGCTGTCTTCGCTGTCGCTGTCCTGCTCATCTTCTTTCTCCATGTTGCCCATGTCGATATCCTTGTCAGTTATATCCTGATGTCTCTTCTCGTCGCTGCTCAAATTTTCATCGCTGCCGCTCTGTGTTCTGGGAGACAAAAACGGTAACAGCAGAGCCGGAGTTTTGGTGTCAATGATCTTCGAGTCTAATGTTCGCTTGTCCAGTCCGGCGTTTCCCAATCTTCTGCCCATATTAGGCATCTGAGGCGATATTTGCGCCATCAATTGACTATCTTGAGAAGTGGTGCTGCCTCGTCTAGAAATCGGATCGATTTTCGTCGATCGAGACTTCGCAAAGTCCCTTCTATTCTTTCCACGACGACCGCGGGACCGACTGGCGACTTTCCGCGTCGTCTTCACTTGTGCGATCTGCACGGATATCTGTGAATCCAGCGAATTCCGCCTGGACTCCATGGAAACACATCGAAAGCTGTAACTGATCTCGGAATCCGCCGAATTTCGCCGATTACTTGACACAGATCCGGTAGCGCCGGCAACCAGTGCGCCTCTCCGCGTTACCAACTTGGGTAACGCGGCCGCCCAAGTGGAACTGAAGTCCTGCGAGGCTGCCGAGTTGAGATCGAAGTTAAGTCCGACCGGATCCTCATGAGTGTTGTGAAAGCTTATTGACAAACGGCCGGCCTTGTGGAACGTTTTTCGATTTGCAAATAGATGCGCGATGAGTTTGTGCTTGCTCAATTTTATTGGAGGCTCCTCGGACTCGCGATTCAAGACTCTGCAAGCAAAAAGAAGACACACGCTATTCAGAGTTGCTTTGTCTGTGACATCAGCAAATTTATGTAACGAGCATTCAAACAAGTTATAGAACTTTACCTCTTAAGAAATCTGCACCAGGTGTCGACCGTTGAACTTGTCCAAACCCAGGACGACATGAGAACCCCGGCGAAAAATGGTGCTAATAAATGCAATTGCAATTTACCCGTGCTTGGTCTCGTGTCCATTTTACACTCGGAGATGTCTGAGAACTTTGTCGTTATCGAGCATCTTTAGAAGAGAGCAGAGAGTATTTACACACAATTATGAAAAATGAAAAATAAATAAAATCTAAACATTATGCGCAACACGCGTGTCTACATGTACGTTCGGACAACTTTGTTGACTATCGATTCTTACATCATGTAATCTCTGAAACTCTGTTTCCACTGCCAAGAATGTTGAAACTCGTAAATGTGACAATAGAACGTCACAATAACCGCCGCGAGAGTGGATATAGAAAAGAGTCCCATTCTCACAATGGTTTCTTTGATCTTTGAACTCGCTCTCTCGGATATGATCTCTTGACTGCTTATTTTTAAGCAAACAAGCGTGTAAAGACCTGGAAAAAAAAAAAAAAAAAAAAAAAACATAACGTGCGCAGATCGAGAATAATTCTTCACGATTACATTTACATCAGTATAATACTCACAATTTATTATATTAATACAGAAGCAAGCAGTGAAAATACAAGATTATTACTGATATGTATCACGCAAATATATACGTTACAAAAGAAGTGTAAAATACTTACCTCTGCAGAGAAAATAGCCTCCTATCAGTACAACAATTAAAACAGGACACAGCACAAATCCTATTCTCACCGCGTGATTGGTGTAACCGACGAAACATATTCCTGTCATACTGTTGCCGTCGATCTCGCCCAACGCCATGATTGTAACCGTCAGGACGAGCGGTATGCACCAAGCGATCAGATGGAAGTAAGCGCCCTTCTTGTCTATCCGATCCTGTATTTTGCCGAGCGCTTGGAAGCTCATGTGCCAGGCGTAAGTTAGTATAACAAACCACACCATAGCTGCCATCATGGAGTAATAAACGAGCACAAAAACAACTACGCAGGATAAATTCTCGCCGCTGAAAAAAAAAAAACAAAAACAAAAATACGTAAGTTTTTTTTACGGAATCAAACTATTACCACAAAATACTTTTGAAACGCTACCTTGGCTCGCTCATCCTTAAAGTTCCGTCTTTACGACACACAATCGCGTCTCTGCTGCCAGGAGTGACCTGGATCAGCCATCCTATGCAAGACACCATGAAACAACTGTTTATGTAAAATATGACCAAAGCTGGATACTTATTGGCGCTTCTCCAGTCTATCAAAAACGTTATCTGAAATGTGTACAATTTACTGTAGTCGGTTATTATTAAAATTAACAAAATGTAGTTTATTGGCACTTACAACAGTGAATAAATTGAAGGCACAGCAGATGCCAGCGGCCCATGTGACAAACGAATGTATTTCGTTGTGTTCGTCGAATGTGTACAACGGGTCGTAACATTGTGTTCCGCAGCCTTCGACTCCGTCAAAAATCGAGAGAGCGTTGTCAGTAGGTACAAGAGGTTTCAAGCACTTGCCGGTGATGTTAAACTTCAATTCCCGCACGTCATTTTTGTAGTCGCACAATCGTGGAAATAATTTCGTATTGTCGCATTTGGCAAAACTCGGCCACAACGTGTGATTAATCAACATTCTGCAGGGTCCCGACACCATTTTGCACATCTCTTGAGACGGCAGCTCCACTGTATTGTTTACGCATTTTGGCATAAAAATTGAACACAAAAACGGTTGAACGACAGCCCAGCACTTTGGTACATGTTGCAAGGCCTGTAGCAAATGCAGTTTTTCCTGAAAAATAGAAGAACACAGAAAAAAAAATAAAACTGATGCTTATTTTTCTGTATAAACAATATATGTACATAATATGTGCAATGTTTTCAGATGCTAGTAGATTGTAAAAAAATGTGTTAAAAGACAAGATAATCAAACACACACAAGACACAATGTCTTTATATCTTGATATCTCACTCTGTATTACAGGAAGATAAGACTCTAAGTGGCAAAATGTTTCATATTGCTCTTAGCTACGTGTAGCTCTAACATAGAAATGTTTTTAGTAATCATGTCATGCTTTTTTATCAATGATAAAATATATTGTTATCCATTTACATCTCATTCCTTTTAAAAAGACAAGTCTGTGTATAGAGTCAAAAAGGAGAAAATCTGAGTTGTTTTCAAATACAATTCTTGATATCTTTGGCCACTTACAAAATGGATTTATTTATTTATTTCTTTTATGGTGTGCTGACTTGCTTAGCTTGTGCATGCCTGAGTGTTCTTGAGAATCATGCCAAGCTTTGCCAAAGGAAAAAAAAACAGAACATTACTGACATAAAGAAATAATATAAAGTTCTTATGCGTATATCTACCTCAACAATTTCTGGCGTCGCACGTTCGGGTATGAGATCCAATGTAGTGAAGGAATAAGGTATTTTCGTTCCCATGCAAGTATTTTTATATAAAGAAATACACTTGGCAGGTCTGCGACATGTCGAAACGTCCGGCGACAATTCTCCTATCGGATACCTGTCCAGCAAATAACTAGAGTCTTTGATCCTGTGCCGGGAACTCAGACCGAGATTTTCTTTCCACGTACTGTTTAATTCACTGTCGTCGTTAGCGGTGAACCCGTGCACCATTTCGGAGAACGACTCGGGAAACAAGAGCAAACTGAAAGCTAGCAGACGCATCATCTGCAAGTAAAAGATAAGTTTTTCATTTAAAAAAATCGAAAAAATTTAAAAAAACGGAAAAAGTTTTTGCTTTCAGAGATCAATAAAGTGTCTCTTTCTTTGTTTTAAATGTACGCAAATGTTTACGAAGCACAATCAGTATTCAAAACAAAGAGTCACGTGGTGCGGAATAATAAAATAATAGAGTTGAAAGTTCGCGAAAGACACGTACTTTTTTCGCGCTCTCTCACAAATTAGACGCCGTTGTTCTCAAAGACAAGCCACGTGATCACGAGATCCTCCCTTTCGTTTGTGCGAGGCGGCTCCTCGGCATCTTCCACGGTCTCTGCGACTCATAGCATATAACGTAGAAGAGAAACCAGCCGGGACCACACACGTGTTGCGTTCCTCGGTAGGACCACCCACGTAGCGTTCTGTGTTGCTGGCAATGGCGCCTCTCCCCCTTTCGCGCACGTCTCTCAGTCAAGTATTCAACTGGAAATAAAAAAAAAACAAAGTATCCTTCAAATCCCGGTTTCACTTTGGAAAGGGAGCAGAGGACCTAACACACTGTCAGGACAAACAATATATTGAATAAAAAGCGGCAAAAGTCGAAATATATGCGATTGTCGACAATTTAAAAAAACTTATCAAAATTTTCGGAAAAAAAAAACAAACTGTTAAAATTATAAGACAAAAAATATAACACATGTAAAACAAAACTGTTTGTTTTTTGGTCTTTTTGTCTCAAAGTTTATTAAACATTTTGCTACGCATTTTATCGTGACGCATTTTTACACACTCACACACATAAAATCAAGCTCTGCCGCAAAATTTCTTAGAGTACAATACATTGTCCGACACTGAATCATTTTGCAACAAAAAGAAAACAAAGTTCCAGAGAACGCGAAGAGAAATGGAAGAGAGACATTTCTTCCTTCTCGCAAATTGTTTAGGAGAATGACACAGTATAGTATCTCTCATTTCACAGTGACAGAGAATTTGTTCATTTAAACTTAGATAGAAAAAAAAATTGAGAATATTTTATCGTATGCAGAAAAATCACTTTATTTGATATAAAAACACACTTTATTATAATTGTGTTTTTCTATATACGTATGTTTATAAAGTTACAAGCAGGGAAGTATATAGATCATACACAATATTCGTAAATCACAAGATTATTTACACATTCTCAAATAATCTGACTTCGAAAAAATGTAACAAAAAAAAAACACCTACTTCGTATATGTTAATTATTCTTAAGGTTTTACGAATAAGTTGAAAATATAAAAGAAAAAAGACCAAGCCACCTTTGAATGTGATAAGTGAATAAACAAACCATTTAAAAAGACAAATCTTCGAATGTTACTTCTCTAACACGATTTCTGTGTTCTTATTATTTTTAACTCACATTCACTAGGTGACTTATATCTCTGTTTTTTACAAATGTTTTTATACTGTTATTGTAAAAAAAAATATTGTGTGCGACACACTATAATAAACACAACAGATAAGTAATAATTTGGGTTTATAACAACGCACTCTATATACGCAATTTCAAAATATTGAAATTCTGGACAGTTGATTTTTTTATTGAATTTATAAAACACCTACTGGATATTTCATCAGTTTTGAATATTCTATTTTAAACAATATACAACGTAGATTCTTAACACAATGTGTTGCAGTTGCATTAAATTCTTGATGTGATTCAAATTTTGATGAAACAAACTGAAAAAAAAAAAAACCTACGTTTGATGCAAAAAGTCATGTATAATATTACGCAATTACATACAAAGCTTCTAAAACTAAAGGGTATTATGGAGATTTTTTAAATGAATGTGTGTTATGAAAGATATTTATATATGTATAAATCTGAATTTCTTTTGAGAGTTTGAAAAAACGTGTCAAAAGAAAACCGTTACGAATAAGACGACAAATGTGATACAAAACTGAAACACAAGACTGTTTTGGTCTGTTTTGTTTCTAATAACTCGGTATATGACTGTCAAATTGCAACGGTACCATGCGCGCGCACAACTAACGAAGCGACTACCCTGTTATATCAAGAGCATTTATGTTCTCCAATAAATCTTTAACGCCATCTTGAACCTGATCCGAAGTGTTGGACAACGAGAGACGCGAACAAAAATCGGTCAATACTTCTATCTGTTTCTGCGCTTTCGCTTCGTTTTGCATTTTTTCCTTTAAGTGCATGGTTAACAGTTGCGTTATTTCGTAAGCTTCTTTTCTGAGCGCTATCATGTCTTCGTTCTTGTAGCTTTGCAACATTCTCAATTTAGTCATTGCTAAGTTCAGTGGATTCTTGCCGCGTAGATCTGGCGCTTGGATATCGGTGCCGGCTTCCACAAGTAGTTTCACTATTTCGTGATTACTGGTGACTGTGGCTAGATGCAACGGAGTGTTGCCTATGCAATCGTGAAGATTTGGATTGGCACCTTTTTTCAGTAATAATCGAACTATGTCTGTGTAACCCCTGTGTAGTAAAGAAGACTGAAGTGTATAATATACAAATAAATCTATTTTGTTTACATATTTTCAAAAATTGGAAACACTGTATATAGACATCTGTAACTTAAAATTATAATTTTTTAAATTACACATTTAAAAAAAAAAAAGAAACAGAGATAAGAGCAGGTATTTCCAAAGTCCTATATTTTACTTACTTGCAAGCAGCATAATGAAGAGGAGTTCGTCCGAAAGCATCTTGATAGTTGGGAGGACCAGAATTTTGCAAGAAAGTTTCAGCCATTGAAATGTTATTTAAGCACACTGCTATATTTAGTCTTGTTTTCAACTTTTCTTTACATATACCATTGTGCCTCTTTCTAATTCTTTTCAGTTTGTCTATTGTTTTGTCTATCGCATAAGTTTTTCCTGCACAAAAACAATCATGTGTGTATTTAGTAACAGTTTACATACTTTTTTTAAAAATAATTTTTATTTAAAAAAAAAAAATAACTTGTATATCTCAAAGTATAATCATAATACAAAGAAAAAATATTTATCATAGCAATGACTGCTTGAATGACAAAGTTACTTACTAAGTATGTCACGACGGTCACAAATGTGTCCGGATAGCTGAAAGTTATCACAACTGTTAGAACAACACTGCTTTCTCATCTAACATTAAGATAACATTATTTCAGTTTTTTGTTATTGAAAGATTGTATCAAGAAATAAAAAAATGTATCTCATTAGAATTGTGTACAGTAATCTGGGAGAAGAGATAATTTAGCATCAACCATTGCCATGAATCTTGATGAAAGTACGCTCAATTCAACGGGTTTTATCAAGATTCACGGATGTGAATGTGCGCTCTGAATCAGATAATTACCGACGTCACTTTGAAAAACAAAGGTTCGACAACTGGGGGATAACTGGCAGCGTGATAGGGACACGCTGAGTGACCAGGAACATGCTGAGCTTCTTGCTGAACGTTTGAGTTGTCATTTGAATCGTTGCTCGTCTCCACTCCCGAATCCACCGACGTCATATTTTCACCGAGTAATTATTCCGCTACCGCAATATCAGCAGCTATTCTTTGCATGTGGAATCGCAATTTACTGCGTTTCAGAAATAATTCAGAAAAATCTCAGGAATTGTGCGAAACTGCAAACAAAAGAAGAAATTATTCGACTTTAACCGCGCGCGTTTCTCAACACTCTTATTTATGACGACGAACAAAACATCCGTTACGTTAACATGAGGTAAATATAAATCATAAATATATAAGCACATACGTACATACAACAAACATCAAAATGTGTCATTGACACGCGCCATGTTAAAAGATTTCCAGGTATTTCTGAGACTTGATTCTCGAAAGATAGATCGCGTACGATTGTGTCACTAGAAATCTATCCTAGTTATTCTGGTAATAATCATAAAATATCACATGCTATAAAGAGCCGTCTACAATGGAGAGTTGTAGGCCGTAATAGTAAGAAATTGACCAATCACAGACAAAGTACAGAAGAATAATCGATTGTGATTTGTCAATTTCTTACTGTTACGGCCTACAACTCTCCATTGTAGACGACCCTTAATATGGGTGCGTTCAGACAACTCAACGGTTGAGAGATCATCACTTATGACAGGACTGTTCTTCAAAATCTGCGGCGGTTCCAAAAGTATGACCCAATCAGAAGCGATTATCTCTCAACGGTTGCGCAACTTCTGATTGGATCATACTTTTGGAACCGCAGCAGATTTTGAAGAACAGTCCTGTCATAAGTGATGATCTCTCAACCGTTGAGTTGTCTGAACGCACCCATTGATCTTCTCGAATATTTTTGCATGCTAGGAAAAGATTATAGCGCACGTAAATTGTAGATTGAGAAGTCAGTTGAATTTTTTATAAACAAATAGAATTTTGCGAAAATTCTTCGAAAATTGAGATCTCTCCACCTGAAAGAGAAATTTATGTTTTTTCTGCAACGTTAACTTACGTTGGCAACAGTGCGTTTTCACAGCCTGACGACGTCAATCACGTTATTATACGGGGAACTCCGCTGTACAGGTATCGACGGTTACAACGTAGTTTGAGTTGATTTAATTTTTTCTATGGATAAAACAACACATTTTATTAGTAATTCCAACATGACCGCAATAACGAGCCTGTCCGACGATGTGCTCAGCATGATCCTGGAACTTGAGATCATCAGCATCGAAGACATTATGAGTTTCAGATGCGCGTGCAACCGTTTTTCCAAGGCGGTCAGCCCCAACAATTTACTTTGGCGAAAAAAATTTTTTCAAAGGTATTTCGTAATTCTTCGCAATTCTTTATATGAGTCTTTGTTTAATTTGTTTACTTTCGATAAGGATCATTATCAAAATGCGTTGTTCCATGTATCTCATGCGAAGGTTGTATGTTCTTTGTTGTGACTCAGCCTTGCTCAGCTTCACAAATAACTCATTGTTTTTTCACAACTAATTCTATCTTAATAATTTTTTTTCTTTGTTTCTTCTTACACTTGTGTCACACATTTCTGTATTGGGGAATAATATTAATTTAATTAGTAAATACTATGTATATAAACATTTATACATGTATATTTGTATATATGAGATATTCAATAAATCTATTTTATACTTCTAATTATTTATTTTTAAACACACACATGTGCATTATTGAGACAACACATGTGTACCACAATTAATAATTAACTAAAGTATTTTCTTTAATGTAGATGGCCTAATTTAAAAAGCAAATACAATCATGAGAACATAAATTATGAACAACATGTTATAAGGAGCATACAATGCAGAAAAAACTTACATCAGTATTTGTCTCTGATGCCAGAGAAATTTTATCATGTAAAGTATTTAATCGATGAGGACATGAATGATTTTAATTTGTCATTCTGGTTAGACACAGAAGTGTCTGAATCAAATTATGATTTTTTAATGGATGAATTAGATAATATATTTGTACCGTCATGGTAAGAGTAACCTCTCTTGATCACAAAACTCACTAGTCTATCTCATTACATTTTTTAAAATAATTATGTGTTTTTTTTTTTTTTTTAGCAACAATTTAACGCAAGTCCATTATGCCCAAAGTCTTATGACATATATCAAGCACTCTTATTTGAGGAGAAAATGGCAGAAATTTATAAATAAACCTCAGAAACAACAAATTCTAGAAGATGCAGTTAGTATTGTTGAAGACTGGGTGAAGGGAAGACAGAGAAGGGAAGACAGGAATTGTACAATTAATGTTCCAGAAATGCTTGATACGATTGCAGACAAAGTACTGGACAATCTTAGAAAAGAATATCCGAATCATTCCATATTTTCGGCACCTTCGGAGCTATTTACCTACTGTAAATATAATAATATTGTTGATAATTATTGGGATAAGAATGAAGGAAGACAAGTTCTAGATGCAATCCGTAAAGTTTTATACGACGAATTAGGCTTCAAAGGAGTTCGGAATCCAGAGATCTCGTTTGATGGTACATCAAGTATAGATAACGACATTTTTTTTGTAGACTATGTAAGTAACAGAAATTAATTGTCGTATTACTGTGGGGTGCGTGCTCTTTCTTGCAGCGGATTTAACATTCACATGTTTCTATCGGTATTTGTTATGTACAGGTCTTACAATACAGATGTGGTCATTTCATATCCTTAGCAGTGATATTTATAGGTGTGGCAAGAAGACTCGGTTTACGCTGCGAGGTATCAGATATACCGTCACATTTCTTCTTAAAATGGAAGCCAAAATAGTAAGAAACTTTTGGAATCGTGTTTTTTTATCTTTTGTATTTTTATTTTTATTACGTTCATATCCATGATCACATGTTATTGTTTGTACAATTTATAGCAATGAAAATGAAAATGAAATAAATTTATATATTGACTTACTAAATCGTGGAAACCTTAGAGATTTCACGGATTGCCCGATGATGCGCAATGTTACAAGTATGGACAAATGTCCCATGAAATTTTTTGCACGCGATAACACAATCTTTGGAAAGGTAAGAGCAAACATATTTCTGTGTACTTTCAAATGTTTACGTCACATTGACAAATATAGATATCAGCAAAAAATGCACTAAGCCAATATGTGTAGCGCATTAAGACTTTTGTTAGCAATAAAATATTAATTCTAATCATTGTTTATTGAATAATTTTTATACTTTTTTTTAAGATAATAAAACAGACGATTATAAATGTTCTCCGGATTACTCAATTAAGGCAAGTTGAAGAAACATATGACTTGCTGCAATTACAGCTCTTAGTAGAACCAACCAATTCGGACAAACTTGTTCAGCTGCACAGACACTGTTCAACGTACTACTTGAATTTCAAAGGTTTCTTTGATACATTAGAGAGATTCAAAGTATGTAAAAAACGTTTTCAGCAGTTTTGTGTTTATCATTTATTTTATTTTAATTACTCTTGTATTGTTTTTTTTTGCAATTGTAGGAAATATTCCACACAATTGGCGATAAGGTTGTCGGAACTCCACTTTATATCGAAGGTTTATTTAATCACATGGGAATACATAAGCTTACGGTATGTATTTCTGTGTAATATGCGTTTTATAATAAACTCTTTGATTATTGATATATAAGTTAATTCTTTCTAACACAAATTGGTATACAAGTCAGATTAACTCTTTATGTTATGATATATCTAAAAAAAAAATTTAAAAAAGCGATTAATTTTCTGATATTAATTTATATTTTTCTCTTAGCATGTACTCGAAAACAATACAACTACGATTTCCAAACCGCTTAGAAATCCAGAGGAAAGACCAAAAGATATGAAATATGCAGTTGGAATGCTTGTCTCGTGGGTCAATACTCCAAATTTCACAAGCAACACTGGTGTAATAATCGGATGGTATCTAAACAGCCAATCTTGGGAACAATACAAGGGTCCATATAAAATTGATATTATTTTTAATCATGAAACTTCAAACAGATGCTCATTCCGTCCAAATAGTTGGCCGTATTATAAAGTCCTTTGTAACAATCATAGAAAAGAGATTTACGTTGCTGAAGGTACATACACATGAGCATTCTTACTTTTATAGTGTTTATTGTGCTTGCGTATATTTATTGTTACTGTTATATTAGTAACGGAACATACACGTTTTGTCACTTTTAGGATGTATAAAACCTTCCGATCAGTGGATCTACCACAAAATTCATAACGACGAAATTGGCCGATATTTTTGTAGTTTTAAGGGTAGTCATTACGTGCCAAATGAAATACTGGCGAAAGAGTATCCGTACGATAGAGATTATCTGGTTCAACGTTATGGTTAGTGAACACAGTGTGATATATTTTGGCTGTTCTATTCTGTAACTTCGTAACTCTGCGCGTTACGGACATGTATTGTGAATGTTAGCGCAGACAAATCGTGCGACAAAATAGCTGCGCAACAATAACAAAAGTCTCGTTAATGGTTACAGAAAAATTAAGGAGGCATCACACACATTTTCTGGCTCATTCTCTTCCGCGATGAGCAATGTTCCAAGATCAAATTCGCGCGCAGCACATTCTGCATAAATTTTTCGTACGGATCAGAAATATAAAAAAGGAATAAAAATATGTTAACACATTTATAATATAATCGTATATATATAAAGTAAAGTTAATTTTTTGTAAAAAATGATATTTCTATTGTTGACCGCGTGAGAATCGTCTGCATAAATGTTCGAACGGTAAAAGCAAAAAAATATACTTTCAAAAATAGTTTTTTTTTTTTTATTTATTTATTTGTTTTTAGTTTTTATTTTTTATTTTGTAGTGATGTACGCAACGTTTAATTTTCTAATTATCTGTCATATATTGTTTTGCAAACAAGAAGAATACTTTTTGTGACAATTGATTAAAATGTACAGATATTTAGTTTGTATCACATTTTATTTTGCAAAACATTTCCAAAAATAAATTCGTATAAATATATGTACATATAAATATATCAATGTGTAAAAAATATGTACGTGTATGTATTATAGATATGTGCAAATATATATAGAGTAAGTTATAGTATATGTAGATATATATTATAAATAAAAATGAAAATGAAAAATAAAATCAATATTTTTATATCTACATATCTATGTAAGTAACATATGTTTTTACGAATTTTACATCATATAATGAAATAAGTGATCGGTCCGTATTTACGTGCGATCGCGTATATTTTTTACCGACAACCGCACGTGGACACGTGATTGCCAATGTGCACCACCGTGGATATAGCGCTATCGGACAGAGTGGAAACGATACAGTTAAAGTGCGTCCGTGACTGCTTTCAGCCTTCTGAATTTCAAACGTTAAAAACTAACCTAATGTGACCTAACTTCAATGTGCTCCAACGTGTTTTCGTTCACTTCGCAACGTGATAAGCAAAGTGTGTTTGTGTTTTGTGTCCTCAGTCGAGATACTGACACGGACCGTTTTTGTATACAGATCGGTCTTTCATGAGTCAGAGCTACAAGTTTTGTTGCCAGATTTTTTCGTGTTGCACAAAACAAATCAAATTAACATAAATTTGTCGATATTCGAGGTAAGGATGCTCAAGTAAACAATTTATGTTTTGATCGTTATGTAAATTTTGTTACTGTCGCTTTATTGATTTTTAATATAAAAACAACTTTACTGTACGTGATATAAAAACCCTTACTATGACAACAAATGTAAGATAAGAACACAGCAACAAACTTTGGTATACACAATGTAATTAATTTGTCAGAAATGGAGCAATACTTGTCGAAACAGCGGGGGTCGTATTAACGATTAAAATATGCATATTATCGCGTAGTTTCATATTTACATTTTTTCTCTCTTTACTGAGATTTTCGTCATATTTGACAAAAAACATTTGTCAGAAATTGGTAACAAAATTGGAGCAAACGTTGTCACGTTTCGAAGCTTTTTAGTGAAACGTAATTTTTAATAACACTCTTGGCTAGCAGGCATGCTCGTTCATGACAACACTGAAAAAAATATTAGATGTTGAATTATTTTTGATTTCAGTATTTACTATGTTTGGATAATCGTTTCAAGAAACAACATCGAGTTCAGAAATGGATGAAATTGTATTGAGTTACGAGAATTATGTTATCAGATCGTCGGACATTGCTTTGTTGAAGACAGAGACCAGCTGGATCAATGATGTTATTATAGGATTTTATTTTGATTACTTGAATGAAAAATACAAGAACAGCACGACTCGAATGTTGTTTATCGGTCCAGAACTCACTCAGCTGTTAAAGATGCAAGATTCAATGGTCCACGAGTTGCTTGAATCTCTCGAGACAACGAACTACGACTATGTGTTCTTTGCGGTGAATAACTGCGAGACAAATACGGCAGGTGGCTCGCATTGGAGTTTGTTAATATTTTCTCGCAACGAAACCGGGTTTTTTCATTATGATTCGATGCGCTATACCAACCGTTTATCCGCGAGAATGCTCATGAAGAGGCTAATAGATTACTTTTTACCTAATCAACCTAATCAACAGAGTATGTATGTGGAAGTAAGCTCTCCGCAACAAAACAACAGCTATGACTGCGGTTTGTATGTTTTATGTGTTGCGGACGTTGCAATTGAATATATTTTAGAAAACTCTAATCTAATAAAATGTCTTTATACTACAGTTCCGAATTTAGTGTTAAAGAAACGTGATAATTTATTATCATTGATCTACTCTCTTCGAGACGATATACCTCTTACAACATAACTCAATGAATTGTACTTAATATGAAAAAAATTATATTTATAATATAATATAATCACAAACTTCACTAAACTAAACTTTGTTAAAATGAAAGAAAGTTCTTCTCTTTGCTGTTATTTTGAAATAGTAGTGATATTCGGTCTCAAAGAGTTTATCTTAATGAAGTTTGATTATATTGTTATATATGTTACATATACACACACACACACACACACAATATATATATATTTGACTTGTACATAAATAATCTTTAGGAACATTCAAAGGAAACGCAATTTTAACACATGTTGAAATACTTTATTTTTTTATCAAAAATACATCGTTAAGTACATAATATACACTTAAACTAATGAATGAAAAATAATATACATTGTTTACATATATCGTTTTATCCAAGCAAAATCTTGTTCTATAAACGGCTGTAGTACGACGAGTGAATCACCATATCTTGCGTGACATCTTTTACCGTTGCACAACCTAAAAAAAAAAAAAAAAAAACACAGTCACTTTGTTAAAATAAATTGTCACTGAATTTTTGTAAATTGTTAGCATTATTATTTTTTTTGTTTTAATATATAACAATTACTCCGAAACTTGCCGGTTAACGCAAACGCTAGATCGATTTCTCGTCTCATAAGTTCCAGAATTTTCCTGGCACCTTCCTCGCCGTCGCATGCCAAACCCCACAGCATAGGTCTTCCGAAAAATACCTGAGAAATAACGGCGAGTTTAATGGACAGAAACGCATTTTTTGAAAATCGGAAGCGCGAATTCGTCAGCGTGTTCGATAGATTTGTACCATTTTTGCACCCAGCGCTAGAGCTTTGAACACGTCGACACCTTGTCTCACCCCACCGTCCATATAGAGCTCGATCTTGTCTCCCACAGCTTTGTTTATTTCCGGTAAAACTTCAATCTGTGCAAATGTGTGATCACTCGAATAATAAACCGTGCTGCTACAAGTAGGTATATTACATATTTTTTTAGATGATTGAATAACTACTACTCGTTAATTTCTGAACTTTTTTTTTAAGAGAAGAACAAACCCACCGTCGCCGGGACGCTGTCTATTTGACGCGCGCCGTGATTCGAAACTATAATACCGTCGACTCCATTTTCCACCGCCAAAAGAGCGTCATCCGCTGTGAGAATTCCCTTGAGAATTATCGGCAAAGTTGTGGTTCTGCAACAAATTTCGATTTGATTACTCCTGATTTGTTTTGCGCGCTTTGATGTACATAGCGTTATCTAATTTTCTAATGTTGAGATAACAAAAGTCTACAAGCGATATCTGGAACACGCGGAATACCTTTTGAGCCACTTTACGTCATCCCAGGTGAGAGATGCGTCGAACATCGCGGTAACGTACTCATGTAGACCAGAGCCGGTTTTTGCGGAATTTATTCGCCGCGACAAATCACCTTCAAAATTCGCAAATCTGAAATACATGTATTTTTTTATATGTTACACACTCGCAAAATTTGTCACACGCGGTTTTATTATTTTGTCTTGTCTCTAAGTAACTTTTGTCTCTTGTAATTATGTATGTATTTAACTTTTTAGATATTTATTTCTTTTGTTTTTGTTTTTTTCTTTTAGTTATTCTTGTGACATTTGCGTGGAAGATACCTCAAGTGACTTGGCAACGCGAATTTGTTTCTGACATCGGCGCGTCTGTCGCCAAAGAACGGCGCGTCGATGGTGAGCACCAGCGCCTTGAAACCGGCGCGTTCAGCGCGTCTTATCAGGCTCAAGGTGACGTTCCTGTCTCTGTATACGTAGAGCTGAAACCACTTTATGCATCGCGGCGCGGCTTCCGCCACTTCTTCCACGCTACTTGTCGATATCGTCGAGAGAATGAAGATTGTTTCTGCCGCCTGAGCGGCTGCAATGACACAAAATAACGCAAATATTAGAATCGAGCAACTTGGAAAACAAGTTAGTCTTCTTGTTTATATTGTTGTTATAATAATTTATAGAAGCAACCATCGCTTCTTTTATTCTTTATTTTAAAGTAATATCACTGCCGGTCTATTATTTATATTGATCTAATTCTAGTTTTCTTGCCGGTTCGCGGTTTTGTACGATTACATCATTCGAGCAACACGTGTGACCACTTGTTATGTCATTATATTGTAACACCTGTAGAGTATAAGTGTCTCTTAAAACAAAAAAAAACAATTTACGCAACCGCGTCTCTTTGTCTCTCCTTTGCATAAATTATACATATTGTCATTTGTTTAAAATTTATCTCGTTTATCGGGACAAGAAAAACTTCGCGGTAACGCGATTATTAATTAACATGTTGTACTTCAACAGGTTTTGTTATCTGTAATTCTCGTTCAATGCTATACTGATAAACACCGTTAAAGTCACGTTAAAAAATCTAGCACACAGTTAGACCGGGAGATACGGGGAAACAAGTTTTTCCAGCGCTTCGCGCGAGGAGAGATCTCTTTCCCTCTCTTCCTCTTCAACGATCGCTCCCCGCGATATTCGCGCGGCCATCAACAGCTGGCCAACAGCCAAGTCGGTGACAGTTGGTACGTGTCACTTGATTCGCGTGCGCGTATTGCGGTCGACGGTATCTGCGTTTCGCGAGGTGTTGATCGGAGAACGATAAACATCTCGTCAAAAATCGCGTGCATTATGCCAAGTATGATAAAGTGACGTTATCGCACCGTGAAGTCCGGGCCGAAGAAGTGAGGTTAAGTTCCCGTGAGAGAGAGATAGAGAGAAGAGCCGGTCCGAATTTTTTCTGCGACATGATTTCTCCGCGAAGATGAGACGGAACGTGATCAGCCTGGTCAAGTTTACCCTGCTGGCGGCATTCACGGTGTTCCTCACCGTGGTGGTGTTCCGTTACGTGCGCGCGCCACCCAATCGTCACATCTCGACGTCGCTCGACGTCCTCGCGGGAATTGCCGCCGGTCAGCGGAGGGACAACAACCGGGAAAGCAACGAACATTCGGACCAGGTAGGAGAAGGATTCGAAGTCGAGTTCGTTGATATCCGTTCAATTGTGATAATTTTTTTTTATTGCGTATTCATGTTTACTAGTTTCAATATAATTTTGTAGGATATAAACGACAAAATCGACTGGCACGACCAGAGGAAGATCGAGGAAGAAGAGAAGCGGTCTGGGATTGGAGAGCGCGGAAAGCCAGCCTTTCTCTCTCCGTCCTTGGACGCGTTGAAAGAGAAGCTGTATCAAGTTAACGGATTCAATGCCGCGCTCAGTGACGAAATTTCGTTAAATCGTTCGGTGCCTGACATCCGTCATCCGGAATGCAGGAAGAGAAAGTATTTGAGGAACCTAGATCCCGTTTCTGTGATAGTGTCTTTCCACAATGAACACTTCAGCACGCTGTTGCGAACCTGCTGGAGTGTGATCAATCGTTCACCGCCTTCTCTTCTAGAGGAGATCATACTGGTCGACGACGCCAGCACGAAGGTGGAGTTGAAAAAGAAGCTAGACGACTACGTCGCCCAAAATTTGTCAAAAGTGTCCATTGTACGACTGCCAAGACGTTCGGGATTGATCAGGGGTCGATTGGCGGGCGCGAAAAAAGCCCGAGCGAAGGTTCTCGTATTCCTGGACTCTCACAGCGAGGCCAACGTGAACTGGTTGCCGCCGCTGTTAGAGCCGATCGCCCAGGATTATAGAACTTGCGTTTGTCCGTTTATTGACGTGATAGCTTACGAAACTTTTGAGTACAGGGCGCAGGACGAAGGCGCACGCGGAGCGTTCGATTGGGAGTTGTACTACAAGCGACTGCCGTTGTTACCCGAGGATCTGAAGAAACCTGCCGAGCCGTTCAAAAGCCCGATAATGGCGGGCGGTCTGTTTGCCATTAGCGCCAAGTTCTTCTGGGAACTAGGCGGCTACGATCCGGGTCTGGATATTTGGGGCGGCGAGCAGTACGAACTGTCCTTCAAGATCTGGCAATGCGGCGGACAGATGTTCGACGCGCCCTGTTCAAGAGTCGGTCACATTTATCGAAAATTCCCGCCGTTTCCCAATCCAGGTCGCGGCGATTTTCTGGGCAAGAATTACAAGAGAGTCGCCGAGGTCTGGATGGACGAGTACAAAGAATACATCTACAAGAGACGGCCGCACTTGCGAACTCTTGATCCGGGCAATTTGTCAGAACAGAAGGCTCTGCGTGCGAAATTGCACTGCAAACCGTTCCACTGGTTCATCGAAAACATAGCGTTCGACCTCGTGGAAGTCTATCCGCCGATCGAACCGGACGATTTTGCCTACGGCGAGATCAGAAACATGGGGGCGACCGAGCTGTGCCTGGACTCGAAGAGACGCAAGAGAGACGAGCTCGTCGTGGTGGACATTTGCACGAAGGATGACCCGAAGGTAGCCGGCGAGCAAGAGTTCCGGCTGACCTGGCACAAGGACATCCGGCCTAAGGATCGCACGGACTGCCTCGACGTATCCAGAGGGGATGAGAAAGCGCCGGTGAGCCTGTATCCTTGCCACGGGAAACAGGGCAATCAACTGTGGCGTTACGACGTGGAGAAGCAGTGGCTGCAACACGGCTACTCGTCCAGGTGTCTGGACGTCGATCCGGGCAACAAGAAGGTGTACGTGATCGCGTGCGACAAGACGTCGCCCACTCAGAAGTGGCGGATAGAGCAGGTCAACATGAAAGCTATAAACAATTGGGAAAACGTAGGACCCAAACTCAAGTAAATCTTCCTCGTAACTGCCATACAATATTTCTTAGAAAACTTGGGTGGGTTTCGCGCTTGAGTTCCTACGCGCATAGAAATCCGAAGAATTCCGTTTCTTTTATCACTCCTGGTTACTACTAGTCATCACAAATTTTCGATCTTAGCGACGCTGAACTGCGCTCGGTCGTCGTGCGATTGACAACGAACGAGCATCGATCGTCGTGCGATTTCAATGCGCGCGACCGAAGGCGCGACGGAAGTTGTTCCTCGATTAATCCCGGAAGACTCAGAGACATCTTCGGACGTCTTCGTACAAGCGGATGTGTCTATACATATCGCATATTAAATTATATCCCATACAGCACACCATATCCCGCAATTTTTGCAATTATACAATTGTTGCGGTGTAAGTTGTAAGAATGTGTTTGCTGTATGGGGCAAGCGCTCTATCGTGCCTTACTCTTAGCCATACGTAGATTATATGATACGTGATGACTTCGATTAACGTGATGATTTTTTACTTTCTGCTCAAATTATCATTAAAATAGTGGACAATTGCGTTCTCCCGACGTGTTGTTTATCTCTCAAACAGGACTGATGTATACATATATTTCGTTTACGTTATAATATAAGTAAGTTGTTGAAATATGAAACACAAAGTATTATATATTCCTCTAAGAGAAATTATGAAAATATATATAATTGTATAAAAAACAAAAAAAACAAAAAAAAAGAAACATGTCCCGCGTACAATTTTCAACTATTGTGTATATTTATGCGATCGTGTATGATAGTTTACGATTCATTTCCATTAATTTACGGATATATTCTATTTGATTAGTAGAGCGAGATTAGAGTATTTTAATCAGGATGTAAGAGAAAGTAAGAGAGTGAGAGAGAAATATAGACAGAGAGAGAGATAAAAATTATTATCTTCCCAACTCTTCTCTCTCTAATGTGCATTAGACAAGTAACTTCAGATATTTTATCTGACAATAAACATAAATATATTATTACAAAACAGAGCGTTGATATTTTTCAATTCAATAACGCCGTTTTATCTTTTCGTGTACATGTGTATAAATGTTTTTATATATCTGTTTGAGGAATATTTTGCGAAATAAAACGAGCTCACGCACACACACACACACACACTCACCTCTTGCGTTGGCGCATTCACCGTCGGGATGCGCCATGCGTTGCATAGCGGTGGGCGCGACTCCCAGAGGCATTGAGACCTTGTGGCCCAGCACCGTTGTGCTTATGTCTCGCTTAGACACGTCCCGCAAAAATCTGGGACGTATCCTGTAACTACGAAAGATATCAAACATAATTTAAGAAAATTTCAGATATGTGCGAAGTGAAAAAACCTTTTAAGAGCCAAAGCATTTCGAGTTCGAAATATAAATTTTTTTTTTAGTGTAAATTAATTGCGCACATCAATTCGCAAAGTAATTTCAATTTGAAGCGCGAACGCGTCTTAGATCGCATCTTGGAAATATTCAAAAATAAATTTTGCACGTAGCGTTTGGCTCTTAAAGAGTTTTTATTTATTTTTGTCGTAAATCTAGATTTACTTTTTGAAAGCCTCTTTGTTCAATTTTACACTGTACTCTTCCCCCGCACCGCTTTTGTAATAGTCTCTCGCATGAGGGGACAAACGTTCCAGAGCGTGTTTCTCGTAATCCTCGACGCACACGTACGTAGTCATTTTATCAAACTGCAAGAAAATTATCATTAAGTATATCGCGAGCATACGCAAAATCTGTTCTCGATCGACTGTCAAGAACATACAATATAATGCAATGATTTAAAACTTTGCTTTACAAACGAGACGCGTTATCGTCTCTATAGCAAAAATAAAACTTTTGATAACACACGAACGCGTCAATTGCGTTGTGACGCAAATAAAAAAAAAAAAAAAAAACTGTTAAACTCATTGCTCGTTTGCGGTAACATTTTTTTCCGAGATGATTAAAATTCGAATGAACTTACCGAAATCTGCGTGTCCCCGTACGCTCGCTTCGATCTTCGACAAACGACTGCCTGTTCTGAGGTAGAAATCTCGCACAGATAAGACGGGGTGTATAAGTTAAAAGTTCATCCAACACAGAGATAATATTGTTTGCATCTATTACCGTCGTATTTGTGTTTATGATCGAATACATCTACTCTCTCTCTCTCTCTCTCTCATTTTGTGAGCGATAACGCTCAATGAGCCTTTCATTGCGCGACAAGTTTCAAGAAGTCTCGAACGTTCTATCACGTTTAATCCTTCTGTCAGTGCGACGTGAATTGATTGGCACTAAGAAAAAAATCTGATTATTTTGTTAACATTCAATCTCTAAAATAACAGACAGTTCAATTAATGCGCGAGACTCGTTGCATTTAATTCCGCTTGACGGAAGGGCTAATAAATTTATTCTGTTATCTCTAATGACTGATTTAACAAATGAACGAAATGACCTAAAAAAGTCGCCAGAATTTTTGTTCTTCAATGTGTCTCACTATAAAATATTTAAAAAAACGAAAACGCAAAGAAGAAAAGACCAAATCGTTTCTGTTTAAACTTTATTACATTCTGTTAGAAATAATACACAAAAGATTCTCCGGAGGCGGCAGAGGTCTCCTTACTGCGGAAACACGCAGGACACGTGCGGGTGTGTCGCCCGTTCGTAAGTGAAAGCTCCCCGCGAGAATTGGCAAACCGTCGCCCGCAACCCTCTCCCCTTGCGTGTGTGTATTGCGTGTACATGCGTGTGTAATGTTTGTGTGTATACATATGCATTTGCCACGTGTGTGTTCTGGTTTATTTTCTTTTTTTTTTTTTGTCTCGAGTCATCCAACGACCGCGCGCGCGCGCGCGCCAGTTAATTAAGAATTATACAATCTTAATAATTACTTCAATATGTATAGTGAAAAGAGTCTGCGAGGGACCGTAAAAATTAAAGAAAAAAAAAAAAAAAAAACGCGGGTCGGACGTGAAGAAGAAGGGTCGCAGGATCGGTTGGCTGTAAGGAGTTTGATCGATCGATACGAATCCGACGACGGGTTCTAAATGAAAAATGCCTGCATAAATGCGCCATTTAAACGGATATGTAGCGTGTAGGGCGACCTGAGCGCTTCTCCCTGTTCTCTCTCTCTCTCTATCTCTCTCTCTTTCGTTTTATTCGGATTCCGTCACACACATCGACGACAAGTTTATTTCGTTCGCCTATCTTCTTCCCGCTGAACAACACACAAACTGGAAGGCATCAAACGCAAGACGTTTCTCAGGAAGCGACAGTTCTTTCGTTCTAATATTCTCGGATTTTATCAAATTGTTCTTTTACATATCCGTGTTTTCAGAATCAATTAATTTTTTTCTTTGCACTTCCTTCGCACGTTTTTCGGATGCTCTTTACCATTTTTGTGTTGTTCCTATATCGCGCCTATTTTTTCTCTCTCTTCGAAGCCGACCGGAAAAGCCGAGTCGACGATCCGGGAAATAAACACAAGGACGAAATCGTCGAGCGAGCATCGTCGTTGTGTCTTACATCGAGAAAAAGAATGTAAGCGTTCGGTGCTTCACTTGTAGTAGTTCCGGTTGTTTTTGAACAACACACAGGTTTTGAAAAAAATCGTCCGAAATATCTCTTTTGAGGAACGTCCGGAAGAAATGGATCGTTCGGCGTCTTTCAGGACACGAGAATGACACTCTCGTGTCTCCGTCTCCGCGTTATTTAATTTCATTAGAATTCTCTTTCTCGTTCTCTCTCTCTCTCAACACAAGATCCTTCTTCGCTGTATTATCGCAGCACACCGATACATTCTCTCATACATATACATGCGCCATTCCGCTTCTCTTCAACATTGTCTCGTCGTGTACGTCTCATCAATTTTTTTTCATCGTCCTATCTTTTGTATTCCGCTAAAAAAGAATTTTCCATCGATATCAATGAGTATTACTCTGTGACTTCTTCTTGTTATGTCACTTTTTTATGTCGAATATCTCTCTACGTGAATCGCATGTGCTCCGAGATATTAATCGAATCTCGCTCGAGTCGTCTTCTCGACAGTAAAACGTGTTTTTTAACAATTGCCCCGCGGATCTTTCTTTTTATTTACACACGTGTTCATCTTGTACTTTGAGTGAGCGAGTATTAAAAACGCCTTCTTCTTTTTTAATCGCTGCCATCAGAGTCCGATGACATTCTTCGTTCGCTCGAAAAAAAAAAAAAAAAAAAAGACATTTAAAATCGGGTGAATCCATTTTCCGTCGAAAATCCAGCGTTTTACTCCATTAAAGTGCCGTCGAGATTGTTCGTTCAATTGTTACAATTATTGTTGTTGTTGTTGCGTTTCCTCGCGATTACGCTTCTACATCTTACTTGTAACACATTTGTTCTGTACATTAAATTCTGTACATTAACGAGTTTGTTTTTGCAGCTCTAATCGGGTTTTTTTCGCGCAGCGTGACAAAAATTTATTTACGAAATGGCGAGGTTTTTTCGGGAGTCGCTTTCGGGATGCAAACGCTAAAACGACGTGTACAAAAATCAAGACGCTTTTCGTGTACAATAAATTAATCTATCTCGGTTGCAGTTTAATAACGGTGGTGTGTAATAAAGCAAGACACTACAGCGCGTTGGCGTTTACATCGACCGCACATACACTCCATTCTTATTAAGTTTTCACCCTTTCGCTACGACGCGATTCTAATCCAAAAGAGTCTAAAGTATCGAGTTGTTGAGTAACAGATTTATTCCGTACAATATATTCGTATACTTTTACTCTAGTTTTCTCTCTCTCTCTCTCTCTCCTTGTTCGAAGCACTACGCGTATTTGGTTTCGTGTGAAGAAAGCGTAGAAATTAGATACGCAACAACAGGACAAGCCTGTTTTACACACAATCATATACACAAATATACACAAAACTATGAGTCGCACATTATCTCGCGCATTAACTAGGAAATAACTAATTAAAAGATCGGAGGTTGCGTAGTTTTGAAAGGTACAAAACCAGCTGGGGAACAAAATTTTGTCGCCAAAAAGTAGTATCGCGACTTCACGCTTACGTGATCCAAATCAGTCTTATCTGTTTGAGTCACATTTCAAGATAATATTTATGCGATTTCTCGAACGGAGCTGGTTTCTTTCTTTTCTGCAGCACATTTTTGTTAGAAAGTTGTTTGAGGAAAAAAAAAAAATAGAGTACAAATGCGTCGCAGCGAAAAAGACAAGCAAAACGACTCTCCACGGAGGAGGTGTCGCTTCGCTTCTCGGAGTCTCTTCCTCTAAAAAAAGGACTCACACACGCGAAAAGGATATATCTACGTAAAAAATGTAAACGTACAAGCACGTGTTGCCGGCAAATAAAACAAACAAACAAACGGGTAGTAAATAAGAAAAAACACATGCTTCTCGGTACACTTGGCTTTGGTAAACGATTTTACGTACAGAGAGAATGCGCTAGATGCACCAGCGGTCATGCCCTTTCCCGCGGGACAAGATTGCTCGGAAATTAAGAACAAAACGCGGCGTAGACACACATTGACTTTTTTTTTTTTTTTTTTTTTTGATCGAGGTAGTTTATAAGTGACGAGTGTCCCTCACACGTTCGTTACGCGTGGCTCAAAGGCAAATGAGAAAATGCGGAGAACGCATTCGGAGTCTGCGGAAACGTTCGCGGCGTGTGCGTTACTAAAAGAAAACAAAAAAAAACAAAAAAAAAACAAAAAAAAAAAAAGAAATCCGCGACGCCGACATATCGACGGCACATTCTCGTTGTCGGTCTCTTGACGTATTAATTACACATGTAATAATCATTGATGCAACGCTCCGAGAACATTCCACAGATCATGCAAGAACGTTTAGCTGTTATCTCCTTTCATTTTTATTTGTAGATTTACTGACTAGAGCGTCATTCGCACTAAATACAATTAAAATTATTATCTTTAGGGCTATATAGAACTAAAATATGAGACATCTCTCTCTCTCTCTCTATCTATCTCGCTCTTAATTGTTTCCTTTTAACTACATTTGTAAGAGTTTTAACTCTCTGCGCAATGTGATCCTCGAGAACAACACTCCTGGGCTTCGTAGCACGTATACGCCGCGTGTAAATATATCGCGCATCGGTGCAACAAACACAACATCGAGTCCACGCATTTGCCTTTGATCTCTTTTTGATTTCTGTATACGACGGGAAAACGAACGTAAAGTCGTTAATAATAATCGACCATCTCTCCGCTTCGATGTGCGCAAACGTACAACGGTAAATTCGTACGTATTTTATTTTCTTGTTCACAATTTCTCGCTTCTGTGATCGCGGGTCGGATCGCGCATAGCACAAGGTGTACGGATTTCCCATTCTTTCCCACTTGCAGTAATAAAAAAAAAACAAAAAAAAACAAAAAAAAATAAAAATAATCTCTACCGCCCCTTTTCGCATCTTTTTCCTTTCGCATACGACGAAAAATCCGAACGCATCTCAGTCGGTGGTAAAAAAAAAAAAAAAAAACGATCATCAAGAGCGCGCGCGTTCGGTTTTCGCAACTTCTCTCTGTCTCATCCTTATTTCTACCACGCATAAGGATAAATGACACTAGTATCATGACACTTCCAGTTTGTAAACCAGTTTTTCTCTCTTTCTCTCTTTCTTTCTCTCTCTTTCTCTCTCTCTCTTTCTCTCGAATAAGCAATTTAAAAAGAAAAAGAAAATCAAATCATTTTTTTTTTGTATTATACATGAAATATATACGCTTGTTTTCAGAGATAGAATTAAATATTAAAAATAATTATAAACTACATTTCTCTCTCTCTCTCTCTCTTTCGCTCGATTTTTCTCTCATTCTCTCTTTCTCTCGCGTGTTAACAAAAAAAAACAAAAAAAAAAGAGTGAACTTAGCATACAGTCTGTGTACAAAAACCAGAATTTACAATGTAGCGTTTCTCTAGATCTCAAAATGTATAATAGGAATATAATAAATTTTCTTTATCACATATAAAAAGCGGTTGTATGTCTATATGTACATGTTTGAGTAAGTTTAGGTACCCATTATTATTTTAACCAATAGAATCTATAATAATTTGGTACACTTGTGTTTTTAACTCTCGGTTTACTCGATAAATACGAACAATAATAATAATAATAATAATAATCATCGATACGTCGTTATTTCCTGGTGTCTTGACATAGTCGTTGGTTTTTTTCTTTTTTTTCGCGCGAAATTCTCTCATATGTATATAACACACACACGGCTCATTTAAAATCTTCCCGCGTTATAAATGTGACTCTATTTTCTCTTTATTTCCTTCATTTTTTTTCTCTTCTCTTTTTACGATTACTGTTTTTTATATAATATATCTATATATATATATATATATATATGTATATATATATAACACGCGTTATTCTCAATAAGTCAGAGCTATGGCCAGTTTGTAAATTCGAAGATCTCGTTCGTCGCTCGATTAGCACACTTTCTTTATTTTTTTTTTAATTTTTTTACTTCTTTCTTTCTCTCTCTCTCTTTCTCTCTGGTTTCTCGTTTCTCTAGACTGCCTCTTCGTTTAATTACAATATGCCGAACGATACGAGTTAGCGTTTATCCGCTCCGTGCTATCCGTTTGCCTCGCTACCGTCACGTTTCTTTCAATTCCTTCTCTTCTTTAAGAAAAACAAAACACGAACTCTCGGACGAAGACAGTCGTCCTCTCGAGGAAGGACGACGACCGTTCTCCGTATCTGACAGAACAACTTGATGTTCGTTATTTATTTGTATACGTGCGTCATGATGAATTAAAGTGGCCCGCCACATTCTCATCTCGGGCTTCGATATACCTCTCTCTTTCTCCCTTCTGTCGATCCTCTCGTCGACGATCTTTTTTTTTTTTTT